CGGGGGCGTGATAAATCAAAAAATCCATCCGACTGAAAACAAGGCCCGAACTCAGTCCCGCCCCGGATTGCGCTGTTGCACGCGCCCTACTCACTCCAGGTAGTAGGTGAGGTAACCTTGTCGACCATTGGCATCGACATCACGCTGCCGACGCTGTCCACTTTCTTGAACCAGATGCACAAGGTCGTATTGCCACTGACAGTGACAATGCTGTTCGAATACCACTACATTCGCCCCCGCACCGGAGGCGGCCAAAAGTGCCACAAGTCGATGTCAGCGCCGGTGAGCTGGTAGACTGGGCCCGCCGACAGGTCGTAATGGCACAGGTCGCCGTAGCGGATGTTCACGTTCTGGTCCAAGCGGCGCCACGTCTGCGGGTGGCCTTGGCACCCTACCCGGAAATGCGCGGCAACAGTCGGTCGCGGATGAGCTGGGAAGAGCTGCGGAAAGCGCGGGGCTTGTGCTCTCCCACTGACTAGCAATCACCGGTGCACAGCATATTTGGGCGCCCGGGGCCGATCAGCTGCGGCCTATGCACAGGCTACCGAAAGCGAATCCAAAAAAGGGCAGGGGGCGGGCGTGCGCTCACTCCCGGTAGTAGGCCTTGTACCCTCTGTCGTGATTGCCGAGGTAGGACCGCACTTCGCTGTCAGCCGGGCGCGGGTTACCCGGCAGCAGCTTCACCCAGGCTCTGCGTCGACTCCCTTCGAAGACGATGCAATTGGCGCGACTGTGCCGCAAGGGCTAGGGCGCAGGCCACAAACGGGGTGTCGAGGTCGGCCGAAGACGTCAGCTGAAACATGTCGTGCTGCGGTATGTTGACATTGCGCGGTCCACAGCCCGTCGAGGAGCGGCGTCTGCGGCTCCATAGCCACGTCCCTGCCATGATAGCCATCAGCCGCCATGTACCTGAAAGATCCGACCGATACGAATAAAATTGGGATTTACTCGCGCGGAAGAATTTATTCACAGTCTGTGGTGTAAATGACTCCCCAAAATTTGCTAGCACGCGAGTAAATTTTGGGAACTAAATTTACTCACACGCGACTAAAGTTGGGGAGGAAAATTTACTCGCATGCGAGTACATTTGGGGAGTAAATTTTACTCACAAGCCTCCAATTGCGATAATTCTCAGGCTGTGGGAACTTGGAAAACACGTTCTTCTCAGCTTCCTTGACCTTTGCTCTCCCCCGACTAGCCTCAGTTTCAACCTCTTCATCTTTGTCTTTCTTGGTCTTGGTAACCTTCTTCAGCATCTTCAGGAGGTCTTTCTTAGATAGGGCAATGGACGATGATGATGAAGAATCAGATGAGTCTCTTTTCTTTTTCTTCTTCTTGTCCTTTTTCTTCTTCTTTTTGCGGGAGTCATCATCGGGCCCGTCTTCGTCGCCATCGCTTTCGGGAGGCGAGTCATCTCCACCTCCACCTCGCGGCCCTCCACCGGCAGTTGCCAACCCCGGAGGGGTATGCATCGGATGCTCGATGGGGGAAGGAGCTGCAGGAATAGTTGGTGTATTTGCCGCAGCTTTCGCCAGGCGATCACGAAGCTCTGCATTGGACTTTTAGAGCCTCGTCATCGACTCATTTTGCTTACGATGCACTTGCATAATGTCTTGACTAGCCCTGTTTCTTGTGGCCAACTCAGGCCTGAGCAACCACATCTGAGACGGTAAGCTCGGCACGGTAAAGCCTGATTTTATAGTCCATAGCTTCACGTTGCATTTGTGACAATTCGTCACTCTGCTTGTTAGCCATGCTCTCGCCGGCTGGTCTAAAGAGTTTCCTCTTGTTGTTGGAGACGATACTCCGCTTGCGTGAACTCCAGCCTAAGCTGGGCGGCACCTGATAAAGCCTGAGCCTGAAGCTGGTTGATCTGCCCCCTATGCATTGAGTTTGCTTCCGCCATAATTGCTAGATGGCGAGCTTCAACTTCGGCAACAACAGCAGGTCCTGTGTCAACTTGCTGGACAACGAGCTGTTGGTTCAATGTGGGTGCCAGGACATTTTGTTGGTAGTAGTTCGAGATGCTTTGAATCTCGCTGGGTGAATTATGACCCGAACTGTTTTGTTGTGGCGATCCCGCCAAAAATGCGCGAGGCTGCATTGGGCTAGACGCGTATGCCCATTCCGAAGCTGCTCCCGGCGCACCTCTACGGGGATCCGTAAGGCCCATAACTGCCAAGGCCTCTGCTGTGAGAGGAATGCCTTGACCACCCTCTCGGGGACCGATTGCACCAGGATCCGTGCCGTCGTCTTGGACGGACATGGCAGGAAGCGATGCAATTTCTTCTGTGTCAGCGCGAGCCGCGGAAATATCAATCGTGGGAACACCTGCAGTCGCGAACTACGAACAGAGTGAGACCTATGGCTGATAACCTATGTTTACAAGCAGAACAGCCAGAATGCGAAGCACATTTTTCCTTGAGCCAATATCGACAGCTATGCTGTAGGCTAGCTACATCTTACACAAACTACAGCTTGGAGCTTTCGGCTTCGGGCTTATAGGGTTAGGAAGTTTAAGAGTTTAGGAGCGCCTTGCCGGCGATCAGCCCATCGAGCCACATGGTGTTGATCGTGTCGTTCTTGTAGGCCTCTCGCAGTTTGAGGCTTCATCGCTCATTACAGGAGAGCTGGGAGAGAGCTTTAGGCCTTTGCGACTTTGGTGCTTGGCGAAACATAGTGGCTCTGAGGCACTACTAATTACTAATTCTTCAGAGACCTTTAAACCCTAAATTCTATACCCTAAACCCTAAACCATAAACCCTAAACCCTAAATCGTTCTTCTGGTGTCTCCTCCGTGTCGATCAACTTGACCAAGTAGTCGACGGTATGGCGGATGTTTCCCCGAGGGCTTCAACAGCGCCCAATGCAGGCTTCAGGATTCAGAGTTGGGTTTAGGGTTTAGGAATTGGGGCTTGCGGGGTTTGGGCTTTTGGACTCGGCCACTGTACTGCAAACCTGCACGACCCTCTGAAAGCCTACACCCCAAAGCCTCCTTGGACACCCTAGGCCCTAAATGGGTGGTTGTGAAAATTATGTTCCCTTTTTGAGTCCCTATTGTAATACGGCCCATAACATTTAGGGTATCCAAAAAAAGGACTATAATTTTGACAACCACCCAAATCGTCATAAAACACTAAGCTTTCTTTTGAAAGCCTAGATCCGATCGATCTCTGGACCCAAAACCCCTACCCCTTGAAAAACCTAAAGCCTTAAACTCCTAATCCTAAACCCCAACCAAAACCCCAAAACCCCTAAAGCCATAAACCCTAAAACCCTAAACCCCTAAACAAACCCTGAACCTGTAAACCCGCACAACCCCACAACCCGCAAAACCGCCAAGTCTCCGGAGATGCGCAAGGCGCCGAGCGCCATGCGGAGACCCCTCGGGGTTGGTGGAGAGTCTGGGTTAAAGGCTTTAGGGTTCAGAGTTTCGGGTTTAGGGATTAGGGTTTAGGGTTCGGGTAATGCTATATGGTTTAGGGTTCTAGGGTTTGGGGAATGTGGGGTTTAACGGTTGGGGTTGAGGGGCTAGGGTTTGGGGGTTTAACTTAAGGGCTCTCAAAGTACAGAGTTTGGGGAAAACACTGACACAGAAGACACACACACCAAAAAACACACTCATAATTCTAAACCATAAAGCAGAAACCCTATTACCAAAACCTCCTGAGTACTATTCAATACTCTTCATCTTCATCTTATTCTAATAGTATGATTGGCGCTTTGTTGTCGCCGGGACTCTGTCTCGCCGCCTCTCGGTTGTGGCCCTTCGCGAAGATGTGACCGAACCTGGACAATTTTGGATAAGGAACACAGGCTTCTCTAGGGCTTCGGGACAAGACTAAACTCTAAACAGTTTATTCCCTGAACCCTACCTAAACAACTATGAGAAAGGTTGCTTAGCAAGCGCCCAGAAACTGGGAGTCTGCGAACTCGTGGATCCTCCCACCCTGCTTGCAGATGCTGAAGTAGCCTCGGCGTTCGGTGAAGAGGGGCAGATGAAGCTAAGAGAGGGCTTACAGTTTAGGATTTAAGGTCTAGGGTGCAGGGCTTAAGTCACAGTCAGGTTTTTAGGTTTAGGCTTTAGGGCTTCGATGCTGAAGCAGCCTCGGCATTATCAAAGAAGGGCTATATCTTAAGATCTATAGGGTTTGGGGCTTAGGGCTTAACACTGAGGGCTATATGAAGTCATATGGGCTTTATAAACATGACAACAAGAATATGTTTGGAGTTCTACAATGCTTTCGCGAAGGATGAATAACGGTCATATAGGGGTTCTGAAAAGGGAAGCATACTCGGACTATCTCTTTGGGCTTTGGGAGCTTTGTGATACAGTAAATTTGGGGCATGGCCTGGGGCTTGAGACGGGGTCAGGATTCAGGGTGTTAGCGTTCCGACCCATCTCCTCTTGGCGGTATTGGAGTCTTACCCTAAGTCCTTATATAACACCACACCCCCAACCCGAAACTCTGCATGAATCTTAAACCCTACAAGCTATAGCCAAAGCCCTGAAAGCCTAAACCTGAAATCGTAAATCCTTCACCCCAAACCTCGCTGCGATGCAGCCCTTCTTGAACCCTACTAGAACCGTTATATAGGGCTTAGGGTCCAGGGTTTCGGGTCTGGGGTTTCAGGCTTCGGGTTTAGTGTCTTCATTGTCTAAGGCTTATGTTGTATATAGAACGCTTACAAAAGATCCCTTGGTAACCCTCAAGATCCCCAACTCCGATAAAATGACCCGAGACTTCCGAGAAAAACCGCAGGCGCCGGGGAGCCCCAGAAGTTTTCGCAAGATTGGAAGTCAACCTTTTCGATCTTGCCACTGGTGGGCTTGAAGCCCTGGCGATGAGGGGCTTTGGGGTTTGGGGGTTTAGGGTTTGGGGGTTTCGGGTTTGGTGTTAAGGGGGTCTTGGTTAAGGTTTTGGGGGGTCTTGAAGCCGTTTAGGGTTGGGGGTTTAGGGTTTAGGGGGGCTTGAGGAATCTTCGGTTTAGGGCTGGGTTTAGGTGTCAGGACTGGTGGGTTTAAAGCCCTGGTGTTGGGTGTCGGGTTTGGGTTTCGGGTTTCGGGTTTGGGGTTTGGTGTTGGGGTTTGGGTTTCGGGTTTAGGGTTTAGGGTTCAGGGGGTCTGGAAGCCCTGGTTGAGGGATCTTCGGGTTTTAGGGCCTCTAGGGTTTAGAGCGTTTAGGTTCAGGTGTTGGGATTTAGGGTGTGTAAGGTTTTTGGGTTTTGGTTTAAAGGGCAGTTTGGGGCTTAGTGTCCTCGTCGGGATTCTCGGCGGTGATGCGGCAGGCGCAGCAATGCGAGGTGATCGGCGGGTAGTCCTTGGCGAAGAAGTCGATCTTGGAGCAGACAGCTGGGTCCATGCCGTAGAACCTTCGGATGTCGGGGACGTTGTAGAGCGGGATGCCCATGGCGATCTGCAACTGAGTGGCAGGCATGTTCACTCCGGTGATGGCCTCGGTCACGGGATGCTCCGCCTGCAGATCTGGGTTCAACTCCAGGAAGTAGAAGGCGCCGGTCTCCGGGATGTAGAGATACTCCACTGTGCCGGCGCCGCGGTAGCTGACCAGCGCGGTTAAGCGCATGGCCGCCCGTTCCATCGCGTGGAAGACGTCCGGCTTCGCAATGGTCGGAGGGCCTTCCTCGAAGATCTTCTGGAAGGGCCGCTGGGTGGAGCAGTCGCGGCCGTTCAGCGCCAGGGTGTTGCCGAACCCTCAGTGCCCACCCAACTACGCATGCATAGGGCATGGGCGGACACGTTTTGGCTGCAAACTGCTGACACCGTTGCAGGGGAAGGAGGGCACCCTCCTTCCCAAATGTCTGAAATCACCGGGCCGATGGGCCGAAAGCAAAGCTGAAGCCGCCGCGGCCCACTTCCCCCATCTGGGGCGGGCGGGCGGCGGGAGTCTCGAAATTGAGATGTCAATAAGTATCAATCTGACCTGACACAAGCGAGGGCCTGAAGCAACAAAAGGCAAGAAGCAGGGTGCATGCTACGTGGACTAGGGTTGAGGGTTTGCTGTATGCGCTGGCCATTGTCCCAACCTACCCCAGCGCAGACAGACCAACCCTCAGTGCCTACCCAACTACGCATGCATAGGGCATGAGCGGACACGTTTTGGCTGCAAACTGCTGACACCGTTGCAGGGGAAGGAGGGCACCCTCCTTCCCAAATGTCTGAAATCACCAAAGCAACGCCGCAGCCAAGAGCCCATGCCCGGAGCCAGAACCACAACACCACACGAAGCGCGACCGGCGGGGCTCCTTAGACAATTGAGCAGCACCACCACAACGCAAGCGTCAAGCCACACGGCACTAAGCTCCAACTCCAACTGCACTTTGGGATAAAGAGCATCCTGCGCTTACCAGAGGAAGCAACTGACTGACGCGCAGCTAACTTGGCAGCTTCACCTGAGACAGACGGCCAGGTCTGCCGGCCTGCATGATACTCCGCCAATCCAAGTGCTTGCGCCGTGCCGGACTCAGCTGGCTCCAGAAAGTGGCGTCGTGGGCTGCCCCCCGAGACAGGGCATCAGCCCAACAATTTCGGCATCCTGCCAGGTGGCTTATCCGCAAGTTCAAGTGTTCCTGCATGCAAAACACTGCTGTAGCCTGTAGGATAGATGCGAGGGGCTCTTTCATGGACAAGCCCTTGGCCGACGAGCAAACCACACCAAGGTTATCTGACTGCTGGCGCAGCGCAATGCATCCCACATTGGGTCGGCGGCTGCTGCAAGCGGTCTCACTCACCTGCATAACTAATAGTACCAGTTGCGCGAGAGCCTCCAAGGCGCAAATCGTCGTCTCAAGATCTGTGTCGTCATCAGCAAACCAGCCGGGCAAAGAATGGGCATCCAGCGGGATGGAGAACCAGACAATGGAAGACACCGCGAGCGGCGCGCCCTCTGGCAAGAACCACCCACCAATACCGGCCACGCTGCCGGAGTGAAAGTTTAAACCCTCAAACCAGTATCCTTGTTACAGCACGGCGCGAGCTTCGGATTCTTTTCTCACTACTCGCTCTGCTGTCAGGCTGTCTTGAGCCTACGTTTGACCTACGGAGATACGCAGTGAAACTGGCGGTAAATTGGGCATGAGGGAAAATTGAACATTCTGTTACGCCCTCATCGTATACACAGCTTTGTCGTGTAATACGATCTTGTGAAACTTTTCCTACTTCTTGTACTACTTCTACTTCTGTTTTCGCATGCTCCTGTGAGCCTTTATCTTCTCTTCTCGCACGCTTCTTTGAGCACTTGTTGAACATCTTTATCCTTTTCTTCCTTTGGTCTTCATCCTCAGTCTTCAGATGTCCTATAGCAGATTTGCGAATTTGCTTTCCACACACATTTGGCATGGACTCACTCCACTCTACGTGCACACTCACTTTTTCTGTACGTCGCTGTACGCGAGGTAGTCGTAGTCCATCCTTGCCCTTCGGCAATCTGGAAACTTTTGTCGGACTTCTGTCTTTAGTCCTTTTGTAAACATTGGCCTTTTGAATTCATCGTGGTGCTCGTAGTGCTTTGACGTTGCCGTGGGACTTGCGTCCACGTGGCTTTTGACTTTGTCGTTGCCGTGGGATCTTTCCATCCTCGTGGCTTTTCGTAGCTTCTCCAAAGCTTTAAACTCCAAGCTTCACAACGAAAGCTTTTGTGAAACGTTTTGCCCTGGCTGATTTCAGCCTCACTTTCTTGCCTGGCTGCTTTCAGCCTCACTTCCTTGCTGTTGCTGGGCATTTTTGTAAACGCGCTCACTCTCTTTTGCTTCTTTAAACCGCACTCATCCTTGAGTTGCTGCTTCTGTACTGTCCGGTGTCCCCGGATCAACAGGTCCTGTCATAGTAGAGCTTATTGCTTGAATCCGTCGCCTTAGTCTTGCTCTATCCTCATTTACTTCATCACTTCGTGCCCTGAACCTTATTCCGTCACTTGTGCCTTCTCGTCTGTCTTGACGGAGTCTTGACCTTTCTTCGATCAGCGTGTCAAGGCCTTGGTCTTCCTCTTGTTGCAACTCTTCAAGTAGTGTGGGGCCAAGTTCTTCAGCTGCTTGCCTGGTTCCTGCGAGGTATGCCTCGTAGGTTAGGCGTGCTACTCCTTCTAGCTCTTGCTGGCCCCTGGCCTCCAACGAAGCTCTTCTTTCACTGAACGTCATGTTATTCCATTGCTCTTCCGCAACTTCTTCCGGCCTTGGATATAACACATTTCTCTCCGGATGGTTATCTTCTTGCTCGTGGCTTTCTTCTTCTTCTTCTTCACCTTCGTTGGTGTCGTACTTCTGTCGCCAAACGCTTTCCGCGTGATCGCGGATACACTCCACACAACTGTGATTTGTGTGGTTCCTTTTGTTGCGCGCGCAACGGCTTTCATTGCACCACGTGCATATTCCAGTGCACACTTCTGTATTCCTTCGTCTTGTCGAGCTACTGCGGCTTTCCCTGTCTTCTGGGTGACATACCCAGCATGACCTGCATCCCTTTTCTTTTGCAGTCTCGACAGACATCTCTTGTGTAGCTGGTGGAGGGCTCCACCACTTGCAAGATTGTTTATGATATACATATCTTGCCGGGTATACGTAGACTGGCTCACCAGTCCTTCTGTTCTTCAGCTTGTTGTACAAAACCTTATACCCTTTCATCACTTGCTGGATGAGGAAGATTACTCCCATAACACTTAGCGTGATCATCAGGATGTCCATCACTTCCTCCATTCTTCTGCTTGTGGCTAAAGCTTCCTGACTTCTTTTGCTGTGGGCCAAGATACCTGCGGTTGCGGTTACTCCATGAATGTACAGCATCAATACAAATGTGCCCACATGAGCTCCTGAAATTCTTTTATTCATAATTCTTCTTCTGGCTTTTCCTTCATCTTCTGGCTTCTCCTTTTCTTCTTCAATTGGCTTCTCTTCTTCTCGAGCCCTTTCTTCTTCTCTCTTCTCCACAACTATGTCCGCTTCTGCTTTGACTTCTGCTCTTCTCTCTTTGGCTGCTGCTTTCATCTCTTCCAGCTGCTGCAGCTTCTCGTCCATGATCTCTCCTTGCTCTCTTATCCTTTCCTGGACGTGTTCTGGTATCCGAACAGTTCCTTGCTTCAACGCTGCGAAGTTAGCCTCTTGCGACTTCTTCAACCTTTCTGCTTCTTCTGCCAATACTTCTGCAGTTTTCTTGAACGTCTCCAAATCTTCTTCCTTCTTGTCTTCTGGCACTTCTTCTTCGTCATCCTTCTCTGCTGACTCGCTTTCTTTGGATTCATCGGACTCTGGATCCGACGCTGCTTCACTTTCCTCCTTATTCTCTGGCTGCTCTTCCTTCTTCTTTTCAGTAGATTTGACTTCGTACTGTTGATTGATCGCTTCTACCTCCTTCCAGAGGTCATCAGTGCTTGGCCTTTGTGCCTGATCTCTTTTGAGCACTTTTTCGAGGTAAGTGGTAGCCTCGATGCTTCTGCTGCACTCCGTGATCATATACTTGACTGCGTCGTCATCTGCCATTGCTCTTGTCCTATCTTCTTCTTTTTCTTCTTCTTTCAGGACTTCCTTCTTGAGCAAAACGGCTGCGCTTGCGACCTTATGCATAAACGCTGATATGAACATGCACATCAGTATGCAAACTACACTTGCTCTTCCCAGTCCTTGTTCTCCTTCTTCACCGAATCTTCTTGCTTCAGCTAATGATATCAGCACTGCGGTCGTAACCGTCTGGATAATCCTTGTAATCATCCTCTCATCGAATCTTGGAACACTTCTTGTTCTTGTCCTTCTCACTTCAGCTTCTTGAACTTCTTGATCACTTGGTGTCAGAAATTCACCTGTGTATCCTAGGCTTAGCATATACTTTCGTATCTTCTCCCGTGTCAGGGATTTGGTACCTAGGTCTGAGGGATTGTCCTTTCCTGCTATCGCCTTTATGATAAGCTTCGGGATTCTTTGGATCCATAAAAGGTCCACTTGTAAATGGCGTGCTCTTCCTAAACCTTTTCTTGAGATCAACTGTCTTGAGCTTGACGAATCACTGTATAATATCAGTCTTGGTTCAACTCCTAGGATTCTTGTCAGCAATCCTTTCAGGAATACACCTTCGCTTAAGATTGACGTCGCTGCGATTGTCTCAGCTTCGCAAGATGACAATGCTACGCTCTTCTGCCTCTTGCTTTGGAAATGAATCAGGTTTCCATTCACCATGATCACTCCGCATGAAACACTTTGTCTTGACTCTCGGTCTGCTGCCCAGTCACTGTCGCTTATCACTTCTATGAGTGCTGGCACTTTGTAGTTGTCCCTTTCGTTTCCTTTCTCGCTTCTGTTCTTCACTTCGAGGAAACTTTTTCCAGGGTAACTTCCTTGATGTACCAGTGCGAGCTCTGGTGATCCCTTGAGATACTTTCCAACGTACCTTAACAGTTCCATGTCTGCTTCAACGGGTGATGCGAGCTTTGTTGACAGTTTCTTTAAGACATACATGATATCTGGCCTCTCGGGCGCGAGATACAGTAAGATTCCTACTCCTTTTCTGAACGTGTGGTGGTCTTCTGTACTCAGCGGTTCCATTCCACCTTCTTTTGTTTGAAACGATCTTCCATTGTCTGCTGGACACGGTAGTTTCTTCGGGTATGCTCCTTCCAACTTGAGCACTTCTACTAGTCCTTCGATATACTTTGAGTTCATCGTGATCTCTACGTTTCCATCTCCCATCGACTTGAAACTTCTCTTCAGGAAACTCATTGATCCTTCATTCTCATCCATTGGTCCTTCAACTTTGATCTTCAATCCTTTGCTTCTCAGGAATTCGATCAACTTCTTGAATTCTTCTTTTGACGCATATAGCTCCATGTCATCTACATGACTCAGCACGATTATTCCGAATCCTTCTTTGTCTGGCTTCCTTGAGAATAGTGCCGGGAGTCCACTATCACTTGCTAACCCATACTCTTCTAGGTAGCTTTTCAACTTCCCGAACCAAGCTGCACTTCCGATTCTCTGCCCGGGTAACGTATACCCTAGTTCATAAATTTCTCCATCGACTTCAACAATCGTCGGCTCTTCCTGCTCCACCATTAAATAGGCGTCGCCTACATCGATACTGCCGAGTGTGTACCCTTCTGAAGATGCGAACAGGGCTGACAGTAGCTTCACTGTGCTTGCTACACCGGTTGGCGAAAACAAACTTGCAATGTCTGTATCACCTAACCACTTGAACTCTCTTGCTACTAATCGTCCTCTTCTTCTCCACTCTTTATCCCTGTGTCTCCAATCGTACACTATCTTTGTCGAAAGAAACTTGTACTTTGAAATGTCTGTTCCTTTTGGCAACTTGTTCAGCACTTTCATCTTCTCAAGTCTTTCCAACTCGTGCTTCTTGGACACTCCTTCGACTTTCTCCATTTCTTCATCCGCTAACTTTGGTGGTCCGTTTTCGAAATCGTTCGACCATTTTGGCATATCTTCTGGTATATCTTCTTCACTATCTGATTCTTGCCATTCTTCTTCTTCATCGAACTCTGCTTCCATTTCTTCAAATTCTTCCAATTCGACTTCTTCGTCATCGTGATATTGCGGAAGTTCCTTCCTTAGGAATGGTTCTATCTTCTTCACACTTCTCGTGTCGATAACTCTTCTTACCGAACTTGATGCTTGTCCCGAGGATTCATCTCCTATGGCCATAAACTTCTCTGGCCTCTCTCCGGCTTGCGTTGTTCCTTCGTCTATCTTTTGTCTCACCGCTTCTGGCTGCTCGCCTTTTTCAAGGTTCCTCTTTGGCGATGCTGGCGGTGGATTCTCTCCTGGAATCAGCTCATCAGATTCATTACTTCTTTCGCTTCTTCTTCTCGTGACTCCTTTTCCACGACTGCTTGAACTGCTGCTTGTTGATCCTGCGTATCCTTCACCTGGATCCTCGTCCATGTCTTGTTCAGTCTCGCTTGGCGGATCAGATGCCGCTTCTTGGCTTGGGCTATAATCCTTCAATTCATCTTCTTGCTCTTGACTTCTTTCTCTTCTTGGAACCAACTCTGGCTTATCACCAGTTGCTATCTCGATTCCACTGTGCGGTGGCAATCTCTTCGTCAATTTTCTTCCTACCAACATGTCCTGTGTGTAGTTCCACGGTGTTCCTGTTCCTTCTGCTCGCACTTCGACATCATACAATGGCGTACACTGTCTTATCGTTCTGCTCTTGATGATTCCTTGTCTTGTGCTTATCAGATTCAGGTTGTTCACCGAGTCTTTTCCAACGAAGATTCCTTTTCTCCATGCTTCTCCCTTTTCTTTGACTTTTGGTACAGGCTTTGCCAATACTACGCTTCCCCATGGCGCTAATGTTCCTTTGTACTCTCTGTCGAATAGTACTTCAAAGGGTGTTGATCCTTTCTTCACAACAAACCTGTTCAGCAGGAATGCTGCATGTCTTGCTGCCCATGGATACAGCGTACTCTCTGAAGTAATCTTCACTTTCGCTTGTGATTCAACTCCATACACCAGTGTCTTGGATAAATTCCTAACTGTTTGAACCCATCTTTCAACTTGCAATCCTTGGTGTTCATCTGGTGCTACATCTTGTACCTCTGTATCAAGATTCTTCATCTTCCGTATTCCTTGTACTTTCTTTCTCAGAGAAATCATTGCTGGTTCTGTGTCAGTTCTCAGAATGACCTTAGAATTTTACAGCATAAGCACTCTGCAAACTTCTTCAACAACGTATGCCGTCACTTCTTTTTGTCGCTACTGGAATGACATGTACGAACTTTGTTGCTTCATCAACCATCACAAGTCCGATTGTCAATGCATCTTTGTTGTCTTTTGTGTTCTCTTCATCTCGAGTTCCAGTGAACTTGAAATCCATTGAGACTAACGATGCTTCATTCTTCTTCTCAGATACATCGAAATTGTCTTCTCTTGATCTTGTTGCTTGACAGCTTTCACACCAATCAGCTTTTGGTAGGTGTGTCAGTTGTGTCAGTTCGTGCTTCTTTCTTTCTTCATCAGTTGGCATCTCTGGTCTCTTTTCTCCTTTTGGTTCTCTTGTGAACTCTAGTTCTAGTCCTTTGGAGATTTCAACCAACTCCTTCATCTTGTTTGCCGAAATGGCTTGCTTCAACCTTTGCCATATCTGAGTCTTGCTTCCAGTCTTTCCTATCTTCAGGAATTCACATGCTGTTCTCATCTCCTTGAGTGAACTTTCTGGGCTGAGTTCAACTCCTGCCCAATCATCGCTTCTTCCATCTTTTCTCCTAAGCTTGGCAGTTGCTCTTCAATTTTCTTCCATTCTTTCATATCTTCTTCTGCAGGCGGGTCGCTAGGAAACAAATTCTCCATAGCTTCTGCGGCTTCTTTCTCGACTTGTTCCATTGTCTTCTTTGTCTCTTTCTTTTCTTCGTGAACCGCCATCTCCGCGTCTGCTGCTTCCACTTCTTTCTCTTGCTCTTTCTTCTTCTTCTTTGAAGCTGTTCTTTCATAATCACCATACTCTTCAAGTCCTAGAGACTTTCTCTCCAAGATCGTGATGATCACCGAGTTCTCTTCAACTGCGTCTATCGCAATCTCTTCTCAGTCTTCCCACTTTGCAGCGCACTCCACAAACTCCAGTTCGCTCCATACGATGTTGTGACCATCGTACCTCGATACCAAAGTAGTTCTGAACTTGAACGCTTTCACATCATCATATGTGGGGTCATAGGTCACATACTTATCATAATCGATCCTTGCTGGCTTCCCATCTGACATGAAAAACCATCCTTGATGATACTTCATCTTCTCGAAATCATCTTCCATCTGCTTGATCAACGTCAGCTTTCTCACTTGTGGTTCATCACTTTCAACCTTCACTTGTGCTCTGTAGATCTTGAGGTCAGTCACTGTTGAGTTTCTTGCAAACCTCACTGGCACTTTTGCTGAACCTTTCTTCAGGTAAGCATTGAACTGGTCTAGAGGATCAAGTCCCCATCCAACTTTCCACAACTTGCCTACTGCAAATAGTGGTTGTGTTACATCTCCGAACACAGCTGAATCTCTTACCTTTATCACTCTTCCATCTGTCCTTTGAAATTCGAATAAACTTACTGAGGCTGGCTGGCCTCCCGTAGGGGTTGCCTTCGGTGATGCTTGGGCTTTCGCCAGTGCATCCATTGCTGTTGTCAATTGCGCTTGCTGCATTGCTGTTCCTTGCGCAACTCTTGCCATAGCTTCTGTAGCTTTGGCCTAGTGTAGTCATCAGCTGTTCCAACCTTACCTGCTGGGGGTTCGGCTGGTGCTGTGGCTGTTGAGCTTGTTGTTGCTCTTGCATCTTTCCAACACTTTGGCAGGTCCTTGTATATCTGGCCCAAGGTCTTCACTTCCACGCTTTTCTCCGACTTTGCAAGGTGCTCTTGGCTTAGCCGTAACTCCTCGCTGTTCTTCGACAGGATGCTCTTGGTAAACCGTAACTTCCTGTTCCACACTTTTCACCGTTTCCAGCTCGTGGCTGGTTTCCCTGGATCTTTGCTTGATCAGCTGCTGGCCTTTGCCAACAGCTCCGCTACCATGAAAGTTTAAACCCTTAAACCAGTATCCTTGTTACAGCACGGCGCGAGCTTCGGATTCTTTTCTCACTACTCGCTCTGCTGTCAGGCTGTCTTGAGCCTACGTTTGACCTACGGAGATACGCAGTGAAACTGGCGGTAAATTGGGCATGAGGGAAAATTGAACATTCTGTTACGGAAGCAAAGGCATCAGCGGCTGCAGGCCCGCATCCCCCAACACTTGTGGCCAGATGAACTGGAGACCGTAGTCGCACTGCGCGCAGGAAGAATTCTGCCACCTCCGCTTCTTGTCGAGAGGGTCGCACAGTCGCAGACTCATCATCCAGAAACTTCACCCAAGCGCGACCGTGCTTCAGGCGGCACGACTGGAGGTCTTGCGGACGGCGCACAGCGCTGCTGCCACACTCAGCAACCTGCCATCCCTGCTGCACATCCGACAAATTAGCACGCTTGGACAAACGCAGATTGGAGTCAAGAAGACGCTGTGGTTCTGCAAGCTGACTCTCGTCGAGGCATTGGAACCGCAATGCAGGTTTGAAGCATGTGAAACCATACTGCCATCCACGGCTTGAGCCACCGGGCTCCGCACGTGAACCAGGAAAGCAGTCCCACCAAGGACTGGAGGTCCCGGCGACACACATCGCCTCTTCGTATCACAACCAACAGGCCATTCACAATGCGCACTGTCTTGTCCTCCGGCAGGGAAGCCCGCGGTGCGCCCTGGAGGTTCAGCAGCCATCCAGCCCATTTCACACAGGGCCCAAGGGCCATTTTCTTCCAGGAGAGCGGTATTCCTAGGACACACGCCAAGGCGACGAGTAGGCCTGCCATTAAGGGGCCCGTGGCAGCTGGAAACAATGAGAGCTCATCATCAACATACATAGCCAAAAAGTGAGCGCGATGCAGAAGCAAATGTCCACGACGTACATAGCCTGCAGCAACCCTTGACCACCAGTAAGCGCTCCATGCCCCACCAAAGTGGCAAGTGCGATACACCAGCCACCTGGTATTACCTTGTGGGTCCACTGCGGTAAACACTGAGTAACCCTGTTCATCCGGGGCCACCTTGACGCGCTTGTGCGCTGTTTTGACATCAAGCACGAATGCAATCCACTGCACATCCGGGTGCCGCGAAATGAACTCCTCAACATCGCCCAAGCCTGGCAGTTCGATCTTCTCGGAGATGCGGCACAAACGGTTCGCATTAGAGACTGCGCTGTCCCCCACGAGGCGGGGGTCAGCCCCATCCTTTTTTTTACTAAACCGAGGCGGCCAGCCGCACACTGTCGGCCAAGCCGCTGACGCACCTCATCTCGCCCGCCAGGGGTCCACTCAGCAAAGCCACAATCTACGTCTCGCTGCACCAATTCCATGAGGGTCTCCGGATCGTCCAACGCAGATCCCCACGGCGCATCTAGAACTAGCAATTCGAGGTTGGGGCGTGCTGGAACGTCGACCTCGCGCCAGACACCTGAAGGAGGGATTGTGCTTTGTATCCCGGTCGGCACACCCTAGAGCCTAGGCCGCCCTCCGGAAACTCGGAGCCAGGCTTTTGCCATTAACCTAAGACCTTTGCGGCGTGTCCGTACTCCGCCGGCAAGTATCCTCGATCGGAGCCAATTGGCGCACCCAAGGAACTGTTGGATGTGCAATTTCTCCTTGAGCGGAGGGAAGTCCACGACTGCCTGACACCGCTCCTCATCGGGCGAGCTCCCGCTCCGCCCGATGCGGTGCCCTAAGAGCTTTCCCTCCGAAACGCACACCTCCGCCTTGCTGATGCCGAAGGAGAACCCGAACAAGATCGACTTGTCGAGGAACGCCTCCAGGCTGACCAGGTGGTCCAGCAAGTGGGAGTCAGCCCGCGGGTGGCGATCCTGAAGATCCGCCCGCAGACAGTCGTAGTAAAGTAGTAATCGGTGGGCGGTTCCTCCATCATCTTTTCTATATCCCAGCTCTCAACTATGTGATAACTGGGATGGGAGGAGGTGTTCGCCGCGCCCGATTCTCGGGCCGCGAGCGAGCCACGCCGCCCGCTCGTCGCAGAGCCAGGCAGCCACCCAGCCCACTTCGGCCCAGCCCGCGTCCTAAAGAGCGCGAAGCGCTCCGTAACCGGGACCTCGTCGCTATAAGCGCCGCACTCGGCGACGTGCGGAGGTCGCGCGTGTCCCACACGCCACGCCTCGCCGGTTTTCTGGAGCAAGCACGTCTCAAACGGCTGGTCTTCGACGGCCGGCCCAGAGTCGTCGACCTTGAGCCTGCGCGCCCACACCGAGGCGGAGCCGCCAGGGGCTGCCCACCAGGTGTTCTCATTGGGCACGTTACCCAAGTAGGTGACGACCGTCGGGTCCTCGACGGGGCGCTAAAGGAGCCGCCGCCCAGAAACGCCGACGCGGCCGTCAAGAGGGCGAAAACGCCTACCCTGGTCTTGGCGCTCAAACCTGGTAGCTCCTCAGGAGAGCACTCTTCCGGAACCTCCGGGTTAAGGCCACAACGCCGCAGGACTCGCAGCTTTTGCCGGAAGCGAAGACCGTCTCGACCGCTCCACAGCCACAGACGGCGGTCTCTCCGCGACAACGTCGCCGGGCTCCAAGGTCCAGTCCGTGTCCTGGGCCGGCAGGAGGACGAAGCCTTCCTTAGCCCCAGTAGTCCAGACCCCTGGGACAGCCTCGACACCGCAAACGACCCCGGAACGAGCACTCCGTCTCCTGGCGCGAGGTCCAAAGCCTCCGCGCCAGGTAGCGGAGAGGCCCCTGTCCGAGCCACCGGGCTCGAAACACCCCTCACCCTCCAAACAGGACAGGCGAGCCTCGAAGGCGTACGCCCTGTCCTTGCGGACACGGGTGAAGTCCGCACCGGGAATCTTGATACTGAGCGTATCCAAGATGTGGTGCTCTGGGCCGGTTCGGAACCCCAAGCCCATTCGGCTGGCGCAGTCCAAGGCCCTGGGTCTGTCTTCGGTGCCAATACCGAGCTCGGCCGCACGGTTCAGCATGCCGACCAAGAGCTCCTCGGTGACATGATTGGCGTCGAGCATGCACTCGACGCGCTTGCCCAAGACCTGTACCACCGTACGGTACTGGTACCCTCCAGGTTCGTTGTCCGCCAGCGACCACCAGTCGCCTGGCAGTTCGTCCAAGGCACCGAACCGACCCTGACCCTCCCATCCTCGATCTGGATGCTAAAGGGGTTGCTCATGGAGGCGCCTGACGGCGGCCCCCAGTTAGCCGGCAGAGCGCCCGGCCTGGCCCTGACCCCCCTGATTCTGCCCTTGACCCGTGAGTAGGGTGTGCACCATGTCGCACTGTCCCTTCCTTCGGACCCTTGCCACCTCCCTTCGCGGCCAAGGTGGAGTCACCCCGCTTAGCAGCCAGAGCTTGCTTACGCAGCTCCTTGTCGTGGCTGTATACGGGCACGCGTCACACTTGGGGCAATTTCCGTGGTCACGGAAATGGAAGCAGATCTTTCCTACTCCCTTGCCCCCTCCCTTGGCACCAGCACCGGCCGCCATGGTGCTGTCCCTGGCAGCCGCGCCAGACTTGGCCGCAGCTTTCACAGCGGCCTTGAGATCGTTAATCTCCTTCCGCGCCTGCTTCAAAGCGGCCGCGGCCGGGTCCGACGGATCCGCACCCGGTGTGCTCGTGTACGTGGAGTGGGCCACCGCACGGTGCGCCGCCTCACGCTGTTCGTACTCGAGCACGACCTTATGGGACTCTTCCCAGGTGGCCGGCGAACGAAGCCCAACCTCCTTCGAGTCGCCAGGCCAGAGACGCTTGTCTGAGCGGATTTCCTTCTGCAAATGCGGCGGCATTTTGCGAAGGTAGCTCAAGTACAGCTCCCTGGGCGTTTTCCCGAGTCCCACAGACTCCAGGTCCGCAATGGACGCTTCAAACAACGGCTCAAATTGATGCCCCGTCAAGCGTCCCTTAGTCAGGGCGACGTGCTCACCGTCCACCCGGACTTCCCGTTCTTCCCGGGATTCTCCGAACATAAGATGTTTATTCTTAATCCGGAGATACACAGCCTCTGGGTCCGAAAGCACCTCTCCAGACTTCCAGGCTACCCTGTACGCGTTCGTGTACGTCTTGGCGCGTGAACCCTTACACCGCGCCCGAAGGGCTAGGAGCTTTTTTGCGCGCAGACACGCCGCGGCAGTTGTTCGCCAAGCCGCAGACGTCTTCGAACTCTTCGTAGAAGAGGACGACATCGAATCACTCTTGTCATCCGTCAAGGTCGGCCAGTTCAGGTCCGTCTTGACAGAAGTGATCGAATTCTGCCCGCCACGGGTAGACAGAGCCTCCTTCAAGGCCTCCGTCTGCTCCTTAAGGGCAGCGGCTAGGTCCGTAGCCACCTGCCCGTCGCCTCCGACGACCGAACCTCCATCGGAGCCCCGCCTCAGGGCTTCGATCTCCATCTCCAGCGCTGACAACCTGGCACGCAAAGGAGAGTCCCCTTTGTCCAAGTCTCCGGCGCCCGACAGGGCCGCCGGAGCGGCCGCCGCGGGCGGGGCGTTAGACAAAACCGCCGCCGTGGCCGCCTTATAGGCGCGGGGACCGCCGCCTTGGCGACGCTGCCCGCGACGGGCGTACCGTCCGGCGGCGCAAGAGCCGGTGGCGGCAGCGGGGGTGGCGAAAACGTCGCCCCCGGGGGAACGTCAAACCTTGTCGGCGCTAGCGCTCTGCTTGCCGCCGAGGGCAAGGATCAGCTCACCGATCGCTTGGATCTCCTGATGGACGTCGGCCGCATCTGCGCCGTCGCCACCCTCTTTAAGCGCTGCGACCGCGAAGCGGGTCCGCAGGCACCTAACCATCCTGGTCGGGTGCCAGTCGCCCCCGACCTGGCCAAACTCTTCGGCAAGGAGAGTCGCCTTAGTAGTGAGCATTGCGAGCTCACCGGCCGTGACAGAAACCCCGTGAGCCCGAAGCGCCAGGGCGATACGGGCCATGCGGTTCATGTAATCCGCAACGGGCTCCTGATCTGGGCGATAAAGCTCGCGCAGCTCTGCCTGCAAGGACTCAGCCGTGCCAGGAACGACCCAGCCCAGAAGGTCCCACCCGACCATCCGTCAGAGCCGGGACACCAGAGGGGAGCGCGCCAGCGACGGCCGCGACCACGGCCGAAAACGCGCCTCCCGCGACTGCTCCAGCGGTCCGCGGTGGGCCGCTTGGAGACACGGAGCCAGCTCCCGTGTCAGGGATCAGCTCTGGCCCTTCTCCGGCTTCCTCGCCGAGGGCCTCCTGAAGAGGATCGACCTCCTCTTCTTCTTCTTCTTCCTCCTCATCCTCTTCTTCTGCATCTTCGGTGTCATGGAGGAAGGACATGACGGAACGCCAAAGGGCCGCTTCCACTTCTGGCGAAGTATAACGACCGTCGCGCTTACGAAGCGGTCGGCTCCCAGTGGACTTCCGCCACTTGAGCCACGCGACGTAACCCATACGCCGCGGGTAAGGAACATCACCTGCCTCAATGGCCTGAAGCAAGGTGACGCCTTCAGGTTGACCCGCTACCTCCTCCGACATGGCGGGAGGCAAAAGGGAGCGCGGAGCACCCGCGCCCACCAAAGGGCCGCAAGCGTGAGCTCAAGCCCACGCGTCCGAGCGGACCGCGGTCGGGCGAGCTACTCAAGCTCGCGCCACCAACGGGCCGCGGAGGAACTGAGAGCGCTTCCCAGAACAGCCCCCAATTGTGAAGCACCGCAAACCGGTCTTGCAAAAGAGCAAACACGGAGCGGCAGCTGTCTTTTGCTTCGCGAGTCCACTCGCACGATCTCAGTCCCTAAGCCTGCAAAAGCGCAGGCCGTCGCGAGTAAGCAACTCCGCGAGGCGAAGCTACCCTAACTCACTACAGCCGTGCACACTTGGCACTGCTTAGAAAGCAAAGCATTTGAGCCAAAAGGCGTTGACAAATTATGTACAACATGCAAAGCTAACAAACTGACAGCAGGCTGCAGAGACATGTGCACTGACACACGTATGTGCACTCACAAGTAGTAGTAGTAGTAGTAGTAGTAGTAGTAGTAGTAGTAGTAGTAGTAGTAGTAGTAGGAGCAGCAGTAGCAGTGGTAGTAGTAGTAGTAGTAGTGGTAGTAGTAGCAGTAGCAGTAGCAGTGCAACAGCAGCGGCAGTAGGAGCAAGAGCAGGAGCAAGAGCAGGGGCAGTAGTAGCAGTAGTAGCAGTAGTAGCAGTACTAGCAGTAGTAGCAGTAGTAGCAGTAGTAGCAGTAGTAGCAGTAGTGGTGGCAGTAGTAGCAGTAGTAGCAGTAGTCGCGGTAGTGGCGGTAGTGGCAGCAGTGGCAGCAGTGGTGGCAGTAGTAGCAGTGGTAGCAGCAGTAGCAGTAGTAGCAGTAGTAGCAGTAGTAACAGTAGTAGCAGTAGTAGCAGTAGTAGCAGTAGTAGCAGTAGTAGCAGTAGTAGCAGTAGTAGCAGCATTAGCATTAGCATTAGCATTAGTATTAGTATAAGTATGAGTATGAGTATGAGTATGAGTATGAGTATGAGGATTAGGATTAGTATTAGTATTAGTATTAGTATTAGTAATAGTATTCGTATTCGTATTCGTATTCGTATTCGTATTGGTAGTAGTAGTAGTAGTAGTAGTAGTAGAAGAAGAAGTCGTAGGACGAGGAGGAGGAGCAGGAGGAGAGGAGCGGGAGCAGTAGCAAGAGTAGCAGCAGTAGCAGCAGTTGTTGTTGTTGTTGTCGTGGTGACACCAAACCTCATTGCTGAACCACTGGAACACGAATGACAACATCAAATTTTGCTTGCAGCAACGATGATGCTGCTAAGAGTCGCAATCGCACAAAAAGCCGGAACCATGACAGGACCCAAACAGCGCAGGAGTCCACTACTACTTCACATAGCCAGCGGCAGCGGCAGTGCCGCTGATTCGTAGCAGATATCACGGCAGGAAACACAATGGGGGCACATCCCCCGGCAATGCGGCCCGGTCTCATGCCAGTGCAGTCCGGTGCTTTGTCCACGTCCCATTTCACAGCCGTCCTAGGCCGATGAGATCTAGGACCTCAAGCCTGGGCTACCCCGCATTTCCCTTGAAAAGTAGAGAGCTTACTGAGTCGTGGTGGTAAGAAAATTTCATCTGGACTCAGGTTTGCAGCACGCGGCAATTGGTGCTGGTCTGAAATCCTTACACAGGGTTGTGACTTGATGTATCATCCAGAATGGCGTTTGAAGAAGCACTTGGCTGACAGTGTACTGAACCCGGAAATCAAAAACACGACGGTAGTTGGAACGTCTGCCACGAAAGACTCAGGGTACGAAGCCCAGGGTACGAGGCACGGCCTGTGATGGAAATATGAAAACAAAGGACACGAAGATGGATGATGTGCAGGGCTCCGAATCAACGCCCTCTACTTCGCCGGCCGCTGCTAAACTGCTAGACATTCGGCTTGAGAGAATGCCCGAATCACTAGTTTCATCCCTGCGAGACCTATCAAATGCAGAGAAAAGCGTTACTCCGTGCCACAGCATGTCAAAGCAGAAGACTTTTCCAGTTCACATCCGGAGATAACCAGCTGTAGTGAGGCTCAATTCTGTGACACAAGTTTCAAGACTCCTCCAACTAGAAGAAGAAGAAATACAAGAACAAGAGCACCGGCACGAAGATTCGCTGTACTGTCTATGGTTTTGTGATCAACATCCCCTATGTCAGCAATCCCAGGATCTTCTTGACAACCATCCTAACATCGTCAGCATCACTGGAATCTTATTACATCTTGTTGTACCACACCACACTCTAAGTGTCGAAACCGCAGGAATGCAAGCCGTGCGTCAGCACTGCTCCGCTTAGATCTGCATAGGAAAGATCTGCCTCCGAGAGATCCGCAGAGGAAAGGTCAGCACCTGTTCAACTCACGGCTTGGGAGGAGCTTCGGGCTTAGGCCTCAGTCGTATGCACTGAACTGTCCTATTGCGCACTTGACCAGCCTACTTCACGGCATCTGCGCTGCTGGAAGTATCTCTCTCCTCTCCGGGCCCCTCCGTCTCCTCTCCCCTCACGTACCACCTCCTTCTGCAGCTGCTCCTCCTCCTCCTACCACCACTCCTACTCCGACTCCTAGTCCTCCTCCTCCTACGACCGCCACTACTCCCACTACTCCTACTACTCCCACGCCTACCCCTCCCACTACTCCTACTACTCCGCCTACTACGACTTCTTCTACGACGACTACGACTACGACTACTACTACTACAGTCATGTACCAGACACTTCAAACCCTGACCCAGCATCGGCCTTTCAGCTTCGCTCCAGCGAGGTTGGCCTTGCGCAAGTTGACTTGCGGCAACTGCGCATGCCTCAGCGCTGCAGCTCTGTGATTTTGGACAACATGAAACTGCTGCTGCTACTGCTACTGCTACTACAACTACTGCTGCTACTACTACTGCTACTGCTACTACAACTACTGCTGCTACTACTACTGCTACTGCTACTACAACTACTGCTGCTACTACTACTGCTACTGCTACTACTACTCCTCCTGCTGCTGCTACTGCTACTTCCGAAATGCCCAAACCACTTCCCCACCCGCTTGGTGCAAAAATGGGTTTGGCCTGCAAATGCACTGCGGCCCACGCCGTTGTGTGCTCAAACACAGCATCCGCTAGCAAAGGACAACGACGACAAGACTAAGGAAATGAAGCCTAGCAGTAATCTGACATAAGCGAGCTGAGACGTAGCAGACTACAGCACGAATCCTTCCCCTGCACCAGAAGCTGAAGCCTTAACTCCCCCGTTGCTCCCAGCAACATCATCTCGGCGCTGAGGAACTTGGCGCCTCCCAGGAAGGAACTCAAAGACTCCCGGGAAGGCTTCGAGTTCTCGTGCTGAAGGTGTTGGGGCATCAAGCTGAAGGATTGCATTTCATTCTTGTTTGACGCTCCTTTTCCTCTCGCCTGTCGATCGGAATGCCTATCAGGCTGAAGCTTGGAGGCCGGACATGCATTTCAGGGTCTAGGCTTCTGATCCGCCTGTGAAGTTCGATTTCACCATATAGGCATGGGAGAGCCGAGCGTTGGAAAAGTCGGCGCATCGCCTCCGACACTTGGGTTGTGAGTCTGAGGGATCGGGTTGCATGTTGTGGGTTCAAAATTCAGGGTTGAACCGAGGTCGCGATCTGAATCGACACCCGGAGCCTGGAATGTTCGATTTTTCAGCCGCTGCTCCTGGGTTCCTTCAAGACTTATGATACGAGCACAGTATAGACTCTAAACACACAATGCAGGTTTGGGGTGAAGTTTAGGGTGGTGTGTCATTCTGAGAGAACACCTGTTGCAGTTGACCGCATGCATGAGTCGATCCTCAACCTGTTTTACTTCTCTAAACTGTAATGTTCAAAGCAACCCAGTTTCCGATTGCCCTTCTCTTTGGAAGGCGGCTGCAAATCATGAGGAACAACCGCAATGATCCAAAGATTCAGAGCATGAGATTACTAGCTGGAACGCTAGACAAAATGGAAACAAGAACAAAACGTTCGTCAACAACAGTCAGCTAAGTCTTCCGATCCAGGCAGCATCACCATGCAAGACGGCACAAGTGCCAAACATCCACATTCAGAATGCTGAACACTCAAAGCACAAACCTACACCCTAAACTCCACTGAACTGTTGAAACCTTTTCCCGAGGTTGACATGTTAAGTGCACGAGAGCCGCCATCGCCACATCCCCAAGGCCCCACAAAAGCACCAACCTCACCCGCACCTTCTTGCTTGTTCTTGAGACTCAGCCGAGCAACCGTTGTTTTTCGTGGAACACTGCGGGAACAAAGAATGCAAAGACGGCAGCTGCTACGAACATGATCAACCTCAACCAATTACTATTGAAGCTGTCCCAGCGACGCGTCGACTTGTTGAAGGTTTGCGTTGATCAGGCAGGTGCCGTAAAAGCTAGTGCCCACCAACTTGGCGTTGCGGAGGAATCCTGAGACGAGGGCATGTTCTTGCAATATACATCTGCATATGCATGTGCACACGAGCATACAAACACATTTGCATAAATAGTGAAGCACGGATGTTCTGCACATCCCTGAATTCATACACACTCGGCATCCACCCGAACAAAAACAGGACCTCGCATCAAGCGTGTCCTGATTAATCACTGCTTGAGTGGTGGTCTTCCGACTGCGGCGTGCAGGTCGACCAGACGAAACACATCGAAGAGCAAATGCATTCGCACGTGTACATACAAATATATGTACATACAGTAGGTAGGTACATACATACGTACATACACAGAAGCATACAAGCGTATGCGCCCATTCCCATACATGCACATCCATACACATATACATGCAATAACGTCTCTGCGAGCGGCATGGACAAGATTCTGATTGGGCTCGGCGTAAGGCGTGTATTAATGATGAGAGGCCGGCGGTGCGAACACCCAAAGCAGGGCTCTCACAAGAGACTTCATGCGGCTCGCTGGTAAAAGAACAGCTATGAGATCGAACACTCAAGTTCAAACGCAGCATCGGACATACATGCATACGTACGTACATACATACATACCAACATGCATGCCTGCATGCATGCATACGTAGATACATGTGTATGCAGTGTAATCCCAGATAAAAACCATGCGATTCAACGCAATGAGATGCAAAAAAACGCGATGAAATGAAATGCAACGCAGTGCATAGCACACTGCAAAGTTGCACGGTACGGTACAGCGCATAATGTTACATGGGGCTACTTGAAAATACCATACTGCATGAAACTACATACACTAAACTACATCGCAGTCCACCAATTTCCAATCCTACATACATACATTACATTACATTGCATTCATGCATGCATAATGCGTACATACGTACATACATACACACGGGGTGTCGTATGCATACGCTTAAACCTACAGTAGGCATTCTCGAACTGTGTTTGCGCGTGTCTCCATGCGCAGGCCGTGTCTCGCATCAAACTAGACTTCGCAGACGGTTGAAAAAAAAGTCCGAGAACAAATGAACAAGATCATGGACGATCGGGTATAACGATGCCCCATGCAGAAGCCGCGAATAAGACAGGACTCTGAGAACAAGCACCAGTAGCTCAGCACCCCCGAACTCCAGAACTGCGAACCTCCAGCGTCACCTGAGGTTCAAGACAGGTGCCCCCGGAACAACACATTGTGGGACTCAAGATGGTTAAGACATCGAACTCAATAACACAAACCTCTCCATCTCGAGCTCTCCCGAGCCTTGTGTAATGTCGGTCCAAGCCAGGGCGGCACCCGTCAAATTCGCCTTGGCTGCTGGCTGTACGGACTTTAGTTAAGCTACTTCGATCTCGGGTGCGCGCAGTGGACAAGAGCCACGAGAAAACTTAGGCGACCACCTGCCTACTCCTTCAAGATGCCTCGAGTCTTTGCACTTCATTTCCGCAATAAGGACGGAGCAGGTGGGCAACATAAAATTTTGCCGTACTCGTACTAACAATCATACAAGTTTAGTACTGGCCTCATGTAACATACACTCAAGCCACACAAGGTGCATCCCAGACTACTCTACACGCGTTACATACAAGCTCTTTGAATTCTCGGAGCCGTGCCGGCCTTGACTGGGGTTTGTCTGGAATGAGCGGCACTGGCATACTTGGGGTCTGCAAAAGGAGCCAGGAGTTGTCCAGGCCCTCCGACTTCCTTGAAATCGAAGCAGCTCTGCCGAAAACAATCGGCCCGAAAGGACGCCCCAAGCCCCAATCGGTGGCTGCCGGAAGGCCGAAGCAAGCCGGGCACCAATCAGCTCGCCGTTGTCCAATGCGGCACCCTGCAGCTGCGCTCCGGCCAAGTTGACACCTGCACTCCCAAATCGCAGAACCAAGATTGATCGCCGGACGTGTCAGCTCTTTTATTGGCATATCACGGGTGCTAGCCAGCCATGATGAGGAGTTGGCTACCCTTGGTGATGTGTTGTTGGGGATAGCGGTGGAGGTCGGGGTTGCGGCTGGTGCTGGTGCTGGTGCTGGTGATGAGCGGTGGTCGCTGTGATCGTGGTGGCCATGGGGGTCGTGCAGAATGTGCCGGTCCTGCTCCTCCCACGACAAGCGACGACAACCGATGACCGCCGACGACGAAGACGACGAAGACGACGACCACCAAGACCCCACACAGACGGCCACCAGCAGTAGTAGACGGGTGGTAGTGGTGTGGTGGCGGTAGTAGCAGTAGCAGTAGCTAGCAGTAGCAGTAGCAGTAGCAGTAGCAGTAGCAGTAGCAGTAGCAGTAGCAGTAGCAGTAGCAGTAGCAGTAGCAGTAGCAGTAGCAGTAGCAGTAGCAGTAGCAGTAGCAGTAGCAGTAGCAGTAGCAGTAGCAGTAGGAGTAGGAGTAGGAGTAGGAGTAGGAGTAGGAGTAGGAGTAGGAGTAGGAGTAGGAGTAGTAGGAGTGGAGTAGGAGTAGGAGTAGGAGTAGGAGTAGGAGTAGGAGTAGTAGTAGTAGTAGTAGTAGTAGTAGGAGTAGGAGTAGGAGTAGGAGTAGGAGTAGGAGTAGGAGTAGGAGTAGGAGTAGGAGTAGGAGCAGGAGTAAGGAGTAAGGAGCAAGGAGTAAGGAGTAAGGTGTGAGTAAGGAGTAAGGAGTAGGAGTAGAGTTGGTCGCGGCTCTGGCGGTGGTCGTGCTGGTCGTGATTGTCGTGGTGGCATGTTCGTGGTGGTCGTGGTCGCGGTGGTCGAGGTGATAGTGGTCGTCGTGGTGGTCGTGGTGGTGGCCGTGGTGGTGGTCGTGTGGTGGTCAGATGGTGGTAGTGGTCGTGGTGGCCGTCGCGGTCGTTCTGTTCGTCGTGGTCGTTGTGTTCGTCATGATCGTGGTGTTCGTGGTGTTCGTAATGTTCGTGCTGGTCGTGATTGTTGTGGTGGCATGGTCGTCGTGGTCGTGGTGGTCGTGGTTGTGCGGTGTTGGCACGGCACAGCGGTCGTACGGTCGTCGCGGGGTGCCCCGTCGCAGTGTGATCCTTCTGAACAGATGCAGCATCAAGCAAAAACGAACTTATGGAAATGAAAAATGTATTGTTGGAAGGCTTCCCCGCCTCCAAGTCGAGCTTTCTTCAGCTTGGCACCGTACAGCTTGGTGTCGTCGAAATCGCCATAGCACTTGGTGCAAATCGCACCCATTTCAGAAATGGCCTGATCCAACGCCAACCTCGGGCAGATGCGCTGGATCCTAACGAAACCTTACAACCTAGAGTTCGTTTCTCAACTTTTCATCATCTACGACTACATGGCGCAGTAAACATCACCTTGTAGCCAGCCACGAGAGTTCCCGACCCTTCAGCGACCGTCAACATGCAGGTATGGCGAGTCTGGGTTCAAAGCTGAACGGCTCCAGAAATTGCGATACTTGGTTAGCCTTGCTGGGCCTGATGTTGAGCACGAGCATCAGACCAAAGCCAACGTTCCCAAAAACTTACTGCTGCTAACTGGATCCGTTTTCGTAATCATGGCATACTCTCTCGCTCTTGCCTTGCCAGGGGTGTATGTGCTCTCTCTCTACCCCTCTCTCCGCCCTCCCCCTCGTCTCTGGTGCAGTGTCGGGTGTGGCGAAAGCTAACCGGAGGAATGGACTTTCTCCGTGAGCCCCAAGTTTCTGTAACATGAGCACACGGTTGGAGCCAGTCAGTTGTCAACAAAAACAAGCACAACGGCAGCACGACAATCACAAGGCAAAACACGCACGCAATACAGAGCACCTGACGGGCGACCCGACAATGCATTTGACAACCCATGCCGGTACTCCTCCAAAGGCAAACCCCAAAACTTCCGAGTTGTGGAAGTGACCCCGCAAAATACTTCAGTATCCGGGGATGAAGATCAAGCTGTTGCTGCAGACATTAATGCCAGGGTCAAAACCACTTGATTGTGACGGTGGTGCTGATGACAATGACGGTGACACAAGAAGTAGCGACGATGACGAGCACGACGATGATTAAAAAAAGCCTCATGGCTATGATGTTAAAGTGATGCATACTCGTGACGACGACGAACTCAAGCCCACAGCCAGAGTGGCTGGTACTGCCGCATCTCATCATCCATCGTGCCGGCAGCTTCGGCTGCTTTCGCGGCGTTCGCCTCTGTCGCAGCCCGATCAAAGACGTCTTCGTTCCGCGCCAAGGCCGCCATTAGCTCCTTTGACTTCTAGGGTTGTAAGACTCGGGAGTACCTAGATTCATGCCCATGTAGGCATAGATATACATAAAGACATACCCGCAGCCCTATATGCATGTACTTGTAGACATATCCGTAGGTACATGTACCTATGGGCATACACATATACATACATGTATTGCGGGTGTGTAAACTCACATATACAATCATATATACGCAACTAGATACTCGAATCTGATTTCTATCTGTCTACCTGACTATCGGCATGACAATCCACGTATCTGCTTGAAGTTTATCTACTTAAAAGCCTCAACGTGTACCTATATGTATATATATATATGTACCTATTTATACATACGTACGTAAAACTATATATATACACACGCATATACACATACATATACATGCCACATTTACATATGCGTCCCTTTATGTATACATATGTTTGTATGCACACGAATTCAACCGTTTATTTGTATGCATGCAGAAACATATGCAAACAAATATGTACATTTTTATTTTAATGTGTACATATGCGTGTGTGCATAGTGGCATAGTGTAAATACATGCATACATACGTACATACATATATACAGACACTTATACATATGTACATTCCTACATTTACATATCTTCATATTACCTTTTTTTCATGCATTCGCATACACATAGGGACATATATCATACATACATATTACCTATGCATGTAAAGAAGCACGCACATGTACGTGAGTATATGTGCAAACGTATATAAACTGTATGTAAGTGGGTATGCAAACATAAAAACCATATATATATATATATATATATATGTACGTGTGTTTATATGTATACATGCGTGTGTGCGTAAAATATCAATGCTCTCTTTGTGTGTACATATATATGTACACATTTATTTAGGTTGTATACAGGATGTATATATATATATACATATATATATACATATATATATACATATATATATATATATATACATATATATACATATATATATATATGATGTAGACAGGTTGCATGTGTGTCATAGAAGTTATGCAAGTGATACACACTCATGTTTGCAAATATGTATGTCTATATAAGTCTACATATATATATATATATATACACATACATATGTATATATGTATAGATATATATATATATGTACATATACATATGTGTATGTACCTATACGTATTATATGTGTGTTTGTGTGTGTTTTTTGGTATCTGCACATGTACCTGTATGTATGCATGCGTTATAGATACATGTCCACTACATACACCTCTGTACACATACTGTTTCTCTGCGTCGTAGGTAAGTGGGCTAAGCGATTGCGGTGTTGCAGTCGTTGAGTTCAGAACATCGGGACTACGGCCAGGAGGCAGCAAGTTTCAGGGTTCGTGACTGCGAACTACTTCGAAGCCTGCACATACCCAATTAAACCTGCTTGCAGTCAAAAGATTGAAGGCAGGGCGGAAAGAGGAAAAAAGTAACAGTAACAAAAAGCATGCGCCCCGGACTCTCAACCACGGAGTCACGGGCTGCTCGTTGAGTTTAAACATAAGAACATATTGCCTACAGGAGTCTACCTGCGAAATTCTCGAAAGCCTGGGGTTTGGAAATTGAACTTGAATGAAGTGCTGGGCTGGGGGTCGAGAGCTTGAACCTCAGTACCAACCTAAACTCGAGCTTAATCGTTGGTCTCGTCTCGGCTCTCACCAGGTGGGCACTTTGGATGTGGAGCCTGCTTTAAGAAGCCTTTAGGACTGACGTGAACTCCAAAGTTTGAGGCATTCCGATCGTCTCGAGATGGACATATCCGCATGTTGGATGCGAGCGATGCAATGTTGCAGCTGAACCACCTCGAAGTGTTTTGCAAGTTCTGCTGGCACGACATCGCCCTGGCCTGCATAGTGCACCTCGGTCGCTTCAGGTTTCGGTGCCCATTCCGCAAGAAGTCTGGTTCCTTCATCAACCTGTCGCTCGGCTCCACGGGCCGGACTCAACGTCCACACCGAAAGAAGCTGTGTGGTCTGCTAAGAAACAAGCCAACGAAGAAGGCTGACAAGGTTAAAGCCTACCAGAAGACACCCTGAAAAGGATTCCCAACGCTTGACTTGCAGGAAAAGCTGTTACATCGGGGCTGCTACCCAGAAACCCCATCGGCCACACGCCCGGGAAACATCACTCTTTACAGGAAATGTGTTGGTGCCTTGACTTTCGCATTGTCGTCCCCCAAGATGGGAAAGAATCGCTCGATGACCTCGGTTTGTAAAGTTGGCGGCGAAAGCTTCATCTTGGCTTTGAAGGATGCATGTCTGCCATGCACGCCGTACGATTTCCTGCAGCGTGCGGATGCTTAACACCCCGTCGTCGACGCTGTCGCGAGTCCGTCTTTTCGAATAGATATTGCTCAATAATGCTCAATGTGTCACTTGATGAGTTGGATCTTATCCTTTCCTCAAAGAGCGGAAGCAACTTCTCGTCTGGCAAGTCGCCAGAACGACATGTAGTTTACTTTTGCATATGGGTTACAAGTTGCTTCCTCCTCACCACTCGACTCAGTCATGCTGCTGCTTCTGTTCCTTTGTTCCTGCATCATCTTTCTGCGATCTTTCTCCTGCTGCTCCTGTTCCATCTCCTCGTACGCCCTCCACGCAACTATATTAACTATATCCTCCCTGTACTTCATAGATGTGTAACGAACTACCGAGGACTCACTTGCGACAAACAAACATTGACAACAGGTACAAGGGTGAGAACGGACGCATCTTGGAATATGTAGGGTTTCGGGTTTCAAGTCGAAGTCCAGCGTTCACGGCTCCGATGTCTACACTGTTGAATACACCGTTTTGGAAACCATGCGGCTGAAAATCAACACTCACGTGCTCCCGTGCCGCTGAACCTGACTCCAAGCGCACCCCGAACACAGCTGAAACAAAACTGTTCTGGCACCCAAACCCTATGAACCCTGAACCCTAGGCAACACTTTTCGAAAAAAGCCTAAGCAGTAGCGAAAGCGGCATGACATTTGCGCTGCTGCCCGGCACCACGCCACTCCTTCTCCAGTGCCAACTCTCCCGATGCTGCAAGCTCGTCTACCTGTCACGAGTGAGCTTGGAAGATGTCGTGGCGGTGCAGGGACAACACGACAAAAAGTCAGCAGGCCGAAGCACAACTGTTTCACGGCTACGGTACCTGTGGCGTGGGAAAGCGACTGTCACTGCAACTTCAGCTTCCACATTCAGAACCTCGACCCCAATGGTCGCGTGAGTACATTACAGCAGCACTTCTCCAACAACCAATATCACCACCTCAACCATCGAATACAGTTCAAGCACTCCTTATTTGTTGAATCATGAGGTTTGGTTGTTGGGTCCGTCGACACTGAAATTCCAAACAAGGCAGCTGCTGCTTCCGCCACTTCTTCCACCTCTTGCTCCACTACGGACACTTCCACCTCCTATGCTGCTGCGCTGCTGGGATGACTCTGGCTCCTACGCCACAGTGCGAGGTGACTGCCATGCCAACCAGGAACTCTCCACCATACACCCAAACTTCTTTGTTGGAGGCTCAGACCCAGAATGCGCAGGCATGGCCAACTGCATCAAACTCAGAATCCTCGGCCATCCAAAGAATGACACTCAAACCTCCCTGACCGACGAAGCGAGCACCCACAGCCTCTAACTGGAAAGTCTGCACCGGCGTCGTGGATTCCTGTATTCATGAATGCGAAACACACCACAATCCCCGATCCCGCCTTCTCTGTGTGCGGATTGTCGTTGAGCTGTTTGTCGACAGATTTTTGCCATTTCCTAAACGTCGAGAGTTTAGGGCCTGTGGTTACAAAAATACACTGCTAAGCTGAGTTTCAGCTTGGGCTAGCAGGTGCAGGTTAAGACCCCAAATCATTGGCCCTGCCCGGGACAGTTTTGCCAGGTACCTCAAAGGCTAGCTGGCCCAGAGGACTGTGGTGAATCATTGCAACTCGAGCACATACAATGCAGAACCACAGCAACGGAGCAGAGTCATACAAACGTAGTAATGTCCAACACTACTTCTCTGCAGCCGGTCGCTGATCAATCTCCTGGCACGTATATACGCATCCTTCGAAAAAACACCGATGTTTCCACGCAGCCACGCTGCAACAATGTCTAGAATCGGCTGATCTTTCAGATCATGCTCGGAAACACACTTTTCACAGACATGGAGAAGAACACTGTAACACAGCGAAATGTGCTCCAGGATGGCAGCACTGCTATGCTTCAAGATGAAAGGAGAAGCTATGCAAGCTCATGGGCTTTGGCGGCTGTATGGATTCAGATGTGTTATGATGTGTTTCGATTAGAGAAAACCCTCTAAAAGCAAAATTCACGCGAGCGTGTGTGCAACTGCACGTTGCGATTTTAGCGAAACGCTCGGTGCAACTTCCTTCACTTTCACAGAACTTCGGTCAAACATCGTCTTGCCGTGCACATGTGCCACATCACACAGGCATTTTACAGAACACTCCGTAGCCCGAAATCTCGACCCCTGTAGTCCAACCGCAAAACCCTGCACCTTGCGGAACTTCTGCGTAATTTTATGCTGGGGGCACCCTCGGCCTTTACGTGCCATCCTGGCTACGATCCGTGCCCGAGCCCAGTGTATGAAGGTGCCAGGAATCATGACACGAGCTATCTACACACCCTGTTGGTTAAGACGGGGATAGCCAACGTTCTTACATGTTCTTGCATCGCGCCCTTAGAGAAGATCATTGTCGTCGCAAAGGAGCTCAAGAATGCCGGCAGGCAGTCCGGAGTTTGCCGACGGAGCCTTGAGAAGCATGCAATGATTCTGTGAAAAAGATCAACAAACGTGATGACGGTGATCATGGTGATGATGGTGGTGATGATGATTATGCTGGTGATGAGGAAGCAAACCATCAGGATGCCCAACACGGCGAGAATCAGACTGAAGAGGAGGAGGATGGCGAAAGGCTCACGCTAATTTGTCTGACAATGATAACCAAAAACTGACCAGAACTAGTAAGATGATGGCTCTTACAACTATTCGTATCATCAGCATGCATCTATCAAGTGCATCACGGCTGTACTTAGATCTTAAATGTTGGTGCAAGAAGATCAACGACCGTCGGGCTAAACGCAATGAACATCTCGCCTTATCCTGGGGGCACAGTGATGGTTGTGGTAGTAGTACTGGCAGTAGCAGTCGCACTTGCGGTAGACGTAGCAGCAGGAAGAGGTAGCAGTAGCAGTGAGAGCAGTTGGATTTGTAATGGTGACGATAACAATGGCAGCAGCAGAAGTAGTTGCAGCAGACGTCGTCGTGGCAGCAACAACAACAACAGCAGCAGCAGCAGCTAGAGCAAGAACAAGACGAACAAGCACTGCCACGACCATCATCGCCGCAACCACAAGTGAGATAAAGGCGATGATGACGCCGGCAATGTCAACGACAGCGACAAGCATGACGATTACAACAACAATACTAGTGACAAGAGCCGCCAATTGCCGTGTCAGCAGCTACCTGCAGAGACTGCTTCCGAGTCGTCGAACTTCAAGTTTGACATGGGCTTTCAGCTCGCAACATGTCGCAACAACAATTGCGCACGGGGGTCTAGACGCAGGGTGCATCAATGGACATATAAGGGCCAGGTCCAGAAATTTGTTCGGGAAAGCAAGATCATCAAACAGCTACTTGGTGCTTGCGACAATCCGGGAGTTTCAGACATACTCGGATGAAATAGCAGTAATAGCTGTTTCTGACATTTTCTACAGGACATCTTAGCGTCAAACCCCAGCAGATCTTTGCACGTGACTCTGCCCAGCCAGAACTTCCCAGAAGAACTCCTCCCTCCTGAAACGACATTGACGAAACAGTACAGTCCAACTATGACCGCAACGGTGTTCTCGGTAGCTAAAACTCGAACTTGTAGCAAAATCCCCGCACTAACTCCGCCTCTCAAATACATTCGAGCAACAGGCTGTGAGGCAGGAGGCATCTTCGAAGACGCTGAGGCCGGCTCAAGTCTTAACTTTTTGGCAAACATGCTCCAAGCCCTGTTTTAGTTTCTTAACGCCAAATGCCACGTTGGGTTTTCATTTGAAAACAGTGGTTTGCCTGTCTTGCTGCCTCACATGTGGAATCGAACTTGTTCGCACACAACTGGGAAACGAGGACCGCGCAAACACCGTCGAATCTGTGGTGCAAGTGAAGCCGAGACATCAAGAAACGAAAATCGGCGTAATGGCACAAATCAATGTGGGAAGGCTTTCAAAAAATAGAGCCACAGTGTCAGGGACTGGGCCATAATGGTTCGACCCGTGGCAGCCCCTCGCTGGTCAAAAATTCAGAGCCGGTATGGCAAGGGCTCCAGCCAACCGACCAGCCCAGTTGGTCCTGATGTCATCCTTCTGTGGGTATACCACCCATCCTCAGTCCCTCCCCCATCCCTGCAGCAGTAAGACTCGCCCAGAACAGTGACACCGCCTTTTCAGATCCACGCTGGCTGATGATTGTTTGCGTGAAACAAGCAGGGGCCAGTGGCACAACTGTGGTGAGCATCTAGTGAGCATGCGACATGCCACATGAAGACCAAGGTCTGTCATTGACATATGATCATAATTCTTTCTGCCCCTGACCCATGTTTGAACTGCCTGGCTTGCGCAGGCAAGAACTGAACTCCTGAACAGAAGTCGCTGTTGCAGGAAGCTCGACACTCACCGCTCACTGCAAAGATGTCAAAGATGTCGGATTGCCGAGCTCATGCTTTCCCCAATGACTGCAGCGCCGAGACAACTGCTGAACATCACCCCTTCATCCATTTCTGATACAGAGGCTGCATGGGCCCCACAGTGGTTTTCTTCTGCATTGGGGCACAGCGCGCAATTGCTGTTAGGAGGCTGTATGCTTCCGCTTTGGATGATTGTGCGTGTGGAAAACTGCAATAGCAGCTTGAATCACTGTTAGGCTCGGCCAGCCTTGAGTCTGGACGACTTTCGTATCCGCCACGCTAGCCCGAGGATGATGCTTGTTCAATGCCAGCGTGCCGAGCTCCCTATCACTTCTGTTGCGGCGCATGCATCTCATACTGAGCGGCCGGATGCTGACATTCGCCGGTTCTGGCAAACCTTCGGACCGAACTTCTCCCGGCCTGCAATCGCGGGGCTGTCCTTTTAGGGATTGACGCTAATGCTGACTTTGTAAGCTGTGATGAAGAGGAAACCTTGGTAGGAGATCTCCTCACCCTCCACCCCACTAAATTGGGTGATGACCTCCTTTACACAGGAGGCCAGCGCTTGGACCACCTCTTGGTTACCCACGGAACGCGGGTTTCTGAGCACCGGTTCCCTGAGTTTGACATCTCAATGGGGAGAGGCAAGACCCTCTGCCCATTGTAATGAAGTTGATATTCGAGAGAAAACGGCCGGTCGGGTGCACCAACGGTGTCCCCATTCCGCCGCATGCGGTGCGTTTGCCCCACCGGGCAGTGCGGAGAGGGTCCAACAATTGTGTGTCGCGCATAACCAGGCCTTCCTGCCCGTCCTTCCCTCCAAAGGAGACCCTACCTGTCGGAGCCGCCGAAGGACTTTTGGATGCTTCGTGATGCTCGGGCTGAGGTGAGCGGCTCCATACTTTGGGCATGTGAGAACAGGAAGCTCCTTGGTGCAGTGCAGAGTTTTCTTTTACAAGCGTCTTCTGCTTGGTGCTTCGCATGTGGGCAACGGCATTGCTGCAGTGGTTGATGGTTTTGCGAAGACATCTGATATTTGGCAGCATCAGCTGTGATGACAAGATGTTTTTCACATTGAAAAGGGTGTGAAAGAAATCTTTTGGGTGCTGATCGTGTTCGACTTGTAACCGGGGATCCGCTATGCAAGGTGGCAAGAGTGCGTTGAGCGCAACAGACCAACAGCCAGCCCAGTTAGGCGCACTTGGTGGGCAGTTCGACTGGAAAGAGGCCCAGCGCTGGTCAGCAGCGGCAGGACCCGTATGCAGAGCTGCTGTGCGGAGAAGAAGCAATTCAATGACAAAATCAGCCGCTTTCGAGACCTTCACTCTGTGCTGGGAAATCTTTCTTCGCGGTTTTTTTTTGGCTTGTGCGGGCCTCGTCGACTACGGCTGTAGCACTCGGTCCCTACAAACGAACAAACTACCAAACAACAAAAACAACGGTGAAACAAGGAACTTAATTAGAGAGCGGAGCTAGCTGCGGTGCCCAGGCTTTGCCGGGGTTAACCGTTCAGCACTTGCTACGGGTCCTCAGCGATCGTTCTACGACAACAGAGGACCGTCGCCCAAAGTTGCCCAAGACCGTCAGTGGAGCCCAAATCAAGGCTCCGGCCGCCGTTCTAGTTCCGTCGAACAACGGTCGACCCCGAGGTCCTGTTGTGTCCCGATCGTGCACGCCAAAATCCACAAGTCCAAAGTCCAAGGCCATCGGCAGTGGAGAGACCCGTCGACGTATGTCGAAAGGTTGGACCTTGAGCATCCCATGAGTCCAAGGTCAATGGGCCTCGCTCCTAGGCAGGGGGCCATTCATCAAGCTTGCGCTGCATGTCGTTGCCACTTTGTGGAAAATGGGATTCCCGCAGAAGGTACAGCAATTGAAACTGGCCCGCATCATACAAAGCTTTGAGGCGGTGAAAGCCGTACTGGAGGGTGTCCAGGTCCGTGAAGGTGCGGCATAAGCTCATTGGAAATGAACGGGATTTGGATGCCAGGGCCAAGTCCGCCCTGCTCGATGAAAGCATGGGCCGCTGCACGCCACTCGTCTTGTCCCCACGTGTGTCCGGGACGAAACTGCGGTTGGTTACAGTCGTGCAGAACCCCCTGATTAGCTTCCTGTGCCACTAGGTGATTGATCAGAACTTGGGCCTGACAGTCCTGCATCGAAGTGGACACAGCGCCACAGGCGGACAGGGAAGTAGAAGTCCATTTTCCGAGGGCCGCGTAGCGCGTAGCCAGAACACAACAACGGCACTGAGCTTCCAACCCCGGATGGTGGCAGCCGTGCGGAGACAACACAAGGGGAAGAGCGGGCTGCGCCCGCAATCCCAGGGAAGCATCATCAAGAGGAAGCAAAAAACGAAACGTGCCTTTACAGTGGGCGGGGTAGAAAAAGCATCTGCGGATCGAAATCACCGCGCCGTGCAGGGAGAAGTCCACGGGAAAGCGACCAGCAGGACACCTCCACGTTGGTGGTTGCGGGCTCCATAGCATGTACATGGAGTGCAAAGATTCTCACGAACTTGGCTCGCGTCATGTGGTTTCTCATGCTGCAAGTGGTTGTAGGGCTTTGGTACCATCTTGGGTCTCGCCGGCGCGATTTTGCCCACAATCGCAGATGATCTTTCAGGCACGAGCGACGCTTAAAAACCAGAGCAAACCACAATCTCTGAAGTCCAGCATCATACTATGGGGGTACCTTAATGCGTCCTACAGTTTTCGTGGTTTTTCGAACACTGAAAATGGCCTCGCGCGATAGTACAATTTTGGAATTGTTTGTCCACAAATCTTGAAACCTTCCAGACCCCCCGCTCCCCCCAAATTCAATGTTTACATAGAAGCGCCCAATGAGCATTGCGGCACACATTGCGGCACACATTGAAATTGAGGGGGCGGGGGGGAGGTTTCTGAATATGCAAACAAGAAGACTGTCAATGACTGACTGCTGCTGCACTCGATAAAAACCATAACTCCTTCATAAAGTCTCGTTATAGATCCTCCCCGAAGTCCTGCCTGATCTTTCCCTAAACCCTCGCATGGCCAAGGCCCCCGTAAACTTGTAGATAGACTACCCTACAATTTTTTGCGCATGCCACCCCTCATGTTTTTCGTGTGCTCCTCCAAACGCTTGCTTGCGGACCCTCGCCCCAAATCCTGGCTTGCAGATCCTGCCCTAAACTCTGCAGATCCTTCCCTAAACCCCCCCTTTTGCATTCCAAACCCTGCCCCGCAGATCACTCCCAATGCCTCCTGCAGCACAAATTCCTATTCTTTGTGCGCATTTCCAGTGTTTTGGTGGTCCTGCAGGCCTCCCAACCCTTAGCCCTCCAGATAATGCCGCCCAAGCCTCCACCTGGCGTGCCCGAAGAGTGCCCGAATAGTGCCCGAAATAGTGCCCGAAATAGTTTTCTTCGCGAAAAATAATTTGGGCACTATGAAGGGTTCATTCGGGCACTTGCAAATCTAATAGGAATTTCAATCGAAATCTGAGCAAAACCAACAAAAATTTATGAGTTCAAAAGTTTAAAGATCAATGTTCATGACAATCAACGCACAACGCCGTCAAAAAAAACACATAAAACGTATGTTGGCACTGGCAGCACACATGCTGCTTCGATGAAGCTTACTGCTGAAACGCCTTGTTGGCCGCATTCTGGAGCGAGTTCCGCCGAAAAACCAAAATAAAGAACTCTTGAAAACAGCTTTTGGCTGTGTAGACCTTGTCGACTACCAGCTGTAGTACTCGGTTGTTCGTACGCTTTGCCGACAGTGTGAAGTCCAAACTATGGAACTTCGACCATTGAGAAAAGCTTCCAGACATTTCGAGGCCAGAAATGTTGCCGTTTGGAACAGAGTTCAAAAAGCAAGAATACTAATTCGCACGGGATCGCTTTGGGAAGGGAATGTCAATTTACCTGATCGTAGCATTCTGAAAACCTGAGATTTCAGATGTTCAAGGCTGTCAGCTTCTTGGAAGGGCCACTGGAGTGTTCTGGTGCTGGTTGGTCTCGCCAATGCGGCCGAGCAGCAATAGAAGACACTCTAACCTTCAGATGCGCCAAGGAAAGAGACGTGCAGACCTACAGGCAACACTGGCAGCAAGTAATCACTGTCCGGCCCATCTCGAAACCATGGCGAAGGAAGCTTTACGAGCCCATTTTCGGGGCCCGGAAAACAACAAAAAACGTCCAGCAACATTGCAGCAGTTTACGGGAGTCTTGGAGGCCAGCACTCCTCTTTGGACTCGAAGGCCTTGACTTGTATCCTGATTCGTTCTTGATAAAGCATTTGCAGGATCTTCTTGAATCTCCTTCTTTGTGGGACTCGCCCAGTTGTGGCCTTTGTTCTGCAGGCTTCGTTGGTCTCAGCATACAGTCAGTTGCCGCCTTGATTGCCATGCTGTGTTATTTATGACAAGCAGTTGTCGACATCATGGTCAACAGCTGACCACGCACAGACCGCGCGCATAGCTATCAGGTTGTTTTTCAAGCAAAGTTCCAATCCAATTGGAAGCGTCTTTGACGAAAGGGTAGGGAAGCCCTGGACGGAGGTTTCAGGCCTGGAGAAGTGTTGGGAGGGACTTGGCAAGGCTGCGGTGCATCAATAGTAGACGCCTTCAAATAGTGCCCGAATAGTGCCCGAAACAGTGCCCGAACTCGACCCCGTGTGAAAAACTGGCATGGGCGTGTTTACTGGACAGCTCTGGGTCAATGCGTGGCGTGCGTCTGTTTTTTTTTCTTTGCCCTGGTCTTGGCGCTTGCACGCTGCTCATTGTCCACCTGTCCAGTCCGCACACCATAGACGGGAAGGTTTTGTCTTTGCCGACCTTTTGGATGCTGGGCAATTCATATGCCATTGCGAAACTCAGTACGGCTGGAAAGCAGGGTATCTGAGCGATGATGGTAGCTGCTACAGTTTCACACCCACAAGCGTTGTAGGGATGGCGACGCCTGGTTTCGGCATCAGTGAGCCCTGTCTGCAACCAATGGTGCCACAATGTTCAGGCACAATACAACAAGCTGGAGCTCGATATCTTGCAGCCTGCAAAATCGCTTTGGCTGATCACTGCCAGTTAGCTCAAAGCCTGTAGGCCGCAACCGCTCTCTCAATGGTCTTTTTGACCTGGGCTGATCAGCTATAATAAGGTCGATTCAGTTTCACACCAAAGTGAGTGCACCTATGTGCAGAGCCCGCTCGCACAGCGTTCAATTGAAAAATAGTAGTAGTGGTAATAGTAGTAGTAGTAGTAGTAGTAGTAGTAGTAGTAGTAGTAGTAGTAGTTGTTGTTATAAGTAGCAGTAAGTAGGAGTAAGTAGTAGGAAGCAGTCGTAAGTAGTCGTCCATAGTAGTAAATAGTAGTAAGTAGTAAGTGGTACAGTAGTAAGTGGTAGTAAGTAGTAGTAAGTAGTCGCAAGTTGTAGTAGCTGGAGTATATGCCACGACAAGAAACAGAGCCACGAAACTGGTACTTGTTTTCAAATTTGAGTACTGTGTTATGATGCGCATAAACAGTAGGCACAAAAGAATCGATACAGAATCTAATGGTAGTTGCAATGTTTTGGGCTCCTACTGGTACCTGGTAGCTGCAACGAGATTGCTCCTTGGGGAGGGGGGTGCCATCTCAATGACAGTTGTAGGAGCAGGCACAGTAGCAGCAGCAGCTGCTGCGAACAGGTCGAAATGCATGGTCTGTTGGTATTTAAGGGGGTGGGGGGGAGGGGGGTGGTAGCATATATATATATATATATATATATATACATACATATATAAACACGCTTATATACCTAGGCAGTCGCACGAGGTCTGACATCGTTGGTAGACTGCCTAAGCCGTAAGAGCACACCAAAGCGTAAAAAAACATGGATCTTTCGGGGGGGGGGTAGCATATGTATGTATATGCTTTTGTTTGTTGACACATGGGCGTATGATGCATGTAGAATACAAATGAAGAAAGAAGTATATAAATAAAACCATTCATATATATATATATATATACATATGCACAAGTAGTTCTGTATGCCCTTGTTTGTTCATTTCTTCTAGTTGTTATTGTAAAAGATGTGTAACGGTTGTTGTCTGGAATGAACGAAAGATATCATGACAAAAACATCGTCCGTGAACACTGCAGGGTGCATAAAATTGCGTTAAGCAGACGCAAAGCAAAGGTGGCATATGTTACATGGATGCATGGACGGACGCATGGATGGATGGATACATGGTTAGATGATGGATGAAGGAGCAACATGTTTACTTTGTGCAAACCGCTCCTTGTGTAAACTCGTTGGGTTTTCTTGTTGCGAAGTTATGTGCACATGATTTAGAAAGATTTGCGCTTAAGCAATGCCGATATTTGTGATCATTGCGATTACCGTGCTAGATCCATTGCGATGGATGGACTGTTTTGGGTTAAGAACACGATTTACAAAGCTTTGAAACGCGCTGGAACACGTCCTTCATGGCGCAATGGGCGATGTCCTGGTCCAATTTTATCGTGATCGGCATCGTTGCTCGTTGGGATACCTTCGAGATCTTCATGCTTGGCAGGGCCAGTATGACAAGCTAGAGACAAATCATTTGAGCCTCGGCCGGTCATGTTTTGACGGTTTGTTTGGTTCTTGTTCGTTTTTTGGGGAATCGTTGAGCGTGCCAGGTACATTCAGTGGCTTTTTCCAAATTATTTCCAGTCGCAATACAACGCCACCGCGCCACAATTGAGCAAACCGGAAGCTTATGTGTTCCGCAATGACGGAGAGATCGCACGAATCTTGTCACAAGGCTACGATTGACAGCCCTGCACATGTTTGGCGGCAGTTTGCACATAATGATCTTTCCGGTGTCCTTGGCATCGAAGACAACACGAGGAAACTACATCCAGTCCTACCGTCTGTTCTTGGATTTCCTGGGCTTGCGGTCCGCAACGCATGATGCATGCTGTGTGCTTGGCAGGGTGAACACGTAATAAGTTGCAGGAACATGCATCTCCAGCATCCATGTGCAGGCTGATTGATTCCGAGACCGGTGAAATCGGTCGGGCGCCAAACGGCCGGGGCCGATTGCATGAAGCATTAGTGCTCCGGCATCACAACCACCTGCGGATCAGACGTGTGTTGGCTTCCTTGGCAATAACTGGGTGTCTCGGTATCCTTAGCGTATGCTCAAGCTTTGTTTCTTTGTGCAGGTTTAGTCGCATCATCCATCACATACAGATGCTTTGGTGAAGGTTCGAACGGTACATGAGCCCTTTGGTAAACCATTTGCGATGGGAGATTCTGGGCATCAGTCTTCGTTCGACTCCCGGCAGCAGTTCCTCATCTGTGCATAGCAGGCAGTTGCATAGATGTGAAGTTTTTTCCATGGGCTCAGCTCCACTCACAGGACAGAAAAAAGCTCTTCCCTCCGACGGCGCGTGACAGCTTTCCTGCGCACCATCTTGCCAGGCAACAGCGTGTTGCAACCTGTTTGTGCTGTCTTCTATTGTATGGCTACAGTATCTGTCGGAGGCCGGGAAAAGCCAGCTTTACGTCCTCTCCGAAACATACCTTCAGCTTTGGAGACTTGGGAGAAGTATGTCGACGGAGATTCTTCCCACTACTTCAAAAACACTCGTGCCTCCGAAGAAGACCGTGAAGAGCCACTTGAGCACAACTATGATCTTGATCCAGGTAGTTGTTCATGTAGTGACGTAATGTACACACTTTGAAACCTTTGGCAATTAGCATCTGAGGTCGGTCTTTTTCGGCCGAGATGTTGCCAGGGAGGCACTTGTGGAGCAGGTTGACGCTGGAAGCTCAAGAGGGCATCCACGGTCCTCAGCTTGGAGATTTGGAAGATTTTGTGTTTCGCATTCTGGCATACAAGCTTGTGCACTTTGAATTCTGTTGCCATCAGTCGACCCTGTCTGTGTGTGTACTATGTTCTGAAGGTTTCAAGTCGTGGAGACATGCTGCACCACTACATGCGGCTGTGCGCCCTTTCTGATTCTGCGATAGCCGATCCTTTTCTCATGGTGCGGACTCGAGAATCTGAGAAACGTGGAAGCATGCAAACTGGCCAGACAACCCATCGTCGGAAGATGCAACGACATGCGGAGCCTCTGCGGACGGTGAGGGGGCCCAAAGGGTCACGGTCTCGTTCTGACGAAGCCCTTTCCCGTCGAGTTCCCGTCAGTCTTGGTGTCCCGTAACACGAAGCCGCAATCCTCCGGCATCAAGCAGGATGCAATGAGGGGCACATGGGCATACTTCGGCAGCGTCAGCTATGCTCACGGCGGCGAGCATGTCAAGCGAGCTCCCGAATCACCTGGGAGCACTTTCTGGTTGCCAGCCGAGCTAATCGACAGCACAGCATGAAAGAGATAAATCCCGTGCCGGACCTGCAGCATTGTGACTCAAGAGGCTACTTTTGTTCAGCAAAGATTCATTCATGCAAGGCACCCTCCAAGGCTCAAGCGCGAGGGAGGGAATCAATTTTCAGTAGACGGATGGCGCGCACCGTCATTTTCGCACAGGCACATGGCTGACATGGCTAGGAGATGTGAGCTCTGATTTGTCAAGCTTCGCTCAAGATGTCTTGATCGCGTGTGCGTGTCTCAGGATGACCATGCCGCAGCGGAGTGCCTCGTGCGGGGCACTTACAAGAGCTCGGGCATAAATATCCTGGAAGGCCAAAAGCTCTCTGTCACATCCAGACAGGGAGTTTCAGGCCTCGCCCCGGGTATTGTAAACGGTGCAGTTCGCCTGATTATCTTAACTTAGTATAGTTGGCAATCAATATCCGGTTCGTGAAAGGTGACCTTGGCCATTCGTGTCTGCCCTTCGAGTGCTTACATTCCTGGTGTGGGAGTTTTGCACAAGGCACTCTTCGTTGCGTCGCAGACGAAATTGATTGCGTCTTTCCAATTAGCCAGCCATTGACATGTAGCGTGCAGAAATTTGTTTTGTAGGTTGTACATAACAGACGCATGATCTAGTTTCCAACATGCAGCATACAAGCATCCAAGCAGACCATACTTGTAGACAGAGCGCGTATACAGACACATACCAGGGCACATGCTGGCATACATACCTGCAAAATCCTGCAAAAACAGGTAACCCAATCTATGCATACCTAGATGGACGAATGACAAGTGCACCCCTCAAAAAAACAACTGAATACAGCATATTGCAGTATGCTTTAGCATTGTATAGTGCGCTAGAACTCGTGGATTCCAGCTTGCTATTGTACCATACTGTACGATAAGCCAGCCATGCAGGTGTATGTGGAAACATGCATCGCAACATTCGATGTGGCAAACGCCGAGTATTATAGCATGATGTTGTTTGCAAGGCAACCTGTTGGCAGTGAATCGTATGCACATACATAGATGCAATGTACATGTGCGTGTAATTTGTGTGCATATACAGATTTACACACACATACATATAGAGCAAACCTCCAGGGCCCCGGTTTCAGGGGGCGAAGTTGAACGTTGGAAGACAAACAGGTCAAAGGTGCAGAGCGCAAAGCACAGGCAGTGGGAAGTTTGACGAACGTTGTTTGTCACTTTTGGCTCGCTTCCCAAAGCGAGACCTCTTCACTAGGAGAAATTTGTCGCCTTGCTCTACTGTCCTTACAGCCAGTCTCTTCGCCTCCAGTCCGTTTTGATGATCATGGAATTTCTGCAAACGGGGCATGCACGATGCTGCAGTTGTGAGACGACAATAAAAGAGGAGAAGCTGTCTTCCTCAGTTGCTTGGGTTGAGGCCATTGAGCAGCGGCCACCGTGTCCTGGGCCAGGATCCCCAGCCCAGGAAGTGCAGGAATCAGGGTGACTCGGCACCCCGCAGGTTCCACAGGCGCTGACAGGTACTCGTACTGGTGTAGTCTCAAGCAGGCAGTACACTGAAGAGCAAGATTCCATGCAGAAGCGGCCATCGGTGTGACGGTGTGAGGCTTGCTGTTGGCCGAGGTGTGGGCAACGGTGCAAGCACGTCCATCTTCGCAAGGCAGGTGTCTTTCGCGGTCGGACGACGTGATCGATTCTGCTCGCAGGCGCTGTGTGGAGCTTGGCTTCGGCTTTGCCAGCGCCCTGGAGCCAGAAGTTGTCGCGGGTGCCTTGGAGCGCTTCAAGCCGGATGTCACCGTGCGCTTCTCAGCATTCGCATCTTTGAGGGATGGCAGATCCTACTGTATGTAGGTCTTAGGATGGAGCGGGGTCTTCAGGTTCTGGTGCCAGATCTCAGCGGCCAAGCTCCGGAGTCCTTTTGTGCTGGCGGCGGTCGCCAGTATGTGATGAAGGCACTGATTTTCTGGCCATGCGGTTCCACTGGCATATTGCCCAAGCGTTTTGGCCGATGCGAGGTGGGTTCTCCGATGAAAGGAGCACCTTGGCCGGTCCGGATCTGAGCTCGGTTGGCCCTAGGGCCCTAGGGGTGTCGGTGGCAGTGGTGAGCGTGGCGTTCTGCGCCTGGGTGTTTCATCCTTTTCTTAGCGGCGGTTTGAGGAGTTTGCCCCCATCTGGCTGCAGCAGGCGCAACTTGCCGGGCCTTGGCGGTTTCTGTGCCAGTGTGAAACTGGCGTTGCACACATGTTGCAGGCGAATAGCCGCGTCGCCATTTGCAAAGCCTCTGGGGAAGAGGCATTGTTCAGGAGTGCAAATGAACTCGTGAATGTAGTATGCATCAATCAGGTGGGTGCAGAGCTTGTGGCCGTTGGGAAGGACGAGACAGCTTTGTCGCTGCGTTGTCACCCCAGCAGCTGGTGCGCTTTCATGTGCACCCAGTTTTTACATGTTTTCTCTTGTTGGAGCTGAGGTGCCAAGCACGCGCTGGCTGGCGCCAGGCTGCTCAAGGTTCTTCTGGAGGATGGCGAAGGCGGTATCTGCTTGAGCTGCAGATGGCTTTTGTCATATTTGCTTGCACTTGCATATCCTCGTTTGAGGTGCCTTGCCAAAGCTTGAGCTTGTATCCTCCACAAGCAAAGAGGCACGTTGCAGCGGCTTGTTCGGACAGTGCTGGTGCGGACCGTTGTTGAAGCATCAAACATAGTTGGGACTGTTGAGGCAGCTCACACCAAAGTCAGGGTTCGAAACCAGATCGCATAAAGAATTCTGTGTCGTGATTCCTGGAGATCTTCGATGGTTTGCTTCTCGAACCCTAGTCTTTGTGTCAATAGATCACCCATGTCGAAGCTTTTTCTGCGCAGGCGCCACTTCAAATCGACTTGAGTTGGGACGAGGCAGATCTGTGGAAAGTAGCAAAGACAATCCTTTAGTGTCTTGTTTGTGCAAGGACTCTGTGGATCGTTTCATCCGAGCTTACCTTTTCCCTCCGCATGATCCTGCTGCCGCCTCCCCGCATTTGGGTGTGGTTACCAGCTTGCCTGATAGCCACTATGGCATTATGGGGACAGCTGTAAGACATCGTTCCTGAAGTCCTAGTCGTGAGATGCCTTGCCCTGCTTGAGGTAGTTGAAGTTCCTGCGAAGAAGGAGACCTACTTCATCGAGAACATGGAGCCGCTCAGCACATCAAGTGGATGCGCTACTATTCGATCTTCAGCCTGTCATTGCGGTCAGCCACGTGCAGCACTCAGAATGAGCCAACAGTTCTGAGGCAATTCAACGACTTCCGCATGAAGGTGCCGATGTGACGAGCTGGCCATTCTGTCATAAAAGCCCACGGCAGTCTGACCTTGGCCCCCACAATAAGACTTTTTTGTGGCGTTTTTCATCCCTGTTTGGAGTCAGGTTCTGGAAGAGGGCAATCGAGACGGAAACTTCACTAGTCGAAGCTATGCAGCAGACACGCCGCTCCCTGAGTGCAAAACATGTCTGGGAGCGTGCCCTAAATTGACGAGGGTCTGCATGCTGAGGCATTGGTACTCGAACGTCGGAGGCAGCATTGTCAAGATGGGGGATTCCGACATCCACATGCCGCTGAAAACCTCGGACAAGAAGCACAAGGCCGCCTTGAGGGCCTTCCAACAGTCCCCGGTTGTGGGAGTTGGGAGTGGTAGCTGCGGGCTTTTGCTGAGGCCATCATTCCTGGGGCTGCCATTGGCGCCCGGAAGAAGCTGCGAATGAATGAGCCACTCATTGGGTTGGAGCCTCGTTTGCTGATGCCCGGTCAGCCGCCGAAGAGCTGCCAAATTGAGGCCAAATGCAGAACGCTACTGCAGTGGGGCTTTGGCCTCTGGTTGGATCGGCTTGGGGCCCGAGGGGTCTCTGCGCTCAGTGCACGTTGTTTGGACTCGCTTCACAGGAACATCGCAGCCATCCAAGACTGAGAAGATTCCCACGTGCAAGACACCGGAAATCACAGAAAGCTTCTGACGTATATGAAAGGACGAGAGGACAACCGAAACCTAGGAGTCAGCATGTAGGCAATTGTTTTAGACCTTGTGAAGCGTGCATTCAGTAATCAGTCAAGATCCAGCTTGAAGCACTCCAGCTGCAACGCCTCAAAGATGGCCGTCTGTCCACAAAGTACCGGCACCTTGCCTGCAGAGAGCATCTGTGTGGACACTGTCCAGACGTGGAAGTCCAGTCGAAGCCCATGCCAGGTCTGGCCGCCTGCGCTTCGCTGTGGGCCTCGCGCGGCTTGGGAGGCGCGAGCGCGAGCCTGGTGCTTTTGCGGCCCCGCCCCTTTTTGCCTTCGTTGTCTCTGATGGTGCAGGCTTCCTGGCAAGCTCAGGAGCCTCCCGGGGCTCGGTCGGGGACGATTTGTGCGCTTTGTTGTGTGGATGAGAGCACAAAGAAGTTGAAGCTTGTGACTTTATGCATCCCAACTGCGGTGAATGTGAAGCCTTCTGTCGTGGCGGCACCTAGAGTCAAAGCCTCAATCTTCCAGCAACCTCTTGAGAGCGAGTTGAAGTTGTACATTAACTCAAAGCCGAACATTTGTAGGCTCCGGCAGCATATTTCCTGTTTGTGACATGCTTAATCATGCCTTCCTGCATTCTGGGGTACTTCGTCCAGATTCGCTGCAGGACGTCAGCGCTTCGCGGCACTGAATCAACCTCGGCCACGATCTCTTTCGGAGTTTGAGGCATCTGAATGATAATTAGGTCTTTCAATAGGTTCCGAATCTGTTCCTCACTCTGGATTAGTGTTCTTTCTATGTGCAATGTAAAGCATCATTTTGTCTGGTTTATTCTGCATTTCATGTCTCCGACAGCGAGCCGAGAAGCACAGAAATAAAAAACTCGTCAAGCTAGGCCAGCAGGAGCACGGCACTGTGACTGCTCGAGCATAGTCCGTGATTCGGGTTTTCGAGGCCATCATCTCGGCCAAGCGGTCAACGCGGTTTTGCACTTCGGACCCCGTGTTGGTCCTCTTTCGAGCTTCAAAGCAAAGTCTTTTCGGAAATTTCCAGAAAAGTTAATGTCAACATGTGCAAAGACTAGAAAGAAAAAACTGTGGTTTTGCAATGCCCCCGATTTGACGTAGAATTCAAAAACAACAGTGGTGCCCGTGATATGCTGTTCTGACGACAAGATGTTGCTCTGGCTGCCCAGAGTCAGTTGCGGTTCGCACAAGCTTTGTCTAGATCCGTGGCAAAGCTTTGCGGATGCTGCGCAGGTTGATTTCGAGTCTCCTGTCGGAAGGGGAGCTTGCTCAGTGGTTTTTGCCACTGACTAAGCATTTCCCTACTTTGTCAAGACTGCGGCAAGGTGGTATAACGCTTGTGCGACCTGCGATGCAATGAGGCTGGCAAGCACAGAGGCAGCAACTTTGATGTGGCCGTGAAGGCTCTGCGGCATGAGTGACATCCACCAACGTCGTTGGTAGCGACTGAATCATGATACTGTTGGACACAGCAATTAGCCCGAAGAAAGGGAGACTTGATGGCAGCGCCGCGGAAACTTTTTGCACGTTCCTCCAAGATGCATCCTGGAATCCTGCTCCACTCGCAAGGCCATGAGCACGGCACTGCCCACGGAGACCGGGGCCCTGCCCGTGGCTTCAGGCTGAGTAGGGCGTCGCATTCTTCGTCAATCTCGTTGCTGCCTAGTCACTGAACATCACTGGCCTGCTGTTCTGCTCTGTGCACCTGTGGCAATGTTGGCTCGGATCAAGTTTGAGTTGAAGCATGGTGAAGCAGGGATAGCAGGACAATTGTCGCAGAAATAGCAGTAGCAGTGAAAGTGGCGGTGACAGTGGCCGTGGCAGTAGCAGTCGCAATTGGAGTAGGAGTAGGAGCAGCAGCAGCAGCAGTAACGGTAGCAGCAGCAGGAGTAGCGGTAGCAGTCGCGGTAACATCAGCTACTAGTACTCGTCGTCGTCGTCGCCGCAGCAGCAGCAGCAGCATCAGCAGCAGCAGCAGCAGCGGCAACAAGTAGTACTAAGTAGTGCTAGTACTGTAGTTTTCGTACCACTAGGAGTAGTACCCGTGGTACTAGTAGTACTAGCAGTAGTACGAGCAGCACCAGCACCAGTGGTAGTTGTAGAAGAAAAAAGACGTAGAGCCGGACGTAGACGTAGTAGTTTGTAGGAGTAGAAACTGGAGCTGGAGCAAGTGTACAAGTTTGTTGAGGGATGAGGAGGAGAAGGAATACTGGTGATGTTGCTAGTGACTGCGGGTGGTATATTTAAGGCTCAGAGCTTGTAATGTGTTTGCTGAATGCTTGGCCACAGGTATTTGCAATGAGAGCACAGCCTTCGATCACCTGCTCGAAGGCAAGCGGTATCTGTGACATTTTTTCTCATAGGAATATGCACACATAAATAGAACTTTATGAAGGAATGAGTGCAAAGAAGGAGTACGTCAGTGTAGACCCCGCAGCAGTGAAATAGCCCTAGATGGTCTGAAGGCAATGTTCAGGGCCTCGGGCTCAGGGTTGCGGAATGACGAGTAGGGTCAGGATTTCAGTTTCAAGGATTCTTTCTGTGCATGGTCTGTGCAAAGCTAAGGGCTTTGTGCTTAGGAAGGGCAAACTGTTTACAGGTGCATTGGCGTATTGGCACATGTTCATGAACTGGCATCGATTCGTCCCCAAGATTGCACACGCATTGACGCAGTGGTGCGTTTACATTTCAGCCATTAGACTATTCCCGAGCATGCAGATCTATGTGTAGAATGCAACATGCAATATGATCGATTCTCATGTTATGTGACGAAAAGTACGAGCATCGTTGCAGCATTGCATGTGCAGATTTTTGTGTGTATGTACATTTTTTCGCGCACACACACACACACACACGCGCATATTGGACTCATTGCCTGTCAGCCACTGAGAGATAAGAGCGGGATTCTTCTCTTCAGGAAGGCTTGGACCAAGCTATGTGAGGCAAAGACAACGAGTACAGTGCAGGTCAGCACGTTTGTCCAGGTGTTCGCCACCGAAGTTCGACGTGGAACGGATAGTACTCTCACACATGTCTCGCAAGTGTTCGAAGTTGGATCCTTGACACGTAAGCAAATCATTTCATTACATCAAGAAGAATAGAGGAACTTGATGAAAAGCTCAAGTGATCGGCCCAGCAGACCTCCAAAGCGGAGTTTCACACCCGGGTCATCGAATCCTTTTCCCACATGCTACCGTCGTGTCCACTTAATTGACTTGGCAAGACTGCGAAGAGTTCGCGTTTCGAGGCCCGCCACACCCCAATGTCGTGGAGCTGGTTGGCCGGGTGGCCAAGGAACCATTTTCCATCAAGCGCTTGCCTGCTGAGGGCCTGCTGTGCTTCTGTGCAAGTTTCGAGCATTTTCGAGCCTTCCACTGTTGCTTCCCAATTGCAGGTCGATTCGAAGGTCTCGGCAGCGAGGTTGGTGATCTAAGCATATAACCCGTCTGGAAAGCAAAAAGGCTCAGGCAGTGTCGGATGCTTCCCTGCAGGATGAGCAGGTGTACTACTTTGTCACAGAACTTCTGGCAGGACTCTGGGATGTAGACAGTTAGAAGCAGTCAGAGACAGCCCTTTGTAGCAGCGGGCCATCATTTCACCGAGGAGGCTCTTTGGAGGACTCCTTGCAGGCAGGTGGTATGGAAGAGGCGACAGCGCGGCGCATCATCAGGCTGGACAACATTGCCTGCCGAAATGCATGTCCTTGCGATTCGTCGGGTTCAATCATACCGGGTTGCCAGTGCAAAAACTATCCTCCCGTGACCGGGTGGAGGAAGTTCGTGACTCCCGCGTGCATGCGTCCCTCCCCAGCATGTCGGCTGGATCTGCAACCAGAAATGGATAGCACATTACTGCGAAACTGTGCCGCAGTTGAAGCTGCCGAGAAAAATTGTTGCAACGTGTTCGGTTTTGAACGAATGCAGAACTGTTGTGCAAACAACCAGAGGGGTCCTGTGATACAACAAGCTCAATAGAAAAGCGGGGTAGTATGCAAGGCCTTAATGCAGAGTTTTCGCCACCGGAAGAGTCCGTTGTGTGCCTGTAGCCCCAAGCAGCGTCCCATGTTTTTCCATGTTGTGACGAACAAGGATTCCTATCGGTGTGCAGTGTTCTTGCACCCAGTCACTGGTGCCGGCGACGATGTGTACTCGACCAAGCCCCTAACAAGGAGTGTTATGAGCCGTACGATGGTGTGCGAGAGCATGCGGCCAGGAGCGTCTGCCAGGGACTGGCCAGCCTGCATGACCAAGGCTGGAGATTTGTTCGATCATGCGATGTCGCGAGAGGCTCTGGTGTTTCGTGACAGGCGTCGTGCACAGGGATCTCAAGCCTGGAAACGTTCTCTTCAGCAAGGGGGAGGAGGACACTTTGCCATCAACGTTGAAACCTGGTGCGGTCTGCAGATGGAAAGCTGCAAGTCTTTCAACGAAGCCGTTTCATAAGCCCTGCAGATTTCCGTTTCTCTTTGTCCACTGCACTCGAACTCGACAGCAGAACCAAAGCTGTGATTTTCCAAGCAGCTTTTCTGGATTAGCCAGGTTGCTGGAATGCTTGTGCTCTCGACGCCGCGTTTCGACTGCAGGATCCGAAGCTTATCGATTTCTCACATGCCGCGCTGGTCAGTGGCGACGAGGCTCTTTTTTGGCGCATGTGTCCTTCGTGATGCCGAGAGTCTGTGGGGCGTCTGAGAAGGAGACATTGACCGGGGAGCTTGGAACGCGAGGTTACGTGGCTCCAGAGGTCGCAGACCGAGTCCAGTCATTGGAGCATCAGGATGGAGGTCTCTATGGCATGTATGGCACAAACTTGTGTCGCAAAGGTGCTCTCTGAGAAGCCCTATGGAAAGAAGTGTCTCTTGGATGATCAGATGCACTTTGAAGGGTCGCAGTCCTTGTCTTGTAGTGCCCACAATTTCCAGCTGCTTCACTCCCAACATCAGGCGACGTGTTCTCCCTTGGCTGCACTGTTCATGCGCTCCTCAGTGGCCGTCCGCCGCGAAGGCAGGCTCCGGAACGTGTTGTGGATGACGGGAACTTGATTACATCCTGGAGAGTTCAGGACTCTCAAGACTAGAGCCTGCTGTCGTCACAGGGTGGCTCATGCTTCTCGCGACTGCTTAAGTCAAGGCATCTTCGTGTTGGCTTTGTTCAACAGCTGTGCGGGTCCTAGAGGGGCGGAGCTTGCATCGGCACTTCCCTGCCACCTTCAGCTTCCAAGCTTCTCGCGATTCTCAGGCCTAGCTCCGTTTCACCCTCTGCCCGCCGCTTCGTGGAGGCAGCCGTGCTGTTCATGGACGCAGAGCGAGCGTTGCGAGCACGGTGTCACGTTGCACAGGCACTCCTGACTGTCGATCCGAGAAGCCGCCCCTCGGCCAGGGAGGTGCCCGGTTACGAAAAAAGTATCACATCGGTGTCTGCTTACCGAGACTAGGCAGATTTCTCTTGGCCGTGAAGGGTGCTGAGTTGTTGGCGTGTCTGGAGGCCTTGGCGGAGAGGTGGCTGCAGGACTGGGTCTTCGGGAATGCCAGAGGGAATTGCAAGGAGCAGCAAGTCCTTGGAGCTTAGGTCGACATGCAGCGGGTTGTTTGGCAGGAGGAGTGATCTTCGCCGAAGCTGTGTGACTTGGGCGCAGCATCCGTACGTCGAGCACAGGATTTCAACTCCCACTTCCTGGAAGATATATGTTTTCAGTACTCAAACATGCGGGGGGAGGGAGGCGAGAGTTGCATCAGCCCAGCACATTGTGTGATCATTCACATAAGAGAGGGGTTGTGTTACATTCGGATGGGGCTTTGTAGCAGACATCCGGGATGGATCCGGCAAAAAATATGATGACCTATCAGACCTGTGGCTTGGGATTCGGACCCGGTAGAAAAGTATCTATGAATCTTCCAACGTTGGGATGTTGGGATACTAGGGTGGGCCCCGCATTACAGTCAGATAGATCATGTCGGGATGGAGCCCGACAGAAGGATGGTCACCCCGAGAGACATGTGACTGCGTAGTATATTATTCGGGTGCACTATGGAAGCCGACACTTCTACCGTCAACGTTGAAAGTAGAGTAACATACCAGATCATCGAATGAACGGAGTTAGGAAGCATACTGCCATCTGCAATCCCTCCTGCCCATGCCGTGCTCTTGTATTGCACATGCCCTTGCGTACTACATATCTTGGAGCTTTTGCTGACTTGCAAGGCTTCGGATCATCGTCCCGGCTGAGACACGGCAGAATGTTATTGCATTGGAAAGTATATTACAGTATATGATGGTATGTTATAGTGGGTTATGGTGTATGATAAAATCACAAAGCTTTCTTCTCTGCTCCTCCCAAAGATATGCCAGACGTTAGAAAACAGAAGCAACCGGTCCGGACCTGCCATCTCAGGTAGACGACTTCCGGGATCGTCGGCATCCGGGCTGTACAGACCCCGAGATCCTAATACTGCCGATTCTTGAGAAGCCTCTCTGCAGGGCTCATCGCGTGGAGCTTTGAGTTTAGGATTCAGGGGTAATATACGATACTATACTGGAAGATACGAGTACATGTACTATAATGCAAGTTGTGTTGCGAAGAGATTGCTGCGGATGCTTCTATCTGTCGTTTCTGTCGCATACGCCTGGTGTGCGATGTTGTGCGAGGGCTAAAACTCCGTGCCCCACAATACACAGTAAGAGAGACAGAGCATTTAAGTTTCAAGAGGCTTGTCGTCAAGTTAGGAGTTTAGATTTTCCAGAATTTCCAGATTTGCCAGATCAGAGAGCGAGGTTCGCATTGGACAACCTGATTGGCAAGCCTCTTGCTTTTCACTTTGAGCTCTCACGAAATCGCCTGGTAAACAAGTGGTTCAAAGGAAATATTCTTTTGCATAGCTGGTGTGTGATTCGCTGACAGCAGCTGGTGAATATTGCCTAGTGGTCGGCCGTTGACTCTCTTGGCAGACAGTGTCGGTTGTTTCCCATCTTGATGCCCAATGCAAGATCTACGAAGTTGCGCATGTGGACCCAGCGCTGGCAATGTCGCACTCCTTGAAGCTGCAATCGTCTTCACACTCATGTAGGTCCGGAAATGGCAAGAGCTTTCAGACGGAGACGCGGACGGGCATCACTGATGAGATTTGACATTGTAAAGAAAGGTGTGCATTCCGGAGAGGACGCACGGTGCACGTGCCAACTTTGGCAACAATCTTGTCCCGACGCCACACCGGGCATGTTCCTGCGGGGCACTTTGACAGGTGCGGCTGGGCGTAAGAAGGTCTACGGCTCCCCAGTGCCACACAAACTGCCGCTAAGAACAAGGAGAGCCGAAGCTCAAAGAACGAGCAAGAAGTGTGACAGGCTCGTGCAGCTGGGCAGCTTCTGTGGGACTCTGTAGTTGAAGACCGCTTTTGCCAGATCGACGTAAAATCGTGCGGGTGCCGTTGCCGTGCTTTTGAGAGGGCAGGTGATGCTGTACATATAGCCCAATTATCTCTGAATACCTTTAATCTCTGTGCGGGAGCTCGAAACCTTAGGACAAACCCATCTTACATTTACAGCACAGCCTTCGCTGCTGTTCGAGAGTGGAACTTCCACACACCTCGGTCTCTTTTCAACGAGCAGTATGGGGTCGGTGCTAAATAGGCTGTGGAGAAATGGGAACCTGCACATTCCACGAAAGGAGGTTCACAGGAATGCAGGGCTTTTTTGTAGAGCAGATCAGGTTTATGCAGGTCTTCTGACTTGACGGAGGCAGGCCGTAGCAGATGGGCTTGCATGAAGAAGCTCCGAATCGGGTTTCGATGGTTTTGTTCGCTGGTGTGGTTACAGCTGTACTCATAGCCTGAATTTGCGCGTGGGGTCAGCATCAAGGGTTGGGCGTTTTCGGAATGTGCACATTCCTCTCGTGCTGAGGTGTTGAAGGGCCGTATGTGGCTTGGCTGCAATGCCGCGCCTTTCCCTGCCCCCTGCGACGTCGACTCTAGATCCACACACTAATACTCAGCTTGTACGGATATTGCAGGTAAAGCAGTTCGAGAAGCACCTGGCCCGCATTTGCGGCTGCTCTGCAGCCCGCTCCTTAGATGCCCTGCAAGACTGGGGCGCAGCCTCGACGACCCTGGGCTCTGAACCTCTGGGATGGGTGCATCTCCCCTGTAGAGAAAATGAGGCATGTGCGGTGCAGAGCGGTACTGCTGCCCTGTACGGGGCCATGAAGGCCAAGATTTAATTCTAAGCTGCTCGTGAATTTTCTCACAACTGGCCCAAGGGGCACAGCCTTTGGGTTTTTGTATCACAACTGGAGAGAACCCTTCTTGAGATCGTCAATTCTTCGCAGGCTCTCGGTGTCTCGGATCCATCTCACCATGTCCTGGTGCCTGCGTTTACCTGCCTGCCACTCAGAGAACCTGGCTTGCGTCCTAGCGAGAGTTTGCATGAAGAAAGGAGTATAAAGTCAGGCCGGGTGAAGCATAAAAGGAAGATCCCAGCACCAAAAATTTGTCAGGTCCAGCAAAACGAGGTTCCTCAGCATTGCCAGCCCAAGACAAACCGGAAGGTAGTACGAGAGCAAGAATCGTAGGCCCAAGGTTTTAGTCTGTTGACATCAGTCTATAAGGCAGTTCCAGGGCGTTAAACCTCCATGACTATTTATTCTGGTGCAAGATTGCTATCAACAGTACGGCTATGACGACGACCTGGCCGACAACAACTACTGCTACTACTGCTGCTGCTGCTGCAACTCCTTGTAATACCAGTACCAGTACCAGTAAGATACCAGACCAGTACCTGTACCAGCACCCAGCACCCAGCACCCAGCACAAGCACCAGCATCAGCATCAGTACTAGCACCAGTACCTGTGCAAGCACCAAGCACTTGTGCCAGTGCCAGCACCAGCACCAGTACCAGTTCCAGTACCTGTGCCTGATGATTTTCTTCCTTGTCTGTAAGTAGCTGACAAATCCATAGTACCAGTACCAATACCAGTTCTAGTACGACTACGAGTGCTGGTACTATTTTGGCTACTACCACTTCTTGCTGCTGCTACTATTGCTGCTGCTACTGCTACTACTACTATTACTATTACTATTACTACTACTACTACTACTACTACTACTACTACTCCTACTCCTACTCCTACTCCTACTCCTACTACTACTACTACTACCACCACTACTACTACTACTACTACTACTACTACTACTCCTGCTGCTACTACTACTACTACCACCACTACCACTCCCACTCCTACTGCTACTGCTACTGCTACTGCTGCTGCTGCTACTACTACTATTACTACTACTACTACTACTACTACTACTACTACTACTACTACTACTACTACTACTACTAGCCACCCCCACCCCTTACCAACTACACTTGTTCCATCCGGGCTGGGCAGCGGTAGCTGCTAGACGCCTTAACTGCGACAGTTGCAGAAGATGCACGGGCTCAAGCTCCCTATCTGCGACAGCTGCAGAAGTTGCAGAGGCTCAGTTTCCTTAACTGTCACAGCCGGTGAAGTTGCAAGGGCTCTGGCCCCAAAACTGCGACAGCAGCCGAAGTTGCAAGCTCGACGGGGAAGAAACTGCTAAACCGCAGGTGGTCGGATAGTACGAAAACGCTGTAAATACCGTGCAAAACCCAGGTGCTGCCAAGAAGCGTTTCACATTTCTAAAACTTGAAGCGCAACATCTTCTAAACATCCAAAACAAAGATGCCAGCTGTATGTGGGAGGGGTTCGCCAACACCCCTACCACTCAAACTCGCCTTCGGAGGGTCTGCTTTTGAAGTGGTGTGTGTGGTGTGTGCGCGCTTGAGTGTGGAAATATTGTTCAGGGTGTCCGCAAAACAGTGTCGTGATCATCCCCGAAGAAGCTTTCCCGCACACAATTTCGAGTTTTTTGCAGACAGTTCGAAACAACAAAGTTTAGTATGCATAGTCGAGAAGTAGGGGCTCAGAATATGTAACAAAGTCCGGCATCACGAAAGTACTGTAAATACCGAGTAAAACGGCTCTTGTGGTGATGCTGTTGGGTGTGTTCGCGTAACACTGTCGTCATCATCCCCCCGACACCCCCCTACCTCCGCCCAGAAGCAAGCCCAAAATCAAGAGCCCGAGTTTGCAAACTCGACAAGTCGATTTTGAAGCCTCTCATGATCGCGCATGAGGAAAGTGCCGTAAATACCGAGTAAAATGGATGTTGTCTTCACATGGTTAAGAGCAAGTGTAGTTGGTAGGGGGTGGGGGTGCCTACTACTACTACTACTACTACTACTACTACTACTACTCCTACTCCTACTCCTACTCTTACTCCTACTCCTACTCCTACTCCTACTCCTACTCCTACTCCTACTACTACTACTACTACCACCACTACTACTACTACTACTACTATTACTACTACTACTACTTCTACTACTACTACTACTACTACTACTACTACTACTGCATTCTTCTCCTACCACCACCACCACGACGACGACTACTACTACCCCTACTACTGCCACAAGCATGTCGCAAAAGGCACGAAGAACCCTCAAAAGGAATAATAGAGCGTGAAGAAACATAATATAATGTTGATCGAGGATCATACGGTGCTTATACATATGTGTGCAGATTTGCATATCTGTATGTGCATCTATGTGTACGTGTTTGTGTGCGCACATATTATTACATATGTCTGCAATAAGGTTGAGGGATTGGGGGCTTGGGTTTGCAGATTCAGGTTTAGTTGTTGGGCATGCTCGGGTCGGGTGTTAGTGGGAGAGGCATCAGTGTATCGGCACATCACTCGTAGCGACTTTTTTGCACATTTCTACAAATATACAGATTCAAATACAGTTGTTTGTCTGTCTGTATGTATGTATGTGAATATGTGCATTAATATACATACTATACACATGCATATACATACACTTATACATGTACGATATACATATAGATATACGAACATATGCTCAGTCATGCCTTGAGGCGCTGCATGTGCCGATGCTATCGTCCATGCTGGTGGCAGGTGCGAATTCCGCATGGTCCTGTTGTGTCAGCACATGCACACTGCTCCGCCAGCCAAAAAAACAAAACCTTGGCTCGTAGAGTTGTGAGATTCTGAAAGTTGACATGGGTCGATACGAAGGCCTATCCCCATCGACTGCGACTTGGACTCTTACGGCCTGTCGTTGGAAGCGGTGCGGAGCGGGCTCGAAGCCAACAAGGCTCACTAACCTCTGGTGCTCTGGCCCAGCGAGGTGTGTCAAAATTTCGAGGATTTCTTGACCTTGGGGTCGGGCAATAGTTGTGCCAGTGGGGAACAGCACACCTGGACGACCATTCCGAAAGTCACCCATAATGTTGGGAGGGTCGTGCCCGACAGCTCCCGCTTTTCGTCCAATCTGACATCCGTCTCACTTGTCACGACTGCGCGGTCAAACGACTCCTTATGATGCAAGTCGCTGGCCCTACTGCATGATCGAATCAGCTTTAAGTTTCCCGGAGCAATTCATGAACGCAGGGCGTTGTGGGCATCGTCATCGCTCCATGCTACGGCGTGCCGGCACGCGACTTTGGCGCCATCCAGGCTTCTGGCAGCTTGCAGCCTGCACTTGTCCCATGTGAGGTTTCGGAAATTCGAAAGCCACTTGACCAGGCCCTCTGCAAGGAGAAGGGGCTGTGGCTTTGTGAGGACTCACACTCGGTATTGCTGCGGGCTTTCTTGGCTTTCTGTCTCATCTGGCTCTTCCTGAACTTCGGTGCCGTGGTGCCCAGGATGCCTGCGAGTCCTACGGGGCCAGCTGCAATGTGCTATGGGCTGCAAAAAGCCGGGGTCTGGATAGGTAAAAGTTTCAACCGCCCCACCGAAAGCCTCGAAGGCGTCTAGGGGACCTCGTCCCGAAGGGAAATGTCAAGATTGCAAGACCCCATCGGTTTCGGACGTTTCCTGGCGCCGATGAATTGTCGACTTGGCCGAGGTCCGTGGCTTTCGAGTCCCTGTCGGGTCAATGGCAACCCTGAGTGTCGTGTCTGTGCGGGATGCTCAGCACTTGGGCGACTAGATGGTTGCATTGACGCAAAATGTCCTAAGTACCTATATACTTAGGACCCTTTGGGGGAGACTCCAAAGTTACTTAACCTACTCGGTTTAGGATGTAGTTTACAGGGCGTCGGATTTAGTTTATCGGGACCTGTGCGGGGTACGGGGTTCAGGGTTTCGTCTTTAGGTTATGCTCTGTAGAGCATGATATGGATCCGTATCAAGGCACCACAAGTCACCTGAGACTCAGCTGCGATATCGGAGTCCGGTTTAGGGTTTCGGGTCTACGGTCTAGGGCTCATTGCTAGGACGTCTAGGAAAACAAAAATTGTATGCCGTGTGGTTGACGAAATCTGCCTGACTAACAAGTTCCTTTGTAGAATCGACAGGGTGCCTCAGCCAACCTGGGGGGGTTTGTGTCAGTTGCAGCCTCAGGCGGTCGGAGAAGATGATCGGAGTTGGTGAGGCTGGGAGAAAAGGGGGGCCAGGGCACCTTTCAGTATATAGTCCTTATGCATCATTCAACCGAGCCTTTATTCTGGAACACCTGGCAAAGACAAAGACATGACCCCCGTAGGACGGAACCAAGAACAGTCGCACCTTCACCGTCCCCGACCCATCCACAGATGCAACCAAGGTAAAATAGTCTCCTTTTTTGACACCGCTCGTTCCTCGCACCGAGCCGAACCCAGTTTCCTTCATGAATCAGATGTGCATGTGTGCATCTATAGAGGCATGCCTGTCTCTATGAATCATTAGCCTCTGTCTTTCTTCTCCCAGCATCTGTGGACTTACATTGATGCGAGCTGTGAGGGTGGTTTTCGAACGCCCGTTTACCGGGATAGAAAGGGCCTTGAAGGGTGAGCCGAGACAATGCGCTGCTGGGCAGGAGCTGGCCTTGGTCTATGAAGTCATGCAGCCCCGCAGAGGGCGATGGACGGCACAGAACCCGCCCAACAAGTTGCAGTCATACAGAAGGTTGACACTCGTTCAATGTAGAAGCAAACACTGTGGGCACTCCAGAACCAAACCCAAAGGAGCCACCGACGATCGGACATGCGACATGATGGGAATGCACAAACTGGCGGAAGCCTCCTGCCTTCTTGTAAGGGCAGGCCGAAGCCGTTCAAATCCAGACTGTTCGGAGTACTCTTTCCAAGACACGGGAAGAACTTGCCTTTGCACGATCTCCAAGGACAGTTGTTCGGTACTAGCCGATCTGCGACATTGGTCGCGCATGTCTCGAAAAACAGGTGTTGGATATTGAGCAGCCAAGAAATGAATGGGAGGGAATGGACTGGCACAGAAAAAGTCTCCAACTGTTTCAGCTCAGTCGCGAAGAACGCCGGAGCAATGTTCTTAGCATGAATAGTTGAAAGAAGACCCGAGACGACACATTGAGCAGATTTCTTGCTTTCGGCTGTGTCGCACAGCCCAAGCCAGACAGACACTTCGGCATCAATGGGGGATACTACTCCCAGATTTGAAAGCAGACCTTGCAACAGCCGACAGCATGAAACCGTTCGCTGCGGAATCTTCCAACATCGGCTTCCAACTATGCGGCTACACGCTTAGGAATGGCCTGTGATACTGAGCTGCATTGCCACAGCTCGGTTTGGGTTCGACCGCCTTTAGGTTTGGAAGATGCTCGTAGGACAAGCCTTCAAGCAGCCTACACTTGTCCACATCACGTCAGGGTGGAGCCATCCTGGGGAATGATGCAACGTTGGTCGCGCGGGCCAAGTGGTGGTGCTACTCGTCTGTATTCCGGAGCACTGCTTCTGAGGGTTTCAACTCTGTCGCGGGGTATCGGCTGTGACACGCACACGTGGGAGTTTCCGATTATAGCGGACCCTCATGTAGCACCCGTACCCTTAAAAGTAAGATCCTGATCATAAGGGCCCCTCAAAATAAGGTGTCCCTAACTTTCGGAAACTCCCATGCCGAGTTTGTCGGTCGGTCGATTCCTGCTTTCTTGCTCGTGCCGTGTCCCGAGTTTAGGCTCCAGAGCTCCCTGCAGAGGCCTGGTCTGGTTGAGACTCGCAGAAACCTGGCCGGGCCAGCTATGTACATTGAGCTGGTGCTTGCGAATCATCATCAACGATCGCAATCGCATCGAGGTGTAGGCTTGTGGCGCGTGTACGAGCACGACGCAGTTGGGCAGAACTTCAGAATGCCGGAAATGCCGCAGTCCCAGTGCAAGTACTCAAACAAGACTGGCGAGCTACTGGTATGATTTTTGCAAGGCTGCTGTGTCATGGTAGGATCATCAGTCGTCGTTTCATTGATCGACATTTACGAAGCGAAGTTTTCTTATGGGTAAGATCACTCTGGCATGACTTGAGTGAAGGCTTGGTGCAGGCCAAACTGGCCCTAGGCGTGTTTATGAACGACTTTTCTGGGATGTCTGTACTCTGGCCGTGTTTTTCCTGTAGCCAAGTGGCTCAGCCATTCGCTGGGCTGCCCGAGCGGGCTGCCCGGACGGGCTGCCCGAACGAAGCCTGAGATCATCATTGCGTGAGGCATATCAGAACACCATCGCATCTGGTTTCATCTGATTGAGTCACATTCTTCTCTCATTTTGTCTGTTTTGGTACTTCACATATGGATAAAGGACCTCTCTAGTGAAAAACATTCGAGAAATCTAACGTAAAGTCCGGTGCGCAACATGAGATCAATCGTGTTGGTGCTGCTTGCTGCAACTGCCGCTGCAGAGCTGCGCGGGAGGGCCAAGCGGCAAGGCTGGAACGTTCTGGGTCACGTGTTTGATGAATGGGGTAGAGGCCGAGGCATTGTGACAGCGTCAAAATGCAAAGGAGTTCTTAGGCTGAGTTTGCCCGCTTGAGCTGCTCGCCTGGTATGAGCACACCCGTCTGCGAATCTGTGAGGCCGCTCAATTGGCTGTTCCTGTGACTGTGTCTTGGCTGACTTTTCTTGCTCTCGTCTAGTCTGGTCCTGGCTTTTGTAGCATATCAGAGAACCAGAGGTTACAAAAAAGGCAGAGCGACGGCGGAGACACGTAAACAACGCAGCAGGCGAGCCATCAAGCAGAGAGCTGCATCGAGCAGCACATCAATACCCAGACAAGCTTCTGCATCAGAACCATGCCTGAGAGGGGGCCTAGATCCCACTTGCTGAACACTGCTTCTGCTGGATCAGGATAGCAAGAGAGCAAGAAGCAATTTGACTAGGCACGACCGCATGAAACAAGCAATGGCAGCAACACTGCAATGACATTGGCAGTAGTTGTAACCTTACAATATCAGTTGTAGTTGCAACTACAACAACAACAAGCATGAGGATACCAGAACTTGTTGTTGTCATAAGGAGTTGATCTTCTTGCATGTGTTGATGTTGCCAATGGTTGTCTGATCTGCGCAGCTAGTGCAGTGAAAGAAGCCGCTACAACGAAGATGTAAGCCTTGCGACATCTTGCAGCGACCCGGCAAGGCTGCAACGTGGCACAGCGCCGCCCAGATGAGCGCCAAGGTGTTGTAGGCACCAAGCTCGCCATGAGTTTTGGAGAAAACATAGGTCGACGATGGCTGCCGCAGGCGTGAAATGCGCGCCAGCGGAAGGCCACAGCCGTGAGGTTTGTGCCGAGCAGTGCCAAACCTCTCCGCGTGACGAGGCGATGGGCACACGTGGGCTCGTCGCGTGTAGGGCACATTGCATGGCGGCGCAAAGGATCAGAGCATCAGCTGTTGATCTCTCTGAGGTGCTCGGCCTCGTTGCCCGGGATGAGGTTGTGGACTACGCCCGGTTCTGCTTCTATGCATCCCGGTTTGGTATAATGAATCCAGCATCGTCGGTGTTGAACCAGCCTGTTCAGGAAGTGCAATTGCTGTTTCCGCGCGCCCAGGAATGCAAACCGCCCTCCGGGTTGACCAGTGCACTGAGCTCACAATGTCTGGCATTGGCGTCAGATGAGACAAAGCAGGTGCCGAAAAGAGCCTTGAGCCCTGTTTCTTTGCATTTTCAAAGCGACCCAAGCGGCCTCTGCGAAGCGTGCGCCTGCAGGTCACCGACGCAGATGGCAATCCCTTGGATCCCGCGTTCTTGTATGAGCATCAGTCGGTTGTGGCCTTGGCAGAGGAGGGCGACGAGACTCCGGACGAGGATGACTGGCTGGCATCTCCAGGGTTGCATAGCGGAATCAGCTGATTTTGCTGCACCAGAGGATGTGGAGACCGAAGAGTCCAAAGAGTCATCGCCGAGCCCTGGCGGGTTACTGGGGTGGGGCCTCCAGACATCCACGATGCGGTTCTCTGCCGAGGAAGCTGCTGGCAAACACCACCCAGTCCAAGTCCGAGGCTGGGATGACGTTGGCCTTCGCGGTCTCCTAGGGCCCGACAGCAGACATCGGTTTAATCATAATGTTTGGGGCTCAACCGCTGTCGTGGTGGGAGCAACAGTCTCTCACGTAGTTTCCGGACATGCTGTGGCTTTCGCTAGCACCAGGTTCTGCGCGTGGAGGAATGATGGGCTTGGGTAGGAGATGTCAGATTCGTAAGTCTTCTTGCTCCAGGATGCGGAGAACGGCGAAGACTCCGAGGAGCTTCCAGACACTTGACTGGTTCTATGTGGTTGGTGTGCCAGTGTTACTGCCTTCTTACTTCTTCTAATACTTCTATCGCAGATGTTCCCTAACAGGGTTCGTCCGCACCTGAAGCACAAGGACGCAGAAAGTGATCCTCTTGTCGTGCCTCAGCTGCAACATCACAGCTCCAAGTTGGGGCAACGTCACAGCTCCAAGTGGGGCGAGTGTGCAGTTAGGAAGGCTATGTGAAGCTGCGAGTCTAATGTGAGGGAGCAACAGACCTGTGGTCCTGCTTATATGGTGTTTAGGATGCCCCGTCCAAAGTGCAGATGTGAGCCTGGGCTGGTGCAACAGTCGGAGAGCTGTGACAGGCGGCAAGCGGTGCACGAGATGCAGCCTGGCATGCGGAGGCAGGAGATACAGAGATACATTGTCCCGTGCCATACTTCCGTGAGTTTGAGGCACACTGCAGGTCTAAGGAAGCTGAGCAGCCAGTGCGTGGTCTGTGTGTAGCATGCCGAAGACCAGTGACCCGAGTTTCCAAATAAACAGCTGTCGGAGTATCCCCCGCAGCGCGAGGGATCGGCAGCGAAAGCGGCACGCGCAGCTCGGAAGGCTTTGGAGGCTGTTGCTGAAATGTTGAAACGGCGGTAAAAAGTTGAGCCGCCCTACCTCGTGGCGAGTAACGAGAGGCACTGGAGACTGGTCGCAATGAAACCTGGCAGAATGCAATGACGGAGGCCGACAAGGCCCCTTCAGTAGCAGGGGACGGAGAGTTTTTTCCGGCTGCAATCTGTTGCATTGTAGCCGCTACGCACCTCAAGGCCTTGAGCTTCATGAAGCAGACTGACTTCAGGCCGATCGCCTCAGACACGAAGCCTTCTGGCAGCAAGTCTTCCTTCTGGCAGGCTGGCTACAGCCCATGTAAAAGGCCCGAAGCCCTGGCGAATCCAGGCAGCCGAGGTGCGCCGATTCGTAAGCCCACGAGAACAAAATGTGACCATCCGAGCACATTTGCGATGGCAGGCAGCTCGAGCAGCAGCGCAACCGTACCTGGAGGCCGGGATGCCTTAGCTGAGCTGCTGTCGTAAGGGATCCGGTGGCACTGGTGCCGTGTGCTGACAGAAAGGGTCCTGCAAAGTCCGAGGACAGCAGACGGTGAGTGCAACACGTGCAGGTTTTGGAACGTGCTGCCGCGAGAGCTGAGTGCGCACAGGCTCACACCCACCTCGCCGAGACGCTGCCGAACCTGGACCGCCAGGCCTCCATGCAAGCATCCAAGGCGGCGAAGGCCGGGCCGGTAGAGAAGGCGAAGGCCCTATGCCGTCAGCTCATGTTCTGGATGAGCGGCTCTTGCTCGCAGGACCTGCAGGCAAAGGCAGACGAGCTGAAAACGAAGGCTTCAAAAGGGCGGAGTATGGCATGCTCTTATGTTCATCGCCTGTAGGCTTCGAGTGCTACTAGTAGTCTTGGAGCATAAGAGCGGAACGAACCTGATCCACAGCAATGGCACCAGGCGGCTGTGCTCCGCAGACGCGGGAAGGCACAATGGAGATCAGAGCAACCCTTTGGATCTGCATGTTGTCTCATCTGAGATCGCGGTTAAGAAGTTGATTGACACTGTTGCACACTCGAGACTGGCTGGGGATTGGGAGCCGGTGCTCTTGATGTCTGATACCGGCCGTCCTAGCTCTGGTTGTGATTTCGAAGAAACTGCCTCACTTCCACGCCGCTGCTAGTGCTACTTTGAAGAGCACTCCTGTAGATGTGTGGCCTTCGAAAACAGGAAGCTACTAAGACAGTGACGTTTCTTTAGTTTCAATGTATTTTAGTGTGACTGGTTGATATTTCAATACGAATTCGGATGAATTCCTGCACCTCTCGGCGGAATGAATCGGATCCGTAGTTTGTAGCTCTTCAGGAGGCTGGTATTCAGGAATCGTATCGGCGTTTCCTGCCGGAAAACGCATCTGACGAAACTGATGCTTCCAGAACTTCGCTTTTCGGGCCAAAGCCGTAACGAGAAGCATTGCCAGATCCCTTTCGCTTCTGCCTTCCGACAAGACCTCCAAGGTGTAAAACTCTAGAGCAGGCCTAACCTTGACCCAAACAGTTTAGGGTTTAGGGTCTCTGTGTGGCCTATCCAGGATACCTCAGCCGAGCTAACAGAGCAGTTCGCGTCGCAAACAGCGCAGCAGGCAGCCGAGAAGGACAAAGGGCTTCGGCAAGTGGTTCATCAAAAGGTAGTTCCGTCTGTCTGTCTGTTCCTGAAACCGGCGCGCTTTGCCAGGATTTCTTTGTTGGATCGTTCACAGTGTATCCATACAAACATATCCAGTTCTTGTGACGGTCTTGCCTCCTTCGCTGCCAGTGTTGAAGTAGGCGTCTTCTGAAGGAGCAAGCTGCAAAAGACTGGCTGGCAGCCGCTCACAGCAACGAGCAGAAAGCGCGGGACGAACGTGCCACAGCTCAATGCATGCAGGGGTAGAGTGCAGGCGGCTTTGGGTGCTTTGGTGCATGGTGCAGACTGGTCATTGCTCACAGCTGAATACTTCATCTCCTTACTCTCGTGTCAGGTTACTTGGAGAATGCACAGGCCGTCCTACTCAGAGGGTCAAGCATCTTCGGTGTGTCGCGGTGTGCATCGGTGACAAGTCAGCAGACAGAGCTAGGCAGCTAGTGCTGATGTCCCGCTCACATGGCTCGCTGATCTCTTCGCGCAGGTCGCAGCACAGCAAGCAGCCCAGCAGCTGAAGCTGCCGCAGCGCTACCAGCCGCGTGGTTCAAATGGTTGTGATCAAGGATGTGCAGCTTCATCTCACCTGATCCGATTTCCAGATTTTCGGACATCAGAAGTTCGAAGCTTTGCTCTTGAAGGCATCAGGCAGGCTGTTATATGGGCCAGGGCGCGCTCCATTTAGGAAGAAAGGCTGGCCACCCCGCTGCATTCAAGCTTAGGGATACTGGGCATGGTGTCTGCTGTCTCGGGTCCGGGGCTGGGGCAGGTGCTTGTTAGTTGAGCTGGAGCTCCGACGGTTGAGCTTGTGTTGAGTGAGTGGAGCTCCGACTGCGTTTATCGAGAAGACGGTGGTATCATTCCGCAAAGGAGTGATTAAGCCGTGCTTTGGAGTTTGGATGAGCTTGGGTGATGCCAGCTTGCTGCTTGCAGCTTTCCTGTTCTCCTTCCGCTTTACGGTCGGGCCGACCGGTTGGGAAACCGTTGTGCTTGCGTCCACAAGATTGGGGAGCAGCAAACGCAGGAAGTGATCTTCGAAGCAAGTCTTGCTTCGCAGCATCGGGCCTCTGAAAGCAGGCACCTTTCACACTCGGGACCCACGGAAATTTTAAATCTTTGATCTTGGAGCAAGTAGCTATTGTCTTGAGCATCTTCAGTGCTGATGCCGGGATCCTTGTAACATCCACGGATGCTGGAGGCCTGGGTGTGGGAATCTTTGGGTGCTGCGTGCTTGCGCATGGATGCATTGTATTGAGCGGAGCTCTCTGCTTGTTGTGAAAGTATTTTGTGTGTGACGGTACTGATACGTGAATGGCAGAGTCCTTCGGATAATCGGAAAGCGTCTTGTGCAGTCGAGCTGCTAGCTTGCCTTGAAGCGATGCTGACTGCTTCGAGACTCGAGACAGCTTGTCTGCAGGTGAATCTTAAGAAACCTTCAACGTTCCAATACGAATGCTCTCCTTTAGACTTCGCTGACCGACCTGTGCCGACACTCGTCGCGGCTGAGCTTGACTGGACCGCACATGAAACGGATACCGCATCTGCTAGTCTAAACACATCTGCACGACAAGACAGAGAACAAACACGTGCAAACCGGCATGCGTCTGACATCGCCTTCGCCTAGGCTGGCTTTGCCCCCGGACCCCTTGCGGCATTGGGCGCCGACAGCATCGCCGCTTCATGCAAACAGTTTATGTGCTCGTGTCACCAGGTCCGAGTGGAGCTTCATCAGCCGTGTCTTATAGCGCCAGCAGAAACAGGATATGAGGGAAACTCTCGTATGTTGAACGCATTTTGGTCTGAGTCGGGAAATGATCGCTGCTCGAGGTATCCTCTGCCGGCACAGTGATGCAGACTGCCGTGGCCACACTTCCATTGAGATGTCGTTGTGGTGAAAAAGATCATGCGCTGTGCCACACTTTGAATGCAAACATGGTCGCTCTTGACTGAGTCATCTTTCTGGGGAAGCAGACGGCTTGCACTTGGCACACCAACATGGTGCAGTGGAGGTTGGCGGCTGTCGGTTGCGCAGCTGCCGAGATGCTCCCAGCACGGAGCCCAGACGTGCCATACCAATTTGGGGCTCTAGCGTACCCAGCGTTTTCTGGTACACGATCCGGCTTAGAACCCAATTTTGGGAAGGTCTGTTTTGCAGCCCTGGGTCCTTGGTGTGAGGTTATGATGGAGCGCAAGCGAGCCATCCACAGCTGGTGCCGGCCTTGAAAAGAAACATCTGCGACCTGATTGAGGAATAGATGTGGTGAGTACGTTGCAGGTACGAAAACGGCATTGCAGCTCGTCCTGCCTTGAAGGGCACCTCGGCAACGCAGCGTGCTTTCATGTCTTCAGCATGATCCTCATGAAATGGTGTTGCAACTCGTGTGTCTCGACATCATCCTAGAAGCACGTCATGCAGGCTCCGCTAGCACACATCCGTCCGACACAGCCCGCAGCACACAACTTTCACCCAGCATCCACATGCCCTTGCCAAATGCCTTGCCTTCGCCAGGACATGCATGTGCAGACGGTTTAGCATTTTTGAGCTTGAGCTTGTCGAGGTGTGAGACTGCAGCAGGCCTCCGAAGGCCAGCAAAGACTTGCAGAGCTGTTGTGCATGCACATGGACACATGAACATTCGATGAAGGCGACGACAGCGTTTGGTGGATAAATGCTGCTCTGCTTCCAGACGGCTTGAGTGGCGAAGATGTGGCTTGGCAGAGCTGGCAAGTTGGAACGCAGGATCAGTCAACTGAATTTCAGGTCGGCATGCAGCTGATGAAGAGCTTTCCTGACATCGAGATCAGGCAGATGCCCGCAGTTGTATGGTTGAGCACCAGACGTCGAGTCGCAGCCCAGTCCACTCCGTGCTGCACCCTGGGAGTGGGTGGCTTGAGAGGCCTGGCTTCTACCCGCTCAACAGCATGGCCATCTTCCAGTCTGAGTGGTCCGCCGCCAGAAGTTTTCACTAAAGTTCACAAGCTGTAAGCCCCAGACATGAGGCTGAGGTCGCTCTTACCCAAAGCCGCACCACACATATCCTTCAAATCGAAGTACGTCGCCACGGGTCGCACTGAAAGCCCGACCCTGAACCCCACTCCTGGCCCGCACTGGATGCAAGACCCGCAATCTTGTCAGCCAGGAGTCCCACTGCAAACTCATTAGGTCGTACACTGCAATCTTCAGTGCCGGCACCCTTCGAGCTTGTCTGCTGTGTGAAGCGATTGGAACACAAGTGCCAGCGGGCAGGTCACGACCCTGCAGCAAGCTTAGCAGTGCTTTCTTGAGAATTTTCTTCGGTTGCTGATACATGGGGAGTTCGCTGATATGCTTAGCGGGTCTTGCGACTAAGGCATAAGGCCGTGTCTTAGGGATCATGCTAGATGGCATTCCGCTGGCATCTTGTGTCGCAAACTGCATGTCATCATGGTTCCTGTCGAGGCCCGAATGCGGAGCTACTCTACAAGAGACTGGTTTGCCACGCTCTTAGCTCTCCCGTGCCTGGTCGAAGGTCGGCACTTGGAAGTCGAAAGCCGACCCCAGGTCCATGTGGAAGCTTGCAGCTACAAGTAGATAGTTATGAGAAATCAGGCTTCACAGCAGAGCGAGTTGACGGTTGCACGGCAGGCCTCCCTTCCTCGAACCAGCTTCAAAAAGACGATGTGGAGCGAGTTTGCGATGCGCACGGGCCCCATCATATCATGATCCAGCCTAGTTGAAGTCATAGGGCTCCCGGGCTCCCTCAGCCTCAGGCTGGTCGAAGCCATCCGCGCCGTCTCCACACCTACGCAGTGATGGATTGTTCAAGTCCGTGCAGCGGCGTTGATGAAACAAAGCAGCCTTGAGCTGCCAGATGACACGAAGATAGGGTGTCCCACCATCATCTGCGGACTTGTACAAAAGAACTTACTGTCAGGAAAGCTGTGAATGAGGGATCCCGCGCAGGGCACGGTCCCTGCGTAGGGTCTTCTGATTCCGTGGCGGTAGCTGTGATCCATGGACCAACCCATCCAATCCCATCCATAGGCCAGATAGGGGGTCTGGATCTGACCAGCTGAAGCAGCTGGACACTTCGTGTATGGGAGACATCATGTTGGGATTGTTCTACGGGACAACCTCATACAGAGTTCGAAGTAATCACAGCCTGTGAGCGAGACGAAGAAAGTAGAGCTTCCGATCCAGTCATTTTGTCCAGAAGCACTTGCATGGCTGGCTCGTTCTGGTTTCGAAAGGCTGTGGCCCCGAACAGGTGGGCTGCTGACAAACCCTACTTCAAGCAAGTTCTCACAACCAGCAGCTTCTTACACCGAGTGAACTCTTACAATTTGATGAGAATGTCCGAGCCGCTCATGCAATTCGTGTGCTGTGTCCCAATCATTGGGAGCAGTTTGACAAAGGATTGGGCCTGTAGCCTGTGCAGACTTGTTCGCCGATCGTGACTCATGAAGCGCTTCTCGTGCTTGCTCTTCTGTTGAGTCGCTTTCGGTTTCAAAGTGCCCAGGCCTCAGGCAGCCAAATGTATCACCCTGTTACAACCAGGTATTCCCAAGTTTGAATGTTTCTCTGCTTGAGTGTACAGCTCCGAAAACGTGAATCTTTCAGGAAACCCATAGGGAACGCAATCAGCTTGATTTCCTGGAAGGCTTCTGATCTCGTAGGGCGAAGAGTGCAATGTTGAGCCTAGTCAAAGTTGGGTGCAGCCGTTGTGTTGCAGAGTGCAGCATGGAGGTGCCCTGGACCTGCACCTAACTTTGGGCTCCGCTGCCGATGCGACTGCCAGAGATCGCAGTTTCAAGACGGGCACGAGCCTGGCTTGTGGAAAGGTGAGTCTGCATTGCAAGCTCTGCTCATGCAGTCTTGGCCATGTGGGGTTGGTCCGTGGAACTAATCGCTGCAGAACGCTTCGCTCCAGTTGACGGAATCGACACAAGCTACATCAGGCTGTATGTCATCCGCCATGCAAGCAGGGGCCGTCCGGCGTACATCGCAAGCTAGGGAATGAATGAACTTGTCGGTTCTATGTTTCTAAGAAACTTCAGGAACAATTACTTCCACCAAGGGTTGCAGCTTTCGCATGTGGGGTAAATTGTGGTCTTGCGGGTGCCCCGTGGACTGGACAGACTGCACTTCTTACCTCGAGCCCCGACTCGTTGAGGACAGGAGAGTGTGCAAGACACGAGCAGACTTAAAACGCGCCCAGCCGCCATGCGTCTCTGCCGGCCGTGGGGCCGACAAGGCAAGGTGGGCTACGAATCCGTTTGTTGGGCAGACGAAGCCGGAGACCACCAGAGGGTACCATAGAGACACTTGGAGTGACCAACAACTCCGCACTGCGACAAACCACAAGTACCAGCGGACACCCTATTGGTCCAAGCGCAAGCTAGGTACTCGATGCGTGGCAGGTCACTGCAGTGGGAATTCGAGAAGATTCTGTCCATATTCACTTCATGTAGAGTTGGGCTGTATAGTCAGTGAAGAAAGTTTTGTGACGTAGATGTGTTGTTGCAGCTTCTTGCCGAGCTAGGACCCTGGCAGCATATCTGGTGTCGTGCCCAGTTGAAAGTGTTGATGCTGAGCAGTTCTCACAAGTTTGAAGACGTCGCTTATGCTTCTGATGGGCCACAGCTTGCGTGACCTTGAGTAGAGACCGCAAGATCGGCAAGTCTTGATTCACTTTCGCAACTCGTAGAAGATACCAGCGGAGCTTCCAGCATCGCATCACAACTACTACGGCTGCCGCGGCGAGTGGCATCAATGTTGCTTTGATGTACGCCACGTGAACATGGGCGGCCTTTGGGAGGCAATTGACACGTGACATGCGCTTTCGACGCATCTTCCGCAGTGCGTTGCTTCTTCGGGGTTTCGCGTTTGCCTGGAGGTGGTGGGTGGCCTTGACAAAGGCGGCGTGCTCGTTCGGACCGAGGAGCCAGCAATCCTTCACGGAATCAGCAAATTACCCAGAGGGCCAGGGCGTCTTGTCAGCATCATGAAGTGTTTCCGGGTAGACGACTTCTAGTCGGCCCTTACCCGCGCAGGAGAACAGTACCAGCTCCAGGGTAGGGCGCCTCTCAACAGGCTGCGCCGGGGAGAGCCTGCTGTTGCAGGGGAGGCTCCAAAAGAATCTAAGTTCTAGTCTCTGCGCAAAAGACTTGTGAAATGGTGTCTTAGCAGCTCAGAGCGGGTTTGATTGATGGAGCCTCGAAGTCCGCTGAGCTGAGTCCTTGAAGCTTGCTCTCTTTCAGGCGCTCTGTTGGAGGAGCTTTCCCAACTTGGCGGAGAGCTCCGCACCTGGGCTTTACAGTGTGTATGATCAGACAGAACAGCCGTCTTAATGCTGAAGTGACGGTCGTCCGCTTGTTCACTGAGCTTCTGGACAGTTTGACTTTTGGTCTTCAAGCCTCTACCCGACCTGTTGTTCTGCACATTTCGGACAGATGACTTGGCAAGCGGGCATCGGATTTTCTGCAAGTACAGCTTGTTTGCACATATAGTCCTGTGCACCAGAGTTGAGCAGGCAAAACCTCTGAACCCTAAACCCTCTGCGGGAGAAAGAAGCCATTGCACTTTAAACAAAAACCCCAAACCCAATAAACGCAAAAGGATTGCTTACCACAGTCCCAGGCTTCCGTCGCTTGGCGGGCCAGGGCCCTGCAGAGGGATGGGTTCCCCTGAAGCGGCACAACGAGGCCTGGCAGAACGGTTTAGGGTTTAGGGTTTAGGAATCCAGAAGCCATTCGTAGTTCTCTGGACCGCCTCCGCCATTGGCTTTTGCACATGGCTGCCCGCCAGACTTTGCTTCAGATTTTCTACACCAAGGCGCCCGAAGCCATGAACCCAACCTGGGATTAAACATGCTTAGACACCAAAACCCCCTGGAGCCCTAAAACAAGAACAACGAGACGCCCTAAGCCCTAAAAGCAGAAGAAGTCCGAAGACAAGAATATGCCGTAGACCCTAACAGCAAAAAACGCAAGAACTCGAAAAGGCTATCTGCCTCTCATGGGTTCGGCTTACAGGTGCTCGTGAAGCAGCCCTCTGACGTGTGGCAGGTACTTGGAGGTGGGAGTTCGCTTCGCGCTCGGCTTGGAGTTGTAGCGGATAGACTTTAGTTTTGGAATTCTTAAGGCTTTGAGGTCTGGGCTTGTTGTGGGTTTTAAGGTCTGTGGTTCTGTTTAGGGTGATATTTCCGGCTCGCTGGGGGGATGTTTCAAAGCAATCTTTGGAGGTTTGGTGTTTCGTGGGTTGGTCCATCACTGGAGTTAGCAGCGACCATCTCGTGATTCGACATCCAGCAGGTCGTTCAATCATGACTGGCACACTGCGCCGTTTGCAGGCCAAAGCAAGGGCGGCGTGCTGGTGAGAGAGGGCTTTGAGCCTCCCAGCTGAAAGACAGCGCCCACTTTTCAGCTCCGCAGCCTTGCTGAGTCCAGCCAGAGGTAGACGGTGCTGCTCGCAGGGGTGATCTTGAAAAGAGCTAGCGAGACAGTGAACCATCGAAGGAAGGAAACCAAGTCGAACATCAATGTTTGTGCCCCGGATTAGATCGGCTCGAGCTAGGGAAAAGCTGGCCGACACCTTTAGACTTTCTTTCTATCTCGTTTGGTAATTGCGGGTCATAAAGCTAAGGGTGCCTTTTACACGAGCTAAGGACCAGCTCGCCTGCACTTTCCGAAGCTTGGCCGAACATCTGATGTATCATGACTTAAGAGCTCTGAAGCTCTGCCTTAAGGAGCGCCTCGCGACAGGCTCCCTGGTCAGGCAGCTTGAGCGGAAGGACGATGTCAGTGTAGAGTTTCAAGCTCTGCCCTGAAGCAAGACGCTCATGTCCACCACGTCTGGGTGTGAGGACGACCGTCTGTACTTCACTCGGCTGACTGGCTCGGGGCCAGACCGTGGCTGGGTCAGCATCCGCACCTTGGAGCCGAACGTGAGCATTGCAGAGTCCACTCACGTAGCCTACCTGGGTCGTGCAGCTCCTGCCGAAATCGACAAGTAGAGTGTCAAGAAGCTTGCACCTCCGAAACATTCGGTGCTTCCTGCGTTTTGTGAGATGGACATCCACCCAACTCTCGACCGCGTTTTTTCAGCATCTTAGCTCCTCAAGGTCTGCGCCATGGGGCAGAACTCCTTGCGCCTGTGGACGGGGTGGAGATGCAGGTGGACATTTTTAAATATACGGTTTATGATGCGTAAACTTAGATAAGTTTAGAGCTTCTTTGATGGGTCCTGCGTCGATCGACGGCGATCTTTCCGTCCTTGGAGTCTGAAGAGTGTGGGGCTTTCGGTTGCATGAATCTCTTCGGCCCTGCCCGTCTTTGTGAGGCTTTGTCCGGATCCGTTTATGATGGCATGGACCTCGAGGTTCTCCTGGAAAACCAGGATGGGCATGGCCTTCTGTAGCGCCGGAGCTGTGTAGACAACTCACGGGAAGACCTGTGGAGCCAACATCCGAAGGGGATCCCAGAGTTGGTTGTGGGGAATTTGCAGGACGAGGCCTCGCAAGCATTTCGCATTGCGAGGTGGTGAAACGGATTCCAGCATGGGCAGAGAGTCAGTTGTAAAAAGCTTCACTTGCCCAACGACCGTTTTGCCACATCTAGCTTGCTCCAGCGAACCGGCTGGAAGGCGAACAGCAGCAAGTTTTCTCACGTCGTTCATCATTGTCATAAAAGCATGACTGCTCCCCCGGAAGGAGAAGCAGTTCTCCTACCAGTGTCCCCTGGCAGCAGTAGGGCTTCAGGCTTTCCTTGCTTCGACAGCCGCACCTCATGAAGACAAGGCTTTCCTTCGTGGGTTCGCTGGGCTGCAGCTGTGGCGAGGCTGTGCACATGACTGCATCTCAGAAAGGCTCCTGAAGAAGCTCGAATTGGATGGTGCTGGATCGTAGGCTGCTCCGTGAGGGCAAGCCGTACCTTCCAACGAGGCCCTGGCTTCTCGCAGCTTGTCGCGGCAAACGGAGCCTTCTCGCTTCAGTTCACCGTTCACCCCAGGCTGCCGAGGCCCCAGCGCATCGACCGGCCAAGGCGCGTCTGTCACAGCTTTTGCAGGGGGATTCCGAAAGACTCCCGAGAGCAAGAGCTGGTCCGCACTTCGGAGGCCTCTAGCGCCGTACCAACAGCTCAGCCACACGCAGCTTGCAGAGAAGTCCAAGCAGCATCTGCCAGGCGCAAAAATTTGGGTTCCTGGATTGGTGTCTGAGGGCTTTGGAGCTTTGCCAGTTTCGCCCTTCGGGGTCGGGGTTCTCATCTCCGTGAGCTTTCGGGTTTCCTTGCAGCCTCTCTGTACATGCACACGGGAGCTTCCCCGGCGCTGTGATTTTGGAGGCATGCTAAACCCGCAAAAAGCTGCCACGACCCTCAGTATCCGTCTGACGGCTGATGTCGCAGTGGTAATCCTCAGTCTGCAAAAACCTCCGTCGAACTCACTTCAGCTTCACCTTGCATTCGCAAGGGTCACCGGAATGCATCATCAACAACATCACCTCAATGTTTGCACACTGACTTCTGCTGCATCAATACTTGTGCTTATAATCTGATAAAAATGCAGCAGGTGTTTTCACAGGCTTCTTATGGCTGCGGTTTCTGGTGGCGTGTGAAGCTGAAACATTGCGTTTTGTTGCCACTGGCCAGGATGCCTTTTCGGCCTGGATTTCCCGCTGCCGCAGCCTCGAGACTTGTGACGGGGATGGCTCAAGCAAAAGTAGAAAACAGAGGGGCGACGGGGGGGCTGAGGTCTGCCGAAGAGATGGCCTCAGAGAAGTTTGGGCCAACCTGGCTTACAGAGGCATTCCACGCAGCCAGGGCCCCAACTTGGCCAGAGTGGGATGGAAAACTGGCATGTCAAGTGATGTGGAGAAGCCGCGGAGTCCAGAGTCTTCTTGAGAATCCGTGCATGGCTTGATATCTGAGGCCGGAACTCTGCCGGCAGACAACAGAGTCACGAAGGTCCTCAGGACCTGGACGGGCTTTGCCGTGACCTCCCGAAAAGTGCAGCTCGGATACTGCAAGACCACGTCTCTGCTCAGGGCCGAGGACTTGGCTGTGAAAGGCTTCGATGCCGCTGGCGGGGCGGCCATGAAGATGTTTCTCACAGCTGCAGGGCTGCAGTTTAAGAGCGCGATCCGGCAGACTGTAACCGTGTTGGATCTTGGATGTGGCGAGGTGGAGTACGAGAAGCCAGATCCAGATTTGCACGCCGAGCTCTTCTGCAAGTACCCGTGACCTGGCCATTCTCGGGCTTCGTGATGCACGCAAGGTCATCCCATGCTCAGCGTGCTCAGGTATCCCTTCGACCAGTTTCCAGTAGAGCGCCGGCAGATCTCATCCTATGGCGATGTCGATGGTCCGGAGATCGCAGTGCAGATGCACCGCGGCTTATCACCGCGCCGCGTGAGGTAAAAAAATCCCAAGTGCGAGCGAGAGATGAACCTGATTCTAGGTTGCTCACGCACCTGTTCCCCTTCCGCACAGCCAAATTCTATTTCGGGGACGTTTGCCGGGATACGACGAACTTTATCTTGATTTCCGCTCCCTGGACAAAAGAAGCAGCTGTCCTCACTTCTCTACCACTTCTCTATCGCATACGTGGCATAGTTAGGAGAAGATCGAGTTCTCGCAGCGTGGACGCATCGAACAAGGCAGAATGTGCTGGAATGTTCGTGCTTGTGCATCCCGAAATTATTGCGCGTCGCGGTCTAGATGATGTTGCTTCACGAGCTGAATGCGAAACGGTCTGACCTTGTGACGCAGGTAAAGTGGTAGAGCAGATCGACTATAAGCCGTACCAGGTCCGGTCCCTTACCCTTGCATCCAACTCGGCAGCTGGGTCTGCCTTCGTTTCAGCAAGTCGCCGTGAGCAGGTGCTGCCGGTTTGTGGCAAGTTCCAGGACACTTTCTTTGTAGTGTCGGACCTGCGATAGAATGAGCTCACCGAAACCGTGGTCAAGGAGGAGTCTAGTGCGATTAACACTTGCAGCGAGGACTGGTTGCTGCCAGATCCAGCTGAGTGGCTTGCCAGAGCACAGGCGATGCAGGCACATTCAAAGCCAAGCTCAGCCACTCTCAACTCTCCAAGTGCCCACCCCTGTTTCTGATGTGCCCCTGAGTAACTTCACCGAACGAAGCATTGGTTTGCAGGAACGGGTCCGGGTTGTTTATCAAGCCGAGAACAAATTGTCAGCAGTCTGTCGTCGCGAGCGAAGTCGAACATCGACTGTCATGCTTTCCTTCGGCCCTGTCCACGCTCTTGGTGAATCAACCTCTACAGATTCTGCTGAAAAGACTTGCATGCCTTGTAGAAAGGCACCAAAGGGCGGTTCGATTCTTCCCGCATGTTGCCAAGCCGAGGTACTATTGCTGCCTGTTCAGAGCAATGGGCCAGCTCGCCGCCTGGGACAAGCAAGGTGCGCTCTCGGGCGTCGGCTTGTGGGCTTGGGGAAAAAAGGCCGCTTGTGCTCGGGAAAGTCGGGAAGATCACATGTGCGGGCAGAATCACACACACACACACACACACACACCAAGCAACTCCTTAGAAAGGTTCCGAAACTCTCTCAACTGGTCAGAAATCTTCACCGTCCCGTCTTCAAGACTCTTGTGCCCAGAACTACAGGACGCTCCCTTAATGTCGAGATTGGCTTCAGGTCGCTACAACGACTACTTCGGTCCACTAGATTCGGCTCAACTTCAACGCTTGGCCGCTCAGAGCGGCCCGTCGGCGCTGGCACTTCACTGCGGTTTCTCCTTCAGACGGGATTCTTATCAGGTTTATTGGTGAGTCTTTCAATATGGGCCGGCGGCTCTCCATGTGCAACTCGCGATTTTTGCGTTTCGTCTTTTCCTAAGCCGGTGTTTAGTGGTTCAGGGACCTCTGAGGACGGGAGATCAAAGCCCAGCAAGTTGAAAGCCAAAGAGCTTCGGTCACCTGGCAGAAGTTGTGGAACCCTTCTGTGTCCCAGTGCTGGTTCTCATTGGGTGGATATTGGGAGAGGTTGGATATCCAGCCACAGCCTTGCGAGGTTGCGCGGATTCTTGACACCGCAATTGACTTTATGACCAACGTTATTCCCAGCATGGTGCCCGGCTTCTTGCTTGAAGGCCGGACCCTTGATGGTTAATGCCTAAGCTGCGTCCAGATGCTGGTAACATGTGACAGAACTTGTTCGTTTAAGTGTTGTTGACAGTCTTAAGGTCTTTGCCAGCTGATCTGAAACCGTTATAAGTGGCAGTTACAGTGTTTTTTGCGGCTGTGGTGACTGCAGTATGTTCTGTCGGCGTGCCATGACGATTCTCGAGTGGAGGTGGACGGCTTGGCAAGATCAAGGAAGACCTGCTGGAGATGTTACCGCACTTCCCCGGCATGCTGCTTGTCACTCCACAGTTCGCTTCCTGCCCCCATTCCTGCCAGTCGGCTTGTGCCCCCGTAGGCTCAAAGCAGTGTTTCATTTGATGTGTGCTCTTTGCTGTGCGTTGTCAGGGGGCCAGCTGAGGTCGGGACAGTACCAGTTCACAGGCACGAAGCTGAGATAAGCAGCTGATCAGAAACATGTGGCACAAGACGAGTACCAGTTCGCGGTCAGCGACGAGCCGCTAAGATCCCAACTATGTGGCGGCAATGCATGCGAATTTGCAGGCAGGGCATGCAACACATGTGGATGTGGAAGGAGTGCTACTATTTTCCATGAAAGGCAGACAATGCTTTCTTCTGGCGCGACGAGTATGACACATTGGCATGTGCCTTTGCAGCTGCTGCTTCTCAATGCTTTGTGTTTTATTCCTGCACGAGTTTTCGAACAGAACACCTCACAAGTTCACTGTCAAGCGCTTTTACATGCCTAGGTGGAGTTCTGGACTGGGGCGGCTTCAGCCGAATGCCATTCTGCATGAATTTTTTGGGATGTTTGTCGGGAGCAGATCCTGAGGCACGTCTCATGGGCCTTGAATCTTGAGGCTTGTCCGTTTACATCGAGCTAGGTGTTGTTCTGTTCAGGTGCTCGTGGCGCATGAGGAGGGAATCATTCGATGCTTTCGAGACGAGCGGCCTGGCAATGTTGCTAACAAAGGTGAGGTGAGGGCAACAAGCTTCCAAGGTATGCACGTTGCGGCGGTCCACACCTGCCACTGGATGAGCTACTTCTGAGCCACCTTGATGAAGAACGTCTTTCTAGGAGTCAACATTTTCGGATCCGTGGAATACAAGCAACTGCAACCATAGATGTGCAGCGCAGGCATGTCAAGTAACAACAGTCTGGCAATTGTACGTTATGTTCGGTGTGCCTTCGTTCAACGAGTGCTGACCCGTCGGATACGTTTGCTGGAGCCTGATCTTGCGTGATTGTCGGCCGTGCATACTAAGGGTACCACCTCGGCTATATCACTTTCGTTTACGAGAGTACGACATGGGTGGAGCGCGAAATTTACAAGCATCTTGGAAGAACATGACGAGCCCATCCCAGTGAGAGCGCGAAGACATGACATTCGAGGATGACGTTATGATTACATGTTCAGCGTGTGTAGCAGATGCAGACAGCCTTCGGCAGAGGGGACGGAGAAAAAGGCCGATCCTGCCTACGCCACATCGAGGAAGAAGACAGAAAGACTGACACACGCGCAGGCGAGCGAGACAGAGAGAGAGAGAGAGAGCGAGTAAAGCAGTAATTACATAATTTCAGCTCTTTCCAGAATTGAGAGCCTGATGAGCGCCATAGGGGCGGGGGGACGAGGCCTGGAGGTTCTTAGTGTTAAGCAGGGGCTCTTTACGGGAAAACACTGAACATACCACGAATTTGGTGGCCGTAGTCATTGGGACTCCAAAGTCTACACAGCCACACGACAAAGACACAGAGACATAGAGACCGCTCAGGCTAGCGACAAAGGACGAGATGCAGTCGTGGCATGGGATCCTTGATGATCGTTTTCAAGAGCGATTTCGCGTGAGGCCATGTCGGTCGACAGCGTTCAAGTCAATTACCGAGAGTGAGAAACGTCGTTCAGGTGCCGATCCTCTGCCATCATCAACTCCTTCGCATTCTACAGCCTGAAAGGCCGCGGGGAACTGTGCCCACCAAAGTGGTAACAAGATCGTCGAGGCACGTCCTGCACTCGCCCGAGGCGACTACTTTCGCAAGCTCTTCAAGGAGTGGTCGACAGGAAAGGGCGCACCTTTCTTGACCAAGATACAATGACGAGACATCCGTGGCATTTCGTGCCAGCGTTGAATTGCCTCATGTGAAGCCCGAGTGGATTACGAACGCTACTTTGTGGAAAAGGGTGGATGACATACAGTGTGGGCAGTTCGTGCACTTGGGCTGTATGAGGCATGTTGTACATAGCTGCAGGCAGGAAGCATTCGCTGACGCGTGCTGAGGTAACATCAGCCATCAGTCTGCTTTCTTTCGAGCTGCCGAGATTGCTTGAAAGGAGTCCGCAGGGCCATAGTCTTGCGCTGGTCTCAACAAAGCCACAACACGCAACGCGATTGCTGTACCTACTAGCAGCAGCAAGCGCTGCCACACAGACTCGCACGCGCCATGCTTTTTGAAGAAGCTTAACGAGATCTTTAATCCCCCATGACCTGATCTATTTCGAGTTCCACGTGCAAGGCTATCCAGCCGGCGCAGTTTCTGTTCAGGCACGGGACAAATGTCGGATCATCTCACCTTGCGATTGCTCGGCACGAAAGATGCAGGCAACGTGACTCCGGACGTTGATGTCGATGTCATCCAACATCATCCCGAGGTGCAGCTGCAGTTTGTTTCTCGCAGTGTGTGCAACATGCCCTTCGATCATGGACTGATGCGCCGAATGCATACGGCTGCACGTGCCTGCGTGCGTATGGCGCAACATCCCGTATGCCATGCACGCATACGGACGAAGATGCCTGGTGGTTAAGTGAACTGCCGCTATTTGTGTAGGCCCCGTTTGTGAGGCGGGCTCCAGACCTGCAAACTTCATGCGGGGAAAGAGAAAGAGTCACTGCACATCAAAAAAAAAGCATTGGCCAGGGCTTGTTGGTGTCCAGAGGCACCTCTGGATCGTCGAAGGCACAGATCAGCCGTGCCGTGCCTTCTCTGCGGAGTCATCGAACAGCTCCTTAGAGCGACGATTGCTGTGATTTTTGAGCCGTCTGTGCCCACATCAACAAACACGATTAGCTGCCTTGTATACACTCGTGCGTGCAGGCTGGACCAAGTCGTGGTGCCGTATTTGAGCATGGCGTGAGGGTCCTCAGACATTGCGTCAAATCATGGTGCTTCCATCTGTGGACGTTCGTTATCGGATGTTCGCCAAAAGGATGCTTCTGCAATGTCATCGTTTGACGGCTATCCGTGTCGTTCGCTGCAGGGCCGGCACTGGGTCTCCATCTTTGAAGTCGACAGGTGGGATTCCGGCACCTTCGGGTGTCGGATCGCTTCAAGCAGACACCCTCAGTTTTGACAAAGAAGGCGAGTCGCTTGCTGCCAGGTACTGGTTTGCATCTCCTCTGTCCGTGCGCTCGGGGCTGAGTGTCTGGTCGTCATCTTCGATCGCCAGCAGGTGTTAATCCTTACGAAGTACCGCTTATTTGTACTTGCATGGGAAGCTGCATCTTGTATTCCCCATATTCATGCCGTGCACAATCTGCTCAACTGTTAACTCATTCCGAAAGGCTCTACCAGCGAGGAGGCTTGGCACGTGGCCGGTGCACATTCGTGCTCCGATGTGATAGAGTCTGGTTGCACTCGGAACAGCTCCATCTCAGATGATCGCAGCAGAATAACTTCACGGCTCTGTCATCGTGGCCGTTGCAATGACTACTCTGTCGTACGATTCACTCTCGGCTACCGGGGTTTGTTGTATCAGTTCAGTGTCAGGTGAGGTGGATCTCAACCGAGCCTGCTCGGACCTTGGCCTGTAAGACGCACTGGCAAGCGCCATACATGTCCCGTTTACGGCGACAGTACCCAGACGCCTGGAAGCTGCTTGGCACCGGCGTGCCTGCGCCGGCCAACGCCAGCGCAGGTACATTGCTTGCAGCTGTGGCCATTTTTGTGCCTATTCGGTCGACGATGAATTGGCATTCGCTGCAGTAAGAGCCAGGCAGATCGTGCTCAACTATCTAAGAGCCTTTCTACCGGTGTCCTAGCAGGCGCGGAGTCGATTGTCAAAGACACTGCGTCGGAAGCGGGGGCTTGGGGCTTGGGCATATTGTGTTCGGGACACAAGCTCCGGCCAGTTGATGTGCTGGCCCCCCTCGGTGTTGGCCAGTCCATGCTCATCTGCGGACCCAAGGTGGGGTTTCAGATCGTTCTGAAAGGTCTTTAGGCAGACGAAGGAAGTGACACCTAGCATTCTGAGTTTGACGTGCAATCAGGCCAGAAACGTCCAAGCACTTGCCTGAGCACAAACCCCAATCCAAACACCAAGCGTGAGTGGCAAACACCGCGTGCAGGAGCGCAGGTCTTGTTCACAGCTTGGCAAAACCCAGCATCAGCATGATTGTTGAGAACCTTCAGTCTTGTCCGGCCCTTGATGCTGTCCCCGAAAGAAAGGGCCTCGGAATCCCAAGGGCCGTCCTTGACTTCCGTGACAGCCTGACAGAAACTCAGCACCTGAAAACAAACCAGAACAGAAACCAGCCACACAGGAACCCGGCACTGCTGCCGAGGCATGCTGACATGCCCGGGGTATGGCACCCGCCTGGACAGCCTCACAAGAACTTGCATGCTGTCGATGCTCCTTCTGCTAATGGCACCAGTCCAATGATCGAGAACCTTCGCAGAAACCCAGCATCATGACCCAAGGCCATTGCGCCAGTGAGTTTTCCAGTGGCTGGGCGCGGACAAGCAGTAATCTTTCCGCAATGCGCTTGTCGGTCGAAGCACATGTGTCGTACAGGGGCAAACGTTGGCGAGCTCATCAAAGGTCGTTGGTTCTGGCTCGTCAGCAACTGCCCGTGTCCCTGATGCCATCGGGGCCTAAGGCCTCGACAGGATGTAAGGAAAGACTTGGCAACTAAACCCCAGAATGCTTGAACCTTCGGGTGGTCTTGCGCGGGCGGCTTGCTGTGCAAGGTGCAAGCACCCAGGGCCAGTGGTCTGTACAGCCAACACCCCTGCACGTAGCATAGCAGCGGCTTGACATGCCCTAAACCTACAGTAAACCCAAGCCTTTCCGTCAGGACACTGGAAAAAGCACCTTGGCCAATGAGGCCTGTTTGGCCTGGCATTGTGGAGCTTTGGTACAAAGGACGCGTGAGTCTTCCCGCTGACGTTGCGGGTGAGGGTTTGAGCCCTATCCTGGGCCCTGGATGTCAGGTTGTGGAATATGCCCTTGCCGCCCGCCAAGTGGACAAGGCTCGAGATGCCAAATTCGAGAAGTCCCTGTTCACAGTAACAGTTGTAGTGATAATAGTATTAATGGTGATAATGGTAATATGCGTAATAAGAGTAATAATAGTAATACTAGTAATAATTGTAAGAATAGTAAGAATACTAAGAATAGTAAGAATTCAAGAATAGTAAGAATAGTGACAATAGTATTAAAAATAATAGTAATACTAGTAGTAATAGTAAGTAATAGTAAATAATAGTAATAATGGTAATACTGGTAATGCTAGTAATAACAGTAATATGTCGTAACACAAGTCTAGCAGGTGGTGCATTTCCAGTCCTCTTCGGCACCACCAGCAGATCCAACCCTACAGCGCGTGGGGACTCTGATGCAGCTGGTCGGGGTGCCCAGGCCTTGCAAGCAAGCGGCCAGACAGTTTGTATTTAGTTACCGCAGTGCGCGGCATGCAGCAACTAGCGCTCATTGCCGCGGCTGTGGCAATGTGATCGTGGTTGGATAACACACAAGCAATCTCGCATCCTCGATAGCGAAACAGGGGAGACGTCTACATAGCAGGCGAGAGAGGAAAGAAATAAGTCAGGTGTGCAGAACTATTGTACAAGCCGTTACTTGATTAGGCTGTGATGAGGTTTCTTCTTTTCTCTCCTGAGTCGTCTTCAGGATCCACGCTTTTGAAGACCGGAGCACTTCACAGAGCCCGAACCATTGCCTTCATCCAGAAGCATGATATCCCAATCCATGACCGCGGCGAGGCGGTGCCAGCAGCTTCTTCTCAGGCCCAGAGTTTCTGTTTGGGCGAGCACAGAATGATGCCTGTACTTGTTACTACCGCGACAAGTACAAGTGCCAGAACCAGAGAGCGGTACCAGTGCTATTAGTACGGCCAGCACTGCCCGCACTACCCGCCCCACCCAACACTACGTGTACTACCAGAACTACCAGAAGCACCCCGCCACCGCCACCGCCACCCCCAGCCCCACCCCCACCGCCACCACCACCGCCACTACCACCACCACTACTACTATTACTACTACTACTACTACTACTACTACTACTACTACTACTACTACCACTACTACTACCATTGCTACTACTGCTACTGCTACTTCTTCTGTTGTTGCTATTGCGATTGCTACTGCTGCTTCTACTTCACTCCTTCTTCTACCGCTGCCTCTGCTTTTACCTCTACCCCTGCCTACCTCTGCCTCTACGTCTACCTCTACTGCCACTGTGACAGCACCACTACCACTATCGTTTCGACTACCACTCATGATACTGCCTCTGCTCCTGCTGCTGTCACTGCTGCCTGCCACTGCGACGGGGACTGCTACTGCTACTGCCACCACTGCTGTGCCGCTACTGGTGCTGGTGCTGGTATGGGTATCAGTCCAGGTGCTAGCACTGGTACCGGCCAAGGCGCTCGCACTGGTACTAGTACTGGCACTGGTGCTGTTCCTACTACGACGACGACGAGCGCGACGGCTACGACTACGAAGACGGCGATGACTATCCGCCACTGTTCTTGAAAGACCTGGGTGGCCATGCTAAGAAAGACCTGCTTGAGAACCATGCCTCATCACCGGCTAGATCTTGGAAAGAAGTGGTGTGTTGACCGCTGGTGCCCGCAGTCTGCTGCCTACCTCCCCGCTCTCTTCGAAGCCGTTGCTGTGGCCGAGGCTGGGCGGCGCAGGCTGTGTTTTTTTGCATGTGTGATTTTCCTAGGGGATGCATGATAAAGTGTTAACATAAGGTCGCCGAGTTTCCAAACGGAGTCGGTAACAGCCGGTGCAGGAAGTCCGGGACGGAGGCAAAGACGCACTCTTGATTCTCGACACTGCCGCCTCCTCACAGGGGTTGCGTTGGACCTGGCATTCTTCTTTTTGTCCGAGCCTCTCCCATGCTGGGACGGAAGTGCTTCGGGCATGCAGCATGCACCTCACGTAGCCGACTCGTCACATCGCTCGTGAGGTCGCTCCCCTCTTGGATGCTTGGGAATTGGCTCTGCAGCTCGCTGAGGCTTCAGAGGACGGTTTGATCAGAAGCTCTGAAACGGCTTAAGTTCGGAGGCGGCCGGCGACCTCGGTGACGCAGAGGCGCTGGCGGCACAGAGGCGTGCTGCTCTTGCCGTGGCCAGCTTAGATCCTGGGCTGTCTTTGCTGAGGCTTTCGTGGCACAGACATGCCATCAGCGTTTTTGGTGTCATGTTTGATCATGTTTGCAAGGCCTTGCTGGAACGGGCGGCCAGCCTCCAAAGTGGAGGATCTCTGACAATGCTCGGGCCTGAGCGAATCTGGGCAGTCTGCGTCATCACGTGAATGTTATGAGGTTGTTAAGGAACCGGATCGCATTCTGACTGGAGAGCAACTGTCCCAAGGTTGGCTCTCTTAGAAACTGAGGCCAGGCCCTTGTCATGCGCGCGCATGAGTTTCAAGGGTATGTGCTGTTGCATCCCCATGCTCGAGGGTGTTGTTCGATTTATGTTCTTTGTGTTTAGGGTCGTACATCATCGGCGAACTACAAGTTTGTTGTGGCCCCGATGTCGTCCATATTTGGGGTTTCAAAAAAGGCTATTGCAGGACAGCCAGGTGGACAGATCAGGGTTGCAGCTGCGACATCGGACCATGGGACGTCCAAACTTTCGAGGATTGTGCCAATCAATTGTTACGTGGATCGTTCTAGTTGCAGGAAGGATCGTAGTTTTAGGAAGAGGAGGTCCGAATTGTGCATGTCGTCCTCTTCGTTTGCGGATACGTAAATTCGGAGCCATGCTCTCGAACTTTTTTCGAGGGGATGCATGCTGAGCAATCGCCGACTGTCGCTGCACACCACTCAGTCCAGTGGCCTCCCAGTCCAAGCTCGTACTGCTTCCATTTCTCTGCTTTGCTCTGCGCTTTTATGCTGCAGCTCTCGAGTGCAAAGTCCGGTTAGATTTTGGCGGAGAAGGAGGGGCTATATCCTGTCTTGAGTTCTAGAGACATCTCGAAAGCATCGGACAGGCCATGGCGGCTCTTGGCATTCCAGGGCAGCGCCAGGCATCACCTTCGACATGTGACACGTGTGTAAACAGCAGCTGTCTCAATGCAGCAGCTTCACGTAGGCTTCGGCACTGTGCCAATCCGATTTTCTTGTGCGCAGTCTCCAGCTCTCCATTTAGTAGGGACCTGGGGTTCTGGCTGGCAGGCTCCCAGTGCGGAAACGGCCAACGAGCCGTCACTGCCTCGGCTGCCCAGGAAAACACCGACAGACACTCACTGACTTCCAGCCCTTCGAAGCCAAGAGCCCCTGAACTCCAAGGACCTTCAGCCTCGCCGACTTCCGAGGTCGGAGGCCGAGAGTCTGATCAATGGGGAAGGGGAGGCTTCGGGTGCTTTGGGCAAGGTGAGGGCGAGGGAGGAAACATAAAAATATCTGCTCCCGATCAAGACTGTTGCATCTGATGGGGGTGTGTGCTTGGGATTTTCGTAAGTACTACTGTAGTTTGTTTCGCGCAATCAGCAAGCAGCTGCAGGCAGAGTGAAGTGGAGCGTCTACAGCGCTTGCAGGCTCGTCGCAGGAAAGTTTCTGGTCGACACTTCGACGGGTCTGCCTAGAAGGACCGCGGTGTGGCGCTGACTGAGAGCTCCTTGTCTGCCCACGCCTCAGAGCCTTAGAGGACAAGCCCCATTGAGGTTGGAGAAAGCGTTCTCCAATGCTGGTCATCCGGATTTCAGCCTTACAATGCTTCCAAGGCGCTGGGCATCGCGCTCCCTGGTGATGTGGCAGAGGGGGCAAGAGCCTCACGTTGAGAAATCGCATCGACTAATTCGCACGCATCTCATTGGCTAGTCGCTGCATGTCGCTGCCATCCGCTCTCTACATCTGTCGGATGTAGGCGAAACTCAGGTGAAGTCAGCACGCGAGATGCAGAGTCTCTCTGATGGTCAGGACCCTCTTAGCTCGGATTTGTGTTTGTATTATTTTCATCTCCGCGAACCCGAGCGCAGGCCGTGCTCGACAAGTCCATGGCTGCTGCCGGATTGTTCCCGGCAATGGTGCCAGGCGGGAGAGCAAGGCAGGGGGGAAGCCGGGCCGGGCCGGGGACCTTTTTGAAGGTGCCAGCTTCTCCCGCTTTGGCCTGGGCTCCGACGGCGCCTCGAAGGCTCAGCGCCTCAGTGCCTCAGCGGCTCAGCGGCTCGGCACTGCGATCCGACTCCGAGCTCCGAGGGCGCCGAGGCCAAGGCTCGCGATGTGCGGCCGCCGGCGCTCCAAGACGACGCCTCGGAGGAAGAAAACCCTGGCCCTGGAAGTTGTCAAAGATGCGCTGAAGATCCGCACTCGAGGCGGTCGCCGCACACCTTCGCACGTTGTTGGCTTTGGAGCAAGAGGCACTCTTGCAGAACATCCCACCTCCCTGCTGCTTTGCGATTTCGGAAGCCCAGGCACACTTTCGACCCACCACTGCGGAAGTGGACAGCCACCAGTCCAGGCAGTTGCAGGCGAGGGTCAGAAACCTCTCTGCTGGTATGACGAGCTCGCTTCCACTGTTTTTTGTGAGTCTGTGGCTTCTGCGCTGCAGCAGCCGCCTGGTGCACCCTTGCTGCCTGAGGCAGAGAAAGAACTGAACAGTTCTCGCCGCAGTAGGGCCGGTAAGCCAGCAAGACAGTTCGGGAGGAAATGACGGCTTTGCTGCTGGCGGCCTGCAGTGGGGCTCTAGATGCACTCTCGCCTTCGGAGGCACTGTACTGGCACATGGCGTAAAACGTTGGCTCGAAAAGATACTTCGGCGAGGCATCCCAGGCCCTCCAAGGCGGCGCGCAGCAGAGGACTAAGTGCACGGCAGAACCACTGAGCTCTTCTCAATCAGAACCCGCAGGAAATTGCTTGAGGGAAGCCTTGTGCAGTGCACGCGCATGTCATGGCAAGCCAGCAGATGCACCACATCTTGCGCAAGGTCTCCGCTGCTGCTGCATCTGAAGGTCGATGATGGCTTGTTTATCCCAGGATACATCAAGGTTATTGGCACGCCCCCTAGGTACTATCTCAGGTTGCACAAGCAATTCCCAGACAGGCTTGATGCATGTCAGGAAGCAGCACCTGGCATGCTGACCAAAATTGGCCAGGAGCGTATCCGGGCAGCTTGCTGTAGAGATTCTGCAAAGTCCAAAAAGCTTTCTGCGTACTGCCCTCCGAGTTTGATTGCAAGGAGTCGAAGCTTTCGCAAGCCACCTTGCGCGAGCTGGAAGCGCGGAGCCAAACGGAAAGTTTCGGTTAAGGTAAAGGAACCGAGCCTTGCCGAGGTGGTGGTGCGGCTCTTTGTGAAGCTTAAGCAGGCTCAAGTTTGACGTTGCTGTGGGAAAATGGTGCTTCCCAGCGCTCACAAGCTGATGCTCGGAATCTTCCTGTTGCTTCGGCGCACCGCCCAATTCGGCATCAAAGTTCCCTCGCCTTCCGCTCGCTCTTATGCACATCTTCACAACCAAGGTTCCAAGACGCGCATCTTTCAGAAAGCCTTCTTAGCTTCACATGGTAGTTCAGACCCACCTGCTAAGACAGGGATCTGAAGACAGCATTGGACAATAAGCTTGCAACATCTTGAAACTGTGGCGGCTGTCGTGTGGGAGATGTGGATGTCGTGCCTGTCTCAGAGAGTTTCGGGCCATAGCTGGGCCGGCCGTTCCTGCCGTGAGAGCAGCGAGCTCAAGCTTCCAACTTGACGGTGTCGACTGCGAGCGCTTTCGATGCGCGATTTTCCCAAAGGTCGTGGGGGGCTGGCCCAGTCCCAGTCTCCGGAGCGAAAGGCCGGAAGTGCTGCACTCCTTCGCAACAGCCGAAGACAGCAACAGCCCGGCAACGGCACGACAGCGCCATGCAGTGCTATGGCCTGTGCTTGAGCCAGGTTGTGCCCTGCAGCCGATGGTGGGCCAAGCAGGCAAAGGGCTTCCGAGACCGTTCTTTTGGCCTTTGGAGTCCTCAGGCCAGCTCTCCCTTTCTAATGTCAGCGAAGCCCTGCCAATTGTTCAAGAATATGCCGATTAAATGATTATGCCTCTTGTGTTTGGAATCACGGCCGAGTAAGCAACGTCCCCGTTAGGGTATTTTTAAGACACCATGCGAAGAGTGCCGCCACTCAGCTTCATTCTTCCGCGATGCCGAGCCCGAGCTCGTGAAGCAATCGGATTGAGATTTCGGAGACAAAACCGTAGGACCTACTCCGCTGCCGCTACAATGCCCAGAGTTTCAAAATTATTCGCATGGATGGCTTTTTCGGAGATCTCGATTCACAGATCGCGGAGGATTGCTTGCATAGCATCCAGGCTGCCTGCACGTGCGATTGAATCCACGACGTGTCGACACAGGCATTGCTTGCCGCCTTGCTCCTGGAGGCTCGCGAGGGTCGTTGTTGAGCGAGGCATTTTCAATGCATGACTTATATGATTCTCATGTGCCAAATGCTGATGATATCATGCCTGTCCGATGGGCTACGAAGGTGTGCGAGCGGCACAGCGTCCCAACCTTGGCTTTCCACGAGGATGCCAACGGAAAGTTACTGCAACATGCCTTGCGGCTGGCCAAGTTCATGCTGATGCTTCTGCTGGTAGCTGCTGCAGCAGCTGTGCGCACCCCGGAGCCGCGAGAGATTGGGAACCCCCACGCGAGTCACAAGATCTGACAACAGATCACACCAGGCTGCTGCCGGGACCCGCAGGGGCGTAGATCAGTGGCAGTGAGACCACAGATGAGTCAACAATCTTGAACAGAGAAGCTCCAACGAAGCCTGGCCGAGGCACTGTTGCGAAGCTGTGGTGCAGACGCGAGGCTGAGTTGGCCTGATTCCTGACTGTTTTTTGTGTTTGTCCATGTCCTCGCTACATCGGTCTTACATAAAGAAACAGTATGAGGTGATTCATTTGTCTTAAGCGCTGCCTTGTTTCGGACATTCCTTGTTTCGTTTCTTCCTGGATTGTTGCCGTGATTTCTGACTCAGAAGCTTCTGGATTGACCTCCGGGTTGCATAGTCTGTCACCTTTCACTCAGTCAGTGTCCGGGCGGCGCCGCAGTGCCTGGGCCTGGGTAATTCTTACTAGCCGAGGCTTGTCGAGAGTTGTTTCCACGTTGCATGGCCGTGTGATCGCCCTCCGGACGACGAGGCGGTTGGCCTGGCACCTGCTACGCACCCGGCAGCCCAATGCAAAGCTCTACAGACAGGTGGATGCCGCTTGCAAGCAAGGGCATGGGGGGTTGCAGCGAAGTGGCACAGGACCGTGTTTCCACTTCTTGGGACCTCGATCTGCATGCCGCTGCCGGGTCGGACGGAGCCCGGGTGCCCCCCAAGCATGTTGGGATCAGCAAGCACGCAAGCATTCCAGCATGGGCTGATGCTTGGAAGCGGCTCGTAGCTTCCCGTGGACTCTGGGCTTGGGCTTCTGAGATTCTGCAACCGCAACATGAAACTCTGATCACAGCCACAGCATTGTCATGGCATGCCATGGCTGGCATGGTGCCGGGCCTCGCGGCTTTCCTTGAGCTCGCACGGCTTGGCGAGTACCGGGCACAGGCCTGCTGGGAGAAGAGTTACGGCTGCTGTGAGGCATGCCAGCTGATGTGCTCCAACTTATTGCACGCAGGCGAGCGCCTTCTGCAGCAGCTATGGTGCCATTGAGGCTGACATCCTTACACAGCATCAAGCAAGGGTTCCTTGTGCGATCACGGGAGAAAGGGGCGAGGCGAACGAATGTAGTGTTCCGAAAGGGCATTGCTTTCCCTTCAGCTTGACGGCTCGAAGATGTTGCCCTTGAGCCATGTTGGTATTTGCAAGCGGCCTGTCGAAGTTTGTCCCGAAGAGGTCGACCTTGGTATACCTCGGTGAGGAGGGAATTATATAACCAGGTTTCGCGGTTTATGGTTGGTGGCTGGGAGGCGACGAGGTAGGTGTCTACCACCCGACATGGGAGGTTCGCGAAGTCCTTGAAGACGAAGAGCTTTGCGAAGAATTTGCACGGCACCTGAACTTGTGACCTTTCTGAATACGTGTTTCGATATCCTCCCGGCAAGAAGCTGCCATGACAGAACAGACCCTGGTGCAAGGAGACCATTGGAGCTAAAGCGCTTTACTTCCGTGGCCGCAGAGGTCTCGACCTCGGCTAAGGACACCGGGAATGTGCGTGCTGCGCGGCATTCCCAAAACGACAGGTGCGGGCTGATCCTGGAATTGAGCTGGTGGATGCTGAGGAGCTCCCGGAGGAGGTGCCGTACTTCCATCCTAGGTTGCTGGCGTTGGTCTTTGGATTTGCTTGCAGTCACAGGGCAAGAAGCTGTCGGCAATCAGGTTGTCACAAAAGGCAGCTGCCTTCCCAAACTAACAAGAGCCTGCCTGTGCGCCGGCCCAGTCGTCCTCGCCATGCGCAGGCGGAGTCTGCTGAGAGCCCTGCAGACGAGGCATGGTTCGCAACGTGTGCATCTCTTCATACAACATGTGCAGAAGAGGATCCCAACCCCAACTGCTCTTTGTGTTTGGACTGCCTGGCAGGTCCCCAGTGCTGAGCACCATTCCTTCCGCACAAGCGGATGGAATTCCAAGCGTGGCATCAGAAGTGCACGCGGCGGGCGAGGTGCGCAAAGCCATCGCTCGCAAGTCTGGGGCTATTTCGCTTCAACAGAAGCTAGGAAAGCTGAAACCTATGCTCTGCAGACATGTCGGATGTCAGTGCCACAGGCCGTGGGGGCTTGGGTCACTACTTTGATAGCTACTCGGCACAAGCTGAAGTGCATTGTTTGTGTCGCGTGGCTAGTACTTCAGAAATGTTTGGAACGCCCGAGCCACACGCAGTGGATGCAAAGTCAGAGGGGATGCCCGGAAGTGTCGCTCAGGTGTGGCATCCGACGATCGAGACGTGCGAGGAGGCAACGCAGCCGGTCACATTTGTATCTTAGAGTCTTAGAGCATGTCGGCTGACAGATATCACCCCAGGCTTTTGAACTACCCTTCCGGCTCATTTGAACCGCATTGAGCCTGAGCTGAAGGAAGCCACAGCTCATAAGGGGACTCTTCACAAACAAACAAATCCAACCAATTTGGCAAAGGCATCCAAAGGGCTCCACCCGTAGTTTGAGTATTGAGAGGCTTCCGGGTCGGAGGTGCCCGCTCATCTGTGCAGCTTCTTGTTGAAATCCTGGCTGCTCAAAAGGCTCAGAATTTTGTGTTCGAAATCACTGGAATAGCTTCGTGATGGTCGCTGTTCGCTAGCTCTTTCGAAGTCCTCGTCCGATTGAACTGCAGCAGCAACAAAAAAGACGCAAAACCTCGCGGGCGCTGGATCCAATAGATGGACTCGCAGCAGCTGATTGCTCCCATCCGTTTAAGATGGTCGAAGACTCAAAGACACTCAAAGCAAGCCAGGAGCAAAGACGCCACACTCTACCGTGCCTCCGGAAACCAATCCAGCAAACACAGCTATGCAATATCAGTATCAGCGCCAGCCGCCCCGAGCTAAGCATCACGCCAAAGCATCTGCTGTGTTTCTATGTTTCAGCGTCGCAGCTGCAGCTGCAAGAGCAGATATTGCTATACAGCGCTCTTGGTTGAGGCTGAGTGCATGATTCCTAGCCAGCCAGAAGATGTATCTTTGATCCTCAATCTGCCTGCCGAGCTGCAGGCCGTGCCGGCGCCGGCCACTACTTCGATAGCAGCTTGGCGCAGAAGGAGCCCGTCTTTTGAAGTCGTGCGTGCGGGTAGTGCCGATGAAATCCAGACTCACCGCAGTGTAGACTGTAGCATCACCGGCATTCTGGAGCAGTTCCACTGTTGAAGATTGACGCATGTGAGGTGTGGCATCAGACGACCGAGATGTGGGGGGAGGCACCCATGCAGCGCAACGGAGCCATGCAGCAAATCCATACTTCAGTCGCTCTCAAGCAATCAGTCCGAATGTCCTGTGATCTGGGTGCACCTGGAGTTTTTGGCGCTCGATCGGCAGTCTGTTCGCTGATGTTGCAACAACCAGACTGAAAATCACCAAGGCCTGACATGTAGCAAGAGCTACCAAACAACTCAGCGAACAGCGGCCTGGCTCGGGATCCCGTAGCCACCTGTCAGCGCCAAGGTAGCCAGGTGGGCGAATCGTCGCCGGGTGAGGACAGAAGTATAGACTACACAGACTGCACACAGACAGCAGCTGAAATCGAGACACCGTGTTGAACACTGTCAAAGCCGTTGCAGACTAGGATTCTATTCAACAGTCAGTGAACGTAAGACTGATGAAGTGTTCGTTTCTTTTCTACGCAGCTCGAGGGTCTATTGGCTGGGTGAATTCCAGCATTTGGATTCTTGGATTCGTGTTGTATGGGCTGAAGAGGAGGAGAGAAACCGAGACTTGCCAGAGTGACGGCGAGAAGAAGGGAAGGGAGGAAGGCAGCCAGGAAGGCAGGACGACTATTGGGGTGCCAGGCAACATTGGCATGGCTGAATTACCAGATTCTGTCGACGAGAATCAACATTCTGGATCTGCAGAAACGAGGACGAGCAGGAAAGCAGGAAAGAGAAGGTGAAAGCCATGACAAGTTCAAGGGTCAGGGCTCTTGTGAATTGGGGGAATGAGCCCACATTCCAATCGATTAGGATCTTTGGTGGGCCTGGACCTTTTTACCTCGGAAGGTTTGAGAATCCCCCAGACTATCTGGGGAAAGGCAATCGCACTGAGCAGTGTTTATTTGGTGCATGATTAAGAGTTTCAGATCTTATGTGGCCTTTCGGAATACACACCCCTAAACTGTCAGCCAATAATATGAAAATGGTTTAGGGACCGTAGAGATCGAACAGTTTCTTCTGTGTGTATTTTGCACCAGCTATTTGGGCGCCGGCAGGCGCCGGCACTCTTTCGACTTGAAAACAAAAACCTCACCCGAAGCTCGTGCCAGAAGACTTCAACTCACAAGTCCTTAAACGAACAAGACTCCTGCAGGAACCCTTACAAAGAATAACAACCCTTCGGAACCCTTAATAGCTGTTTGAGATAGTTTTGTTTTTTCAACCTTCGTAGCTCCTGCCCACGAAGGAAATCCAACTAGTCCCAAGTCCGAAGTCCAGAGAGTTGGGCCAAACTTGCAATGTTCTCAGAGAATTGAGGATTTCGCCGACACGAGGCATCATTAAACCAAACGACATGATTAGAAGCAAGAGCAACTCGAGCAAAACGAGGTTAGACCCAATGAACAACTGTAGTCAGCCATGGCCATTAAGATTAAACTGCTGCAAGAGCCTGAAGTGTCCTCCTGCGATTTCTTAGCTACATGCATTCTGGGAGTTGCTGCCTCCTTTGTGTCACGCTTCGGCGGCGTTGACCTGCTGCACTGAAAGTTGGTTTTCATGGTAGCTTTCATGGTGAACGCCCAACGTCTTGGGGCGTCCAGCTATCGCAACGTCGCGTCTAGAATAGCTTTCGATGCCTACCATCGCACAGCCTGCGGGCCTGCGACGCTGCAGGACGTTTGTGAAAGCTGCGGCTCTCGAAATGTAGGCGCACGTGGCTGGAATGTAAGGGGGCTTTGCACGGAGCCTGGACATGTCGGGCACTGACTGGATGAGAGGTCGACACATGTGCTTCGACTGCGGAGCAGAGCGAGCGCCGCCTGCACGGGAGGTTACTGGAAGCAGATCGCAGATCGGTGCCCACATGCTCGTGTCTCATCCTGGCTCATTGTGTATCATTGCTGCAGGCTGCCGCATCAAGACGAGGCAGCTGCCACTCATGCCAGTCAGCAACAGTTTCGCCCGAGCCAGTTTCAGAGCTTGATGTCAGCCTGAGGCGGTGCAAGTACTCCGAGTGCGCAGGCAGGGAAGGCGCCATGCAAAGACTCGGGTTGCACAGCACCATGCCCTTCTTCAGTGCATCGGAATGTGCGTGAGTGTGCACTCGGCAGCACTCTGACTTGCCTCAGAGAATAAAAAGAAACACTGGAGCAATGTTGAAGACTCGGCACATTCAATTGACACATCACCTGTCAGGCGGTGGGCAAGTCAGCCGCAACCGCATCCACGCCCAAGCGAAGGCTAGCGGTTCGCAGCTCCAGGGCCTGAAGCGTCGGAGTGTCGGACGGACCCCTCGCCTGCTCGTCCTTCGCAGGTTCTGCATCAACTGTGGGAGTCAGCAGCTGCCACACGCAAAATTTTGCTCCGAATGTGGGAGCCGCGACTTGGCTCAAAGAAGCGACGGCCTGTACTGAGACCATTTGGTACCCTGGGTTGAGGAATGGATGAGCCTGCGCAGAGACAGTCCGAGCCGAGCTATGCAGGCAGCCAGGGAAGGGCTAACGGAGCCCAGCCTGCCTTTTCGCAAGACTCTGTTGCAGGAGAAGCGCAACGGGTAGCAGCCGAGACACGACCGGGCGGTCTTCGACCTGGAGGCGCCAAGATACCAAAAGGAGCCTCCTTCCGCTGGCACCCTGGGCCCTTTTTTTGTGAAAGCGGATGTTTGTCCTGGCTTCAGGTGGAGGTTCCGGGCACTACTTCGAGGCGGAGGCTCAGGAAAGCCTTGTGCATGACTTGCTGCTACCGTCCTTTGTGGCCCTGAGAATTTTCTCGAGGAGCCTTCGGACCCAAGCCATCCCAGCCTTGCGGAGCTGCGGGCCGAGGCCGGGAAGCCTGGGGCGGGGAGGCCTAGCGGATGCTCACCCAAACGAACTGCCAAACACAACTGTGGAATCGCATTGCAGGGCGACGAAGTGTATTCTGTTACAAGACACGAGTCAAACATGTCCGGAAGAACAAAAGCATCACTCGAACAGCGGAGATTGTGTATTGCAATGGAAGGACGATCAAGAATTCTCGACACAACATGCTGGCAAACAGAGTGGAATGCAAGTCTCAAGAGACGTGCAGGTACACCAACACGAACACACCAAATATGAGTGCCGGTGACTTTCCATTACCAAAGAGCATAAACGCGGTTGCTTCCTCTGCGTCTCTCGCGGCTGCTGGAAGCTTGGGCGAATGACTGGGTCGCTTGCACCTGGGGAAGGATTCGTTTGGATTGCAACGGAAAGCAGCAGAGTCATGACAGTGTCAGCGGCAGAGCACGTTGTCTGCACATGTTTACATGTTGTTTTGCTCATGCTTCCGCTGGTGTCATTTGCTGCGAGGCGTTGGCTGGGCCGCCAAAGGAGCGAGGCATTGGAATCTCGCCGGCAAGTTGGAACCTGGGTGAGCCAGCGCCCAGAGTAGAATTGCCAAAGCCCAGGAGCCTACATCCGCAGTGTTGAGGGCGAGCTTTGGGGCCGTGTTGTTGCCGCCGCTCGCCCGTGAGAGCTCGTCCCGCTTCAAAACGGCGTGGCCGTGGCACCTTACAAGGACACTGGGCGAACCTGGAAGTTGGCATCGGGGCGGTCTGCCAAGAAAGAGCTCCTCAGCCAGAGACTAGCAGACTAGCAGTGACTAGCAGCGACCAGCTTTGAGTTTTTTCTGCAGTCTGGGCCGCTCTGAGCTGTTTTTAGGGCCACTCTCTCAGGAATGAGGGCCGGGCCTGGAACTTTGATCCGGATCCTTCTCGCCGAGATCAGCCCAGGCCTCCCGACAGCCGGAGAGTTGGAGAGCCATGGAGAGCCTATGATGCCACGGGGGTCCCCAGAGCATTCGGAGATGGCGTCGTGGACGCTAGCCACACAGCACCTGAGTAGCATCGCCTCGCCTTTGGGGTTTGGACAAGAATGGCTGGTGAGGTCTGCTCCTTCGAGGAGGGCGGATGAGGCCGGGGGAAACCACCCACACCAGCGGATGTCCTTATTCCTACAAATCGCACGTAGCACCACAGAGGCTATGTGCAGCGCTGGAAGGCCTGGGGAATGATTCAGAGCTGGAAGTCTGTGGCCACAAAATCCCATGCTGTAGAATCCTGGAGATTCTCTACTACATGAACGAATGCATCCTGTTTTTTTTGTAAGTCCTCGAACGATTGATCTGCAGTGTTGCCCCATGCTGATCCAGCTTCGAACGTCGCCACCTTTGCTCAGAGGACTGTTGCAATCCGCATAACGAATACACAGCGCGCCTTCCAGCTAATACAGTAGTGTAAGATTTGCGTGGCAGAGTTTCTGAGTCTCTACTGGGATTCCCGTGCTGATGGGTGCCAAGCGATGCGTGAGCCTCGTCTCTTTCGTGCTTTGCTGCGCTGCTCTCGGTGATACATCCTGTCAAGGGCCGGGAACTCCGGGAACGGCTGATGTCAGTAGCCTTTTGCAAGTCGTGGGGCCAGAGAAAGAGACGAAGCCGGAGCCCACCCGGTCTGCAAAGTTGGAACCTCACAAAGCTGCCGCGGCACGAGCACACGATGCCGAACTTGCGAGCGCAAAGGCCGAGGAATCAGGGAAAGGGAAAGTGGTCGCCGCGACCGTGAAGAAGCAGGCTCCGCCCAAAGACCCCAGTGAGACGATGCTGCAAAGCATGCTGGATGCCTTTGGAAACTACCTTAACAGACTGCTGTTTGGTTAAGCAGGGCGTGCGACCTCGAACTGGTAGATTTAAAGAGCTGCTCCCGAGGAACTCTCTGTCCCGTGCTTGAAAAGCACGTGTGATGCAAAAGGCATCAAGAGGCAATCCCTTGACACAGCTGCTTTCCATGCTCCGGCGAGAAAGGTCCCAAGACAGAAGCAGCAGGCAGCCGCAAAGACATGACATCGACAAAGCCGGTTCACAATGGCCTGTTCTCGTTTGGAAGATCTTCTTCGCCCAGCCTCCAATTAGTGAGGTGCCGACGTAAGCGGCGGTTTAAACATGTTTAAATACCGGAAGCCAGGGCATAAGCCTACTTGCTTGCTTGACACCACAAGCAGAAATTACCCTGCGAACCATGCGACATCTTGTGCCGCTCGCCTCCCTGCCCTGCGACGTATCCACGCACGCTCAACAGTGCGTCATGATCTGGAGGCTCATGCCGAGCAGCTCAAAATTGGACCGTGCTGATGCAAGCCCGCCTCGGGGTGTTCTGCAGAAGAGTTAGTACACCTGTGCCAGGAAGACATCTGTCCTGGATGAGCTGGCAGAAAAAAAGCTTGGGCCTCTGCCACTGCAAACTGCAAAGTTCTAAGTTCTAGTGGTGGCTGCCTTCTCTTCTGCGGCCCTGAAGATTCCGTCAAAGCGGAGCCTTCCGAATTCCGCCCCTAGGCGCCACGATGAGGAGGCCTTGGCTGCCAAGCGCGAGGCGGCACGGCAGAGGCCTGCCACGGCTTCAGCTGGCCAAAGCAAATTCGATGGTTTCGGTGATTTTCCGCAAAAAAATCTCAGAGACCCAAAAAGCGGCTAAGTGCAAGAAGCTGCCACTGGAGAGGCGAAGGGCGCAGGACCGCCTCTTGCGTGCCATTGGGTGCCTCCGCATCCCCGCTTGCATCAGCCATGGGAGTGCACCAGGAAGAATCTCATGTCGAGTCATTGCATGTGCAGAATTCTGCCGATCCCATCTTGAAGAGCATGCTCATGATAGATTTTCCACCGCTTGTTGTGGAATTGCTTCTTCTTTCGACAGACTAGCTGCACCCCAGAAGCTGGTTCCGCCGCAAGGACCAACCTGCAGCAGAGCGACGGGTTGACCCCGACGACAACAAAGCATACACTTGGGAAGAGCTGAGGCCAGACAGTCAGACAGAGTCAGCACGGCGTTGATGTGTTCTTTGTCGGGCCCCTGCCTTTCTAGGCTCTTATGGGGTCACTGAAAGCCAAAATCCAACGCTCTGTCCCTTTGTCGCACCTGCCGCCCGCTTGCAGGCAACGCTACCTTGGCATGTTCTCAGATGTCGAGCTGACGGAATATTGGGACAAGGACGCCCGTCACTCACTTGCTAGCCACACCGGAAAGCGCCTTTCTGACGACATGAACTCAACCAAGATGATGATGCTAGCCCCTGGTGAAGCGCCTTTCTGACGACATGAACTCAACAAAGATGATGAAGTGTCCAAAGGTGTGGATCTTGAAGCCTTGCCCCCAGACTTGCATCGCCGGATCCTGCGAGGACTGCAAACCTACACGTCCAGCGGCTGGCGCTCCGAAGCGCGATGTTCCAGAACGCCACTGCGACTGAATGAATCTTGCCTTCTTTCCCTCAGATACACAGCTTGGGTCTCCAAAGTGCGGCCGCTGCAGGTGCACCTCGCAAGGCGGCAGAGCGCCGCCGTGATCCAGACGACGGGCACGGGTACAGTTGCTAGACTGAAGCAGCGTAGTTCTCGTAGTATCGCACCTGCAGACTCCTGAGTAGGAGAAGGAAGCACTAGCATCTTTGTTTTTCAGGTTTTGACGAGCTGCTGAAGAAGTACCGCTCTGCGTTTTCATTGGCAGAGATCGAAGAGTACTGGTTGGAGGCAACTGTGTTCTCGGCGTCGGCGCGTGCATTTGCCATGCCATTCTGTGACACATAAGGGTTCAGACGATCCTTTGTCACACAGGGAAGTCTTCTTGATGACGGATGCAGAAAAGCACAGCACAGAAATTGCCACGACTCAATATTCTGCTTCCATCAGGAGTGCCAGCCGTGCTCGTGAGAGGCCTCATCGTTTCGCCGCAGGGAGCTGAACAAAAGCTTCCAGCGTGCTGATAATGCATCATGCCACAGCATTTATTGTGGTACGGTTCGACGACGGAGCGCTAAAAGGCGCAGTAAGTCGAGAAAGACAGGGTGCCGGCACAAGTTCGTGGAAACAGGCCCCGCCATCGCCTTCGACATATGCTCTTGACTGTCCTGGCTTACTACGAGCTCTGAGCAGAAGTCGATCCATTGCTGCAGTCTCCAAGCGGAGAGTGGGAGAGTGTAGAGAGAGTGTGTGCTCGTTGAAACAAGATGATGGGTTTTGTTCTTTTCTAGATACGAGGAGCTGGCGTGCGCAAGTGGTCTTGAGAACCACCACAAATCACATACTGCCAAGTCTATTTTGAAGACTTGCTTGTTTGGCATCCTGAAATCGACAGCAGTACTTCAATGCCTGTCGGAGTTTGCCAGGTGCTCTTGCTGATCTTCAGCTTGGACGTCCCACGCCTGGTTTGGCAGTGATATGTGCTTTGGAAAAGCTGATAGTCTTGGCAACTCAGAAGGCGTGCAAACGGTTTGGTGTCCAGATGTGTCGAGATGTTTTTGGAGTGGAGTTGGTAGACACAAGCAGGCGGAAACTTGGAAACTCACTAAAGCCTGGCTTACGTAGGTTATAAAAGCGTGGCTTTTTGGTCACATCTTTGCAGCCTTGCGTTCCAAGCCGAGCATCAGTGCAGGGCTGTAGGCTGTACTTTCAAGCTGTAGTCTGACTTAGTCTGGGAAGTACGTAGCGTAGCCAGACGGAGTTTTCATCGGCAGACAAGACGTGACATGAAGCATCGCGAGGGGTCCGCAGCAAGCATCCCTTGCACACGGCACCAGGGTGTATGCCTCCGTGCAAAAGTGTAGCTTCAGCTCCCTGTTCATGACGCATCGGCATGAAGAGATCAGCAGCAGCATCGACGGAGAGTTTGGTCACTTGGCAAGGAATGGGTCGAACTTAGCATTTCCCCACGCCGCGGCTGTACATGCTCACACTTGACCGTGTGCCAAGTGCGAGGCAAAGCGACACCAAGCCATAGAGGCAGAGGATTCCCCTTCGCCGGAGGACGCCTGCAATCCTGCCCGCGGCAGTGGCATGGTGTTATGGTACAGTGGCCGGCGCCAAGTTGGCAAAGTCCTGTCTGATGACGGCGTGGAGATGTCCATCCCCATTGGCGGCGCTCTGAATCGAAACGTGGTTCCGCTGACCCCCAGCGGTCTGATGCATGGCACTCGCGTGCGCTGTATGCCCGTGAGACGGAAAGATGGCTGGCAGTGCATTTCCGTGCGCCCGAGTGAAGGCGTTCAACAAGGATTGACCGTGGGTGTGGACAAGCAGGGAGGTAGCTCCGAAGACCAGAGCCATCTCTGTGCTGCTGACGTGGCAGACGTAGGCTTTCTCATTGGCATCTTGGATGGACACTGTGGGGGTGCTAGTGCCGCTCACGTGGCCAAGCGATTTCCGGGAATTCTGCATGATGTCTACAACTCCGAGCTGAGCCAAACCAGAGGACGCTTACGCAAAATCGCATTCCAGGAAGCTGTTTCCCTTCATCGCTGCAAGGAGTAGCGGCGCTGAACGGAGTGCAGGAGGCGAGGCAGTCAAGCTGGGTGATTGGACCAATTGAAGTTCGCATGCCATGACCATTCAGCGTGTATGCTTGCTCTCTCAGGTAGAGCTTCTCCGCGATTCTCTTCGAGGCCTGGGATAAGGGTTGATATTATTGACTCAATCGCAGCATTCACGGAATCCGTGTGATTTCTCCGACCAGGTGCCTGCCGAGCTGCCGAACGGGACCGCAGCGTGAGCAGTGCAACCTACTCACAAAAAATGAAGGTCACTGAAGATCCTCTCTATTCACCTCTCGCCGTCGGCGTGATTCGTGCATCAGTGATGTTACATCGTGTCTGAAGTCTGAAGGACTTGATGAAAGTGGCATCTGAAGGCCACTGGACGGATGGGTGCCTTGGCTAGTGCAAGCTTCCAGAACATGGTTTTAAACAGGTTCGTGACTCGCTGGCTCCAATCTTCTCCTTGAGTAAATGCTAGGCAACAAAGCAGCCATGGCAACAGCAGGACTAGGTTGCTGCCCGCCAGGCTCATTCATCCGAGACGAATTGATGTTCAAGGTCTTTCGCAGCGGTAGAAATGCTCGGCCTGCTGTTGTGCTTAACCCTGTAGCTGCCAGAAAGTGCTCCCCTGGCGTGGATAGCTGGATTCTGGAAACTGTGGATCCTGAGGACATCGGCGGTCTTTGCATTGCTGGCACATGGCTTCGAGAGTAAGAGCGGCGTGGCACACTTTGTTCTCAAGCTCGGCTGCAGCGGGTTTTTGAGCTTTACTCGACATCATACCGAGACGCGAGAAATTTGTGGAAGAGCTGGACACCGTACCAGCACTGGTCAGAAGTGTGCCTGTGCATCGGTTTTGCACAAAGTCCTCAAGCGGCTGTCAGGGAAGCACTCGTCAAGAAGCCGCTGCTTACATTCCAAAACCTACTAGTAGCTGGAGGAAAGCTAGAAGGTTTCTTGCACACGATAAGACTGGCACGGACACGGCCCTATCTGTTTTTCGACCGAGTCTTTGGAAAACGGCAGGATGAGACACAGTTCGTTGGTGTGGGAAAGCGATACTCACGTGAACGAAGAATCGCCAGCTTGATTGGTGCGTGCGAGATCCCTTGCCTTGCGCACTAAACTGCCTGACCGTGTGGCAAGCATCTTTGCTGAACCGCCGTTTGGAATTTGTCTCCATACTTGTGGCAATCTCCAGGAAGCAGCGCTATCACATGAGAGCCACTTCTTCTCGTGTCAACAGCATGATCCAACTAACCCCTGGCTGACATAGGACATGTATCTCTCCTAGCAGCCCTATACATGGGTTGAGAATGCATCATGTAGTTCTTGCCGGTCCAAAAAATGCGACAACGAAGAAGGTATGTGCACAACAATGCACAATTACAGGACCAAAGTGTTGGGCAATTTGGTGCGAAAGCGCGGGCGATAAGAATTGAAGGTCGTTTTGCATGGGCAAGTCATCCCAAGTCCGACATGTGGCATTTGCACATTTTTTGTTCACAAAGCTTAAACGGTACGTTGTCGTCGAAACGGCTTGGCTGCTTTTCGATACGAGTTTCAACAGTTGTTGCTCGGAGTTAAGATCTGAGCTAGTCTTGTTGTGGTTCGGGCAGTATTCGTGCAGCCAAGGTGCGCGGACCGTGCCGGGCTGTGCGGGTGAGGCCAAGATCTTCCTAGTCGCCCGGCCGATGAAACCGGCAGATGCCCGGCCTTTCTGCCTTTGTGGTCTTCGGCGTTCTTTGGTCTGGCTGCAGGCATGGTGTGGCGACACTCGGGCGTTGTTACTTCACGGCCACAAGGCCATTTCATCGGCCTCCCATGTGATGCTGTATCCGACTGATCTTCGAGCATACTTGGAGCAGCCGCTGCAAGGTCGTGGCTCTTTCGCACGACCACGTTCCATCGAGGCCCTCTGAAGTTACGAGTTTCGGACAGCTTTTGCAGGTTGTGGTCCTCAAGGCCGCACGATCTGCAGAAGCCAATCTTACAGGCAGCCTTTCCCGCCCTGACAGGAAAGAGGAGTACAACCGGGTAAAAGCCGCAGGAGGCAAAGTCCTCGACTTCGGCGGCACTTTGAAGGCCGGTAGGAAAAACTGGGCACGCTCGTGTGCTTCTAAACATTTAAATCGCGAAGTAAGAGGAGTCCATACAAAAATAGGTGGACTAACTGGTTATGTGCATAAACACCAAAATAGATGAACAGGTCGTACGTTAAACAGACAAACATTAATCAAGGGTACATGGGCAACTGCAAGAAATCAAGATGTACAGCAACGCGCGTACTTGGCTACATACCATTGCCTGTTAGAAACAGGCTCAACAGCTTTCACCAGACGAGCGGCCGGCTGTTGAGCTGGAACAGCGTCAGGTGTCGTTTCTCGTAAAATCAGGCCAAACGACTCCAGTAAGCTGTTGCACTTTAAGGGTTGTCGAATTCATCAAGCCACTAAACCTGTTCGAGATCGAGTTCGAAGGTTACAGTCAAAGCCGCTGTAAGATTAAGAAGATATATGCTCCATGAAAATGCAAGTGAATGGTGAGTGCCTTGGGGTCCTCACTTGGGTCTCATACTGAGAACGTCAATGGGTTGATGTAATATAGGGGCTTTCATAATTAGTACAGGGCTTGGGGGTACTTCGTGAGGCTATGGGTCCAGTGCGGACGCGCCTATTGCAGAAATGAATTCTAAGACCGGTGCGGATCCCCAGTTTGCGCTCGCAAACTACTCCGCAGCGCGCGGTGCCGTATTCTGGGCGATCGCACAGTGAGGTGTGCAAGATGCTGTGCATGAAACCGGTAGCACAGAGCTGAAAAACCGTAGCACTAGCAACACTTCACACCCAAAATCAAAAGGATGCCGCACCATAACGTGCGCATGAACTGCACAAGGAGTCGAAATGAAGCTTCAACGTGCAATGCGAAGCAGGCCAACAACTGCGCAGGATATTCCTCATGGGTATGAATGAGGCCATCCCTGCACAACACAACTATGTAACGACATACCCGAGATGCCGGAACACCTTCCTTGGAGGTGATATATTGACATCATAACAGAAACGCTAAAAGCTTGAGCCTTGTTCCCCATGGGGCAGAGAGGCAAACTGCAAGCTTCAGGCCCCGCATGGCGTATTCAAATGGCCATGCCTGCACGTTCACAGAAGTGCCTTCACACTCGATATGAAGTGCACTGACTGTGAGCCGTACTCAAGAAAAACATAGTGGCAATGTACGCGGCTTCCGCTATGCAAAACACTGTCTGGCTCCTTCTCGAAGGCTGAGTTTCACAAACTTTCTCCCAATAGATGCCAACCAGCATGCAGAAGCCGGCAATGGTTGTCCCCAGGCCAGCTCCCACATTGACTAAATCAGCATCCGCAGCGACCACGCTCAGAGAACATGCCACATCCTCGCCGTTATGGCCGATGCCAGCACAGCCCTCACAAGTTCCGCCCCTCTTCTGGACGGAGTCTGCCTGCTTGACGAACCCGTTGACGCAAAACACGTCTAAGACGCACAGAACAAAAGCATTGAAGATGAGACTTCTGCTGAAAGCAATCTCCGGGGTAGTATGTTTGATGAAGAGTCCATGTAAGTAGACATGACCAGCTTGTAAGCACCAGCAGGCCGTCACAGCGCCGAGCGCCCCAAAGTACTCGTTGAGGAAGCTGCCGACGCAAGGCTTCTCATTCCCAGTAGGCCCTGCCTTATCTTGGGACTGCGCCTTGACATTGTCGAACGTGCCACTGGCCTCAACGTCCAAGGTGAGCGTCAGGATCTTGACAAAGATCTGCATGCCGCCTCGCATGTGCGGCGCCAATTGAAGGGTCGATTCCTTCTGCAGGTTGTAATCCGAAAGAGTGCGGCCGCACTCAAACTGCCTGCCAGCAAAGATCAGGTGCTGCTGGTCGGGCGGGATGCCTGCCTTAATTTGGGACTTCGCATTGACTTTGTCGAACGTGCCACTGGCCTCAACGTCCAACGTAATCGTCTTGCCTGTCAGGGTCTTAGCAAAGATCTGCATGCCGCCTCGCAAGAACGGCACCAGGCGAAGGCGTGCTTTCCATGGCACCGGGGCTACCGATAGTTCCGCGCTGCTGCGGCCATTCGAGCCCTCTTGGGGGTACATTCTACTATAAATATAATAAGGCACCCAAAACCCTATTCTATGTATTAAGGCCCCTACATTAGTTCAAGCTTTTCTGCAAGCCGGTTTCCGCTTTCGTTGTCTGCAGAAGCCCTTGGAAAGCAAGGCAGGCAGGTGCGAGTGTAGGCGCATAGCTGACTGTGGGTAGATCCAACAAGAGAGTAGTGCATACCTAGGTGTTCTCTATATTTATGATATTTTTCGTGTATATATATATGTATATACATATATTAGTATATATATATATGGATAGATTTAGTGTAGATGGATGCATACTTATTGGTGTATTTGTTCATGTGTGGGTTTATGTGTACATGCATTTGTATGTACACACGGACGCATACAAAAAACATAGACAGAAGTGCAGCTGCGTTGATTGTTATTGTTGTAAGTATATACAGAGATACGTATGAGCCCACATGCATACACAGTCATGTGGAAGTGTTCATACCAACCACCACTATCTTGAGATGCTGTTGTCTTCAAAGATCTTCCATGTTCCTGTGTGGGAAGCTCCCCGCCCCAAATCATCAATGGTGACTAGTCGGCGAGGTGGGGCGAAGGGACAAGTACAAAGAGAAGAAAACGACAGGCGAGGGTCTGCATGGAAGCTGCAGGACGAGCTTTTGACCGGAGTCAGGCTCCTTCAACGACTTGCTCTGGCTACACACCACCCGGTCCTTTGGAGACATACGGTTGAAGGCGCCCTTCAACATTGCATCTTGGCAGGTCGAGCAGAGAGAGTGGGGTGTGTGCAACATGCAGTTCTTGGCAGTTGGCAGACACAGCCGTCATAGGGGAGAGTCAGAATCGCCTCAGGTCCCTTGCGAGGCAGAGGTGGCTGTCCGAACTCTAACACCGGAGGACTGTCGGTCGGCTCGTGATAGGGCCATCCTTCCTGAGTCTCTGTTTGAATGTCTGCACTTTCGAGACTGAAGTGCGCTGGCGCAAGTCAGGACTGGGCCATTGTCCTGGTTTGCAGCAAGGCTGCTGAAAGGGAGGGTCGTTCTCAAGGAAGAGCCAGATTCACGGAAGCCTTACCGTGTCCTGCCCAAAAGCTCATGGTTCGCCCTGGGCAAAACCGCATAATGTCGCACAGCGTTCAGTTGCGATGCAGCTGCGGCAACCGGGCAAGGACTGGACAAAATTGCCACTACCAGTATAGGAGCGGCTCATGGAGAATTGAGTGCGGTATCTAGAGCTCTCTCCCTGCAGTGCTGAGGTATAGATGAAGCATGCCTGTGTGTTGCAAGAAGGCTTTGCCGCGCAGGTGACTTCCAAGCTGAAGAACCAGGACATCGCCGAGATCTGTAAGCAGCAGTTCTTGGAGAACAAAGACTCCGTGGCCGTCAGTGCGGCTCCAAGTCATGCAGTCCTTCCTGCAGCCGCAGGCGAGTTGTGGGGCGAAGGGAGTGCAAGCGGTGTTCATGAGTTGTAGGTACCAGCGAAGCACTATACGGTTGAATCAAGCAGTAAAGCGGGTAATAATCGTGTCCACCACAAGGTCAAGCATTGACGCTTTCTGCGAGGAAGCGTGGTGCGTGCCGTGTCTGCAGCCACACTAGCAAAGGGGCTGGACGGCCTGTGCGTCTGCGGGTTGAAACGTAATCTGGTGTCCTTGCAGGCTTCAGTCGACCGTGCTCGTCAAAACGGAATCTAAGGGGTATCGTATCAAAGCCTTGCGTGCAAGGATGGGCAACCTGACCGCAGTTGTGATGCGGCTGGGTTGGACAGCTTTGCAGCCTCACTGGCTCGCCGAGAACGAAAAGAGATGATGCTGTGCCGACCTGCCCCTTGGCTTCCTTGCGAGACGATCTCTTGAGGCTCTCCTGCGGCAGCCGGGTGTTGCCGCAGCTGCCACTGCCTTAGCTGAAAGAGCAATGCAAGGGGCCCAGAGTTTCATGTGGGGACGGATGCAGGTCACCGTCGTGGTCGTCACCAGGTCGTGGCCCTGTTCCGCTAAGATGGACGGTTTCTCCAGAGCCGTTTGCCATGGCTCGGCCGTCTTGTAACTAACATTGAGGTGGCTTGATTTCCTGCCTGGTGCTTCTCGACTTGCTCGGCCTTTTCTGGATGCCTCGCGCCAGATTCTGGCGGGGACCTTAAGTGCCTCGATTTGGTTTCTTTTCGCTTCGTCGTGGACTCCCAGGACGTTTTGCCAACACCTCGGCGGCCGGTGCTTCATCGAGCTATGGTGGCAGCGCTGGCTCTAGAGGCGTCCGGCCCATGCTTGCCGGCCGCTCTGTGGGGCGTGTGTGCTTCTGACCGAAAGACTCGCTCGGTATGGCTTAACTAACGTGCCCTGTTGCACGCTAGAGCTGGTTGGAATGTTGCGCAACAGCAGTACCTATTACATCGTAACATCCGGTTGCCGTACCTTCAAGTGCCTGATTAACCGGCACAACATTGTAACAATCTCATGCAGCGTGTCGCAGTTCGGCACGGTGCAAGTCTTGTTTGTGTCAGACTCTGTGTGTGTGGTGTCTGGACAATCGTCGCAGGGCAGAAAGCACCTGAGAAGGTACTATGTCCCAAGGTGGCAAGTTTTCAGCTGTGTCCTATGACAGTCTTGGCGACTCGCAGCTGGTACTGGCAGGGTTGAGAGGGGGCCCTCTCAACCCACACGCGTAGTACAACCGAGATTTCACGTGTTGTGCACGGACACTCGGTCGCAATCACTTTGACGAGCTCGAAAATTTACTGAGCATGCTTTCTTGGCGGCCCCGAAAGTTGAAGGCGCGATGCCATCAGCCAGTCTGTGTCTTGTAGCTAGAAAGTGAAGAACGCAAGACTTCAGCCCCGGCAATCAGGAGCCGCCTCCAACGCTACAAATTCAATAATCAAAGTGGGCTTCACACAGACACGGCGAGCAAGCGAAAAAGCATCCCTAGCGCTGGCTGCAGGCCTTGGGCAACCTGAGTCGCTTCGCGCTGCTGCTGCTCTTATTGGCAAGGGCCTCGCCTCACGTGCACAGCATTACACAGCTCATGATGTTTGCAAACGGGTTTTTGGGCTCATGGCAGTTCTGCCTGGAAGCACCTATCTGTTAGCCATCTCGGAACGCCGAGGTGGCACTCGGTGCCGCAGTGCTGCGTTGGCCCCGGTCAATTTCCATGTGCCAGGAGAGTTCCAGGGCTCGTCGATGGTGCTTACCGCTCAACACAGCACATTATGAGCAACATGCGGGTTAGCGGTATCCCTTCTGAATCCCAACAAAGTGCGGATATCCCGGTAAAGGTGAGCTTGAACGGCAGGGTGGGGAGACTCCTGCCTGTCTTCGCCAGTCCGGCCCGGGCTGGCTATTATCTACTGGGTTGGTTATATACATATCTACATTACAATGCCCTTGGCAGCATATTCAAAAGCAGTGCTAGCAAAGTGGCATCAAAACCTTGGCGTCGGAGTTTGAGATTTCACTGTGAGGGCTGCTTGTCCGGAATTTCGCCGGTCGCTAACCCCAGCCCCAGCGACTGTGCGTGCGGCTCAGGCGGCATGTAAGATCTCGACCTTCGGAATGCATGGAGCTGATGTTCCTCCTCTATGAGAAGCTCGATGCGGTTTGGGTGCGCCCAGCCATTTGCATTAGCTGTCAAAAGCGCCTCTCGAAAATAGCGAGTCATGTGGGGACCTACAGCCCCGTGCAAGCCGTGCCGGCAGCATGAAGAGATCTGATCGACGGCCGGAATAGAACCACTCCCGCTTGACAGGAGCGCCTCCACACCCTCCGGCAGCTTACGCCTCAGAGTCTCAGAACTGCCATGAAAATCAGGATCTAGGCTGGAGGAGCAGGGGCTGTGGGGCTGTGCCTGTTGGGGATGTGGTTTGCAGAGCGGTCTTGGCGATTCTTCAGGCGCCATCGAGAATTCTGGACGAGCCCGGACGAGGCGCCAGTGGCTGGAGAGACATTCCTGCCAATTTTCATTGACTTGGCAAGAGTCTTGCGTAAAGTGACTCCAGATAGCCCAGAGAAGATCACGGTGAAGCTTTGTGGAAATCCGTGCTGAGGCATACGTTCAGGAGGCGTGGTGTCCGTCCGACATACCCTGGGCTCCGTGCTCAGCGTGGTTTGACCTCGAGAGCAGAGCTGTCAACGTTATAGATCTGCGGCCAAAGCACATGGTAAGAGCATTCATTGCTTCGGTGTGGGAAGGGTGAAGAGGGTTAGTCTTGGCCTGAGGCCGGACAGATCTCGCAGGCATTGGACTGCGGTGAAGAAAGCCCCCGTGCTTGTAAAGCTGCAGTTAATATAGTGCAGGCTGGAATGATGGAAGCTCCACCGAGGCAAGGTGAACGGAGTTTAGATTCGCGCACAGGGGCCGTTCTCTCCTTCTGCGGTCCTTTGCAGGACTCCGGCTTTTGCCGTGCTCGACCGGCTCAACTCGATTCAAGTTCCGCGGCTTGCGAGCCCAAGCCTCGGACTTTGCTTACCTTTGGTTAGTAGGGAATGGAAGGATGGTTGTAATGGCAGTTATAATTGTACCCTGTTCCTGCATTCCCTACTAACCAAAAGTAAGTTTGAGGACGGAGGCAGAGAAAGGAGGTCCGTTATGGCCATTGCTCTGAGGCTGCCCGATTTCGGCGACGCAGTGCATAGGCAGGGTTTGCCGGAGTGATGGAATCCTTAATCCTTCGGGCTAATGAGAATGAGCACTAAGCCGAAGCCATTCCAGAGCTCAGCTGCAAACGAAAAAGCCGAAAAAGCTGTGTGTTTTTTGCAGGAGCGGCGCACGGCTGTTTCTCTGCAGCCGGCTCCGTGGCAGATGCCCTTGGCCCTTGGGCTTGGAAGTTCGACAGAAACCGTAGAGTCGCTGTGGTTCTACGCAGCTCGGCGCTTGAGGATGCGCGATTTGGACCGCATCGCGCAGCCTCCGCCACTTGGCGATTTCTGCGGCCATATCTTGGGCAGGCGACCTGTAGGGACAGTTTTCTGTAGTTTGGTTAACAACCGGCAGCCTGACCGGAGCCCTTGCTGCGGCACGCAGGCACTTTGGCATCTGCCTTTCACTGCTCCCCGCCGAAGCATTCCAGGCCTGAGCAAGTGGGCGACATCTGACCAGACACCAGAAGTGCATCTCGATCCACCATCCTCTTCCATCTCTGGCTCCCGTGCCCAGATCGCAGATGTGGGAAGATGAGGCACTCACGAAGGCAGGGTCGTGGGAAGCTAAGGAGAGACTTATAGAGACTTGAAAGCGCGGTCTGTACCACACTTGAGAGTTGAAGTACAGAGCACTACAAGTAGCAACAAGGCTGCGGAATCGATCCAAGACTGGCGAACATGTCAGCTTTGCACTGGACTGGAGATCTGATTTGAACCTACGTAGTGCGTAGTGCGTAGACGTAGGCTGTGATCAGGCGTGGCCCTGCTCGCCGTAACCTTGTGCAGCTAATTCGCTGAATCAGCGTCCTGCCTCTTGCATCACGGTGCCTACACTCCTACACTGTGCAGGAACATTGCGCAGCGGCAGCGAAGCGTCGCTGGCGAAGTGGAGACGCCCAGATGCCGACGCAGGCTGACCTCGGCCAGCCTGGGTTGCCCGCCGCGAAACTGAAGTGTTTTCATAGACTCAAAGGCCGCATCGTTGCAAGGGCTTAGGCGATCCTCGATCTTGCTGCACGAACCTCTCACAGTCCGCGGAAAAGAACCGCAAGCCTCCACCATTGGTACAAGTAGCGTGGAGTCTTTTTGGGAGGCACTCCCAACGCGAGGCTTACACAAACTCCGGCGTTTGTGTTCATCGGGCGTGAATGCCGGAAACTCCCACCAACTCCGAAGTCTCGACCGCATAAAGCCATCACGAAGCCTCTGTGCCCCGGAGCCTGGATCTTCCGAGAGTCGTCGTGCGCTAAGGCACCCGAAGAGATTGTTTTGTTCTATCTTGGCCAATTGGAAACCTCGCTAGATTTTGGTGAGCTTGCCCATCGGTTCAGGAGAAGGAAGCTGCACTGACAGGTATGTCTGGGAGTATCCCAAAGGCGGTCGATCTTGTGTGATTGTCCTGCAAGACGTTGGTGCCAGCAAGCAGTCGCGAAAGGTGCGCAAGCTTTAACAACAGCTTGGCCGAGCTCCCCATGCAGTCAGTGGATACGGTAGCAGGCGGCTCATAGTGTTTTCTTGCGTTCGTACATTATACAGCAACTTCATGCGAATTTATTGTAGCCTGCTGCAGCATCAAGCAGTGAAATTGAGACATGCTACTGTTTGCTGTTGTTGAAGGAAAGGTGAAGGGCGTGGGTGTAGCTGCGTAGTGCACCTACACAGAAGTTGAGGCATATGCAGGAACAGCAAAAGTATTAGGTCGATGGGAGCAGCCCTGGTTGCTAAGGCAAGAAGCGGAGCCTGAGCCAGCACTGATGCGTCCGATGCTACCAAATTCTGGGTCTTGTGGCTGTGATCCTCACACGAGAGCGCCAAACAAGCAACAGACTACCCTTCCAGATCGGTCGTAGCTGGACGATGCGCAATCTCAATGGCAGTGAGCTCTCCGAGCAGTGCTCTCAAATGCTCGCAATGTGGAGGCACAGTAGGGCGTTCTGTGTCTCGTTCCTTTGTGGAAATTCGTGCAGCCGAACCGTTTCCAGTTGGGCCTACATGGGCTGCGGCTAACGAGACAGAAAAGTAATGAACAACTGCATGTCATCTTTTCTCATCGAACATGACAGCAGTACTGCGAATCCAGCCTACAACGATCCATCTATCCTGGCTCAAGCGCGTCTGGCCCGAATGAGGCGAGGTGCAACATGATAGGCTGATAGGAAGTTGTGCAATCAGGGGTTTGCTTGGAACTTAGGTAGACGGTCCCGTGTACCGATGGAACAATCACGGAATTTCAGTACTTTTCTTGTTTGTTGTTTCAAGCCACTTCCAACACTGGTGTCAAAGCGTGTATGTCGCCTGTGTCATCAGCAGCCCACTTTCTAAACTCACTTAAGTGCTGGTGGTTGACACGCAGGGAGCCATGTGCAGCGTTCAGGTCTGGTGGCAGAACGTGACGTGGGCATCGCAGCTTTTGCCGGCAGTTAAGCAGGTTTCGGTCCGCCCGCTTGGCGCTCTCACTCGGAGAATAACCCCCTGCTGGCATCTCAGAAGTTGCAGTGGCAGCGGTGGATGGATGTCTGGGCTGGTCTCTGAGCATCAGGTCGCTTCGCGACACCTTTGGGAGAAGCGAGGAGAGGAATGAAGTGCACTGTCTGAAGCGGATGGGTTTCGGGTCTCAAGCAGCTCAGCGCACCTCCAGGTACAAGCTCTTCCCTGCCCTGGATTTCCTGGCATACCTCAAGAGGCGCTCACGGCCGAGAATCGGAAATGCGTGGCATGCCTTTGTCTCACGGCAGGATACATGTCGCATACCATCCTGGTCGCGAGCGGACGGAGGTGGCGAGGTCACCTGTCTTCAGCGACACTTTCCGTGTCGGTTTCCGTTTGTGTGTGACAGGGGTCCAAATCGCGATGCTTGCGTCTGTAGTGCTGAGAGCTGTGGCACCTTCACAGGCGGCTTATTCTTCACATGACCGCAGAGCACGGCTCCCAGCAGGGCAGTACTTCTTGTCTTCCCGCAAGATGGTTTTCTTTCATGCTCTGTGAGTGGTGGAGCATTGTAAGTGCAACCTCGGGGTACCAAGCAACAATTTCGATGAACAGGCTTGTACTGGAAGACAAGCTTTCATATGAGACAGGTGATTGCTTTGAGAGGTTCTGGGCCCCAGATTCCGTGGCGAACCGAAGCCCTAGATGTGCTTCATTCGATCTCTAGTATGCTGCTGGGGCTTGGCTGTGCTGCTCCGATGGTGTTTGTGTCAATCGACACATGCTGCAGGAGTACGAAGAAGAAATTCCCGAACTTGCAGGTGCGCACGGGAGTACCGGTGTTGATCCGTCGTGCACTTTCATCCGCACAACGCCACAGCAGGGGCTGGGACTGTCATGCCTCAGGAAGCCGAGGTCTGAGAAATGAACTGACGAAGCGCTTAAGTTACTCAAGCAGTCAAGCAGTGGCAAAAGCTGTCACAGGGACAACGACCGGAGGGGCGGGGTTCAGGACGGTGCTGTGCAACAAGCGGCTCTCCAGAAACGGAGAGAAGAATCACTAAAGCCTTTCACCCGTGCACCATTTAGGTGGAGGAGAATTTCCGACAGATTAGACATGCTAGGAAAGTGCTGGCCATGCTTTCGGAGAAACGGCACCCTGAGAAGGCCAGCTGGGAACTACTCGGCCTGACACTCAGCGCTTATTTCAGCAACATCTCTAAACCGCCTAAAGCCAAGACTTCGAGCCTGAACTTAGGCCGTAAACCCTGAACCCAAAACATAGCAAAACCGCGAACCCATTACCCAAGACCCTTCGAACCCCTGGGCCCCAAGGCTACGATGCGCCTGCTGTTGTAGATGTCGAGCTTGTCGACGGGCGCAAGAAGCGCTTCTTGGCCGACGCCTTGGAACCCACAGCGTTGAGGGCTTTGTAAGGGTGTGAGGGTTTGGGGTTTAGGGGGTTCTCTGTCAGAGTGTTTTGGGTTGACTGTTTTGGATTAACCTCGCTTGATAATGCATGGTCGAAGTCAGGCCGAACACTACAGTCGACAAGAGATGCAGGACGACATGGATGCTTCGAGTGATTCTCGCGGAGGTCTGCATTTCCAGAATCTTTTGGCAGGACATCATAGACACCTGGCAGTACGAAGCTCACCTACAGCACATGAAGGTCTCAATTCGGGTGTGTGTGTGTGTGTGTATCTGCGTGTGCCATCCAAAGAGCTATTTGCGTTCATTAGCGTTAGCAGGCAGGTAATGCTTGTAATGCTGTGTCAAGAGCGGATTTCGTCGCATGGCCGCCAGGAGCACAGCCTTGAAAAGGCAGAGGATGACGAGTAAGACTTGCAAGAGATATCTGGACGTCTCTTCTATGGAGGACTGATGCCAGCCCAAACAAGACGTATACACTTTCAGAAGATGACGCTATACTTTAGCCATCTTTCGCTTGTCGACCACAACACATGGTTGGGCTGCAAATTTGCAAGATGGGTTGAACTTGTTTTTACATATCTTAAAAAATGTGCATCAGATTTCGACGGGGATTTGATGGGCACGGAATTATGGCGATTATACGACGAATTCCTCGATATTAATTCATTTCATAATATTTTTAAAATTAATCTTTAACTAAAATTACTCAAATACAAGAAGATCGAAATTTTTTGGGAGATACGAAACGTATATCAGATATTTCGGAGATTTTAATATTTATATTTCTATTTAAAGGCTTCTATAAGATATCGTCGAAATTTTAATTTAATAAAATTATTTTAGCGCATATAATATTTTTTTCAATTTTATCCGATATAATTCATTATATAATCTCTATAAATTATATCGGATCTCAAATAATTCACATATATCGGTTTTCACATTTTTTTATTATGAAAATATATTTAGATTTTGTATTGAATATTCTAATAATTTTTTTGAATATAATTTTTATTTCATATATATTCTATATATATATATATATGAAAACCCCTTCTAGGACTAATCTCGATAATTATCTTTCTCATTACTGTCTTCATAATGTCATGGAGAAGAGTCGAAACTATTATAAATACCGATGGTGGTCGTATCTCATATAAAATTTGCACTCTCGTCGTTTCTTGATAGACTGGTAAAAAATAGGATTTAATTTTATGGCCACCATTTATATTCTCGGCGCGTTTTGTCGGAGTGGTATAAGACCGAGTCTAGTTTGTGTGTTTTATCCTTTATTCATGATCGTTATCTTGTTAAAGTATTATTCTTAGTTTCAATCTTAAAAAATAGTATTAATATTGATCTTGATTTAATTTTATTCTAAATTTCAACCTTAATTATTATGAGTAGTAATCTTAATATTTTCGCTAGCATTAGTATTATTATGAGTTTTGTATCATTACTAATTTTAGAAATTCTAAGAATGCTGCTGGTATCTGTCTAATATTACTGTTCGTTTGATTAATGTTCCTGTTATGTGTTGATCTGGTGTCAGTATCAAAGTAGTACGTCGTTACGCTTACTATGAGTCATTTAGGCTCAATTTAATTAATGTATATCTATAGTGTGATTGTATTAGCTGACTTTTTGTCGTATTCGTATTAGTAGTACTTTAGACGTGGGCTGGGCCCTCTCCCCTACACGACCCCCTGCGCCCCATTAAAAATTTAGTCTTCGGTGTAAATTATTATAATCAGTATATATATAGCCATTATTGGTTATATATTATTCAAAGCATGTTTATCTGATACTTTTGTTTCTTTCGTATATGTTTATATTAGTAATTAATGGTCTAGTGGTATATCAATAGGTCTCAGTTATATCGTATTTTAGTTTTAATTTTGGTAGGTAATTTAATATATTAATATAATATTATAACCTGATGCATTCATTTTCTTATGCCTTATTCTGATATATTCTTTAGTATTCATTATAAAAACGATATTGATATTAACTTGATATTTGTAAAATTATATTGGTATTGATATTAATATGAGTATGTAATAATCTTTCTATATTTGTATGAGCACAAATAATTCTACTAGTATTATGCATATTCGTACTAGCCGAAATATTAGTATTTCGCTCATATTTTTTAAATCTATCGAAAAGATATTGAATAATATTCATTACTTTTAAATGATCGCGCTTTCAAATCTAAAAAATAATAGGCTAAAATAGAATAGTTTGCGAGCAATATCATAGATATAGTGATCTAATTTCCAGGAGCCATCACTAAAGATGACGCTTGACGAAATATCCCGACCCGCAATTTTTGTAGAATTATTAGTATTCTCACGACCTAGATTCAACTACGGAACCTAGGATCCAGAGGTAGATCTTCCGATACCAGAGATTCTAATAAATTCCTTATCAGAATCCCATATAGTCCCAATAGTAAATCTTTTAAGATATCTATTGATAACTAATACTCCTATAGTAAACCTCTCTACGAATCATTCTAGAAAGTTTGATAGAATGCGACGAGAATATAATAACTTCTCTTCCTTTCTATCTCTCTAAAAATTATCA